TTTTTCACAATGAAGCGAGAATTATCACTTCAGATTTCTTCATCAATACAAAATAAAGTCCAATGGCTTTTTTCATCAAGGAATCAGCATGAAAATTTATTATGTTCATTCTGTTTTGAAAACTAACAAAAAAAAACATAACTCACTTAATATACACCCTATTGGTTTAGTCATTATTTGATTTTGTTATGTTTATTTTATCTTTCATTGTGGCTGTTCCTGCGGACAGTTTGGACGATGAACAGAGGTCGAGAGCTACAGATCATTGAACAACCATTGCCTTTTCTAATTTAGATACAAGACAGGACGTTGGTCGTTGAAGATTTGGCTCAACCTAGTACTACTCAACCACTGAGTGGTCAATATTTTGATCTAAGTCAATCATCATTAAAAAATTTCATCAGACAGTTCCACTTGTAGATGTTATTGATCATAGCATGTCCATTAGGGTTTTTTGAAATGTATCTCAAAGTTTTTCACCAATAAGGATATGATAAGCAATTATTTTATTTGAAGATAACGATGAAAATGTAAAAGCGTTATTTTTAATAATCCTGAACTGTATTGTAATTTTCATAACTGTACTGAGATAATAAAATTTCGAAATACAGATTGATAAGATAGTATATTGTCCTCAGTGTAGGATATTGCATACGGTATTTTGTCAGCCGAGAGTATTTTAAACATAAAGCAATTGTCACGAATAGAGGATAGTCAATGAACAGAAAACATAAACTTCAAAAACATACAAAACGATATGCAAAGTAAGAAAGTCAACTGTGAGAAGTGATAGGTTAGAAAGCAACTACAAGTTAAGCTGAAACAGGTGTTAGAGTTATTAAATCGAACAGTCGATGCATCTACCCGTCTATCTGGCACATATATGAGCAACTCAGTAGCTCAAATAGAAAATCAAAAATCAGAAAATGACTGAGGAAAAGTCTAAAGTCTACTTTGCGAAAAATCTGAAGGTGGAAAAATTCTAAAGACCGTACAGTCATGTAAGTTGGTATTCAGTAGACTAACATCGATTCAACGCTTCATATTACAAATTATTTCTAGGTTACTGAATAAAACCATAAATATTCGAGACATTTTACATGGTCACAGGTTAAAATCATGTAAATTTGATTGGTCAGTAGAAGTAAACTTCAGGATCTTGTTGAATATAAACAGTAGTTAAACAATACAATAAGCTTTTAAATATTAGTAGCAGTCGTGAAGACTTAAGATCATCGACTTAACTTGTGATAAAACTAGTAATTCTAGTCATGTTAAACTATACAAGCGTTCGTACTATTAGTCAGAGTAACTGGACTTCATATCATACAGTTATTACTTAAATTTGACTGTGTCTGTTATGTCCCTAGTATTAGTTTGATTATATATTTCATCAACCATGAAATAGATTCCAAAAGGTCAGATTTATCACTGTTCCCATACCTTCGAAACATTTCTTTTAATTGCAACCATAACTGATACATGAATTTCCTCCATCCTATTTATCCAAGCTTCTCTTGCCAATAGAGTTACCACACAGATCTATGATGTCATTATTAACTGTTAGGCTTTATTTCCTCCGAACTAATTCTGCCTACTATAACCATTGTTTTCGACAATTATTAACCCTTATAAAATCTGTGTGCAAATATACTTATTCAATGCATGACTGTTAAAATTCGATTTGTTCATTTTTATGTAATTATTTTACCAGTTTTCTCATTTCATATAAATTATCTCGAGAAGTTTAAGTTGTCATTTAAATCAAATAGTGGTTGGTATTATATGAAGACTGTCGAACTCAACAAACATTAATAACAAAATTATGAGAATGTGGACATTTCATCCGGAAAATATCTGGATGTTTTTCTCCCGACACCAGATAAACGATATACGCACAGTTATAAATCATACTATTAAAATCAATAAAGGTTATCGATAAAACTAAAATTTGAATTCCGTTCCATTTTAAAATTTATTCAAGTTCTAACGGTGCGTGTATTTTTGTGTGGTAAAACACAAGTCATCTTAAAGTCCAGTTTATGAAGATGCCAAGAATGTAGTTTGAACAACACTAAGCACGAACTCACTAGTATATAGTGCGATATATATATATATATATATATATATATATATATATATATACTGATAGAGACTACAGATATTGTATCTAATGAAAAAGCCTACAAAATCTGTAACAATGATCACTTAAATAATACAGGTTAACTTCCTTTCCATTTGACCTAGATAAATTACATAGAACATGTTATTCAATTCCCACATTTTTCAAGGCGGATAAATGATCTCGATACTTTTTAACACTTATTCGATCGACTTTCAGTTTAGATAAAACGAATTCAGACAAAGCCGCTCGTCATTTTTCCTCTTATCCGATACACCATATTTTGGATAAAAATAAACCTGGTTCCTCAAGCCCAGTGGATAAATATTTAAATTTCAGATATTTGGTTCGAATACATAGTGTGTCTTTAATTCTGTCACATTATAAGTCTGATCGACATTGTGTAAAGTAATATAAGTGGCCATAGATCACTCGTATCTCTATTACAGTTCTGTGGAAGTGAACAAAAAACACGGATAACTGAAAAGTCGAGAATTATGTCAGCGCTACCGAATGTGATAGTAAGAGGTATTATTATTAATACTTTTACCTACACAAAACCGAACTGCGAATTCATATAAACATATGAATGACTTCTTCTAATCTAAGGATAATAAAAACAACCTGATGTTTTCTCAACACTTCGTTTATTGAGTACTTACACCCAAAAATTTTAAACTGTTGCTTCAATATTCTGAAATTCGTGATCATATTACAATCTCATATGCAGACAACCCATAGATTTATATCTTCAATGATTCATCAGCACACTCCATTGAGGTTAACTCAAAGAATATCATTTAAAACCATTGCATTTTCTTAACTTCATTCCCATTTAACCACATAACTGGTCAACATGTTTTCAGTGGTTGCGTAACAGTTTCTGGCTATATCGTACTCATTTCACCTATCTTATGACCCTTTTCGTGGATCGATAGGTTATATAAAACTATATTGGGAAGGTTCATTAGAAATCTAACAACAATGGTTTCAGTTTACTTAAAATGGGTTGAAACATAATGCAAATGAATGACAGCAGTGCTTTGTAACTGAATAACTCAATTAAAAAAGCTCATTAAACGCACAGAGATCATGTATAAAGTAGGTCACTATTTATGAAGCTGGTTGATATTTTTTAAAACCATGAACAGACAACCAAAAGATAAAGAAAGCTGCTTAGAAGAATGAGACAGGGATTAGAAGGCGAATAGATACATACGGCTACAAAACGTGTGGTTTATCGAGAGAGTTTATATTTACCATTACCATTACTTTTGAATAGTCACTAAATTTTGCAGTAGCCGATTATGAAGACAACTGATTTAGACAAGCAAATTATTATTCAAAAATAATGATCACACTAAAAACCTACTGAGGTATACAGAAAAACACATGCAATATAAGAACCGTAATTTCTCAAGCAAGTGATTATAAACGGTAAAGCTCACTGCACCATGTATGAGAAAAATACGAGTTAGTATAAACTAATCTTGGGTTGTAATACAAAGACGTTATGGAAGATCTTCAGACGGTCTAACAGTACGATATTTTCTAAGACCGACAAAAACTAGGATCTAATGGGATAATCTAACAATTATGCTTGTTTGACTTCAACACAATAATCAACTAAGCAATTCGGATCGAAATCTCTTTACATTAGTCTTCGGGATACCACAAATATCCATTCCTAATCGAAACTAGTATAATTTAGATTATTAAGTCCAATTTGTGCGGCGGGATTTATAAGTAGCGGTCAGCTTTGTGGTCAAGTCAACAACATAGAACTACGTACGTTCAAGTTGCCATACCACATTATCAAAGAGATGCAACTGCCACTACAAATCCCATAGTACTAGAGGTAGTAGTTTTGGCAGTAAAATGAAATTTTAGGGTTTAATGATATTATTCAAGAAGAATCTAGTGAAATAAACTTAAAAGAAAAAGATAAAGGGGATATGGAATTCAGAAAACTAAAATATGAGATAAGACAAAGAATGGATGCACCTATCCCCTGTGAACCGATTTTCAGCCATGATATTCATGGTCTCTAACCATCGATTACTATTATCTAGCGGGACCCAACCAGGTAGCCCAAACTTACTGAGGTGATTCAGTCCACTTGTCAATGGACTTCTGTTTAGCCGACCCAAGCTTTCTTCTAGCCTACCCTATACCACAAAACAGCTCGTCGAGGCAGATGGTGGTTCTGCATTCGTAACACATGTCCCAGTAACCTCAACTGATGAAGTTTCACTACTTCATCTATTGATCTGCCACCATTATCTAGGACCCGTTCCCTAACGACACCATTGCTTACTAGGTTATTCCAGGATACACAAGCAATGCTTCAGAGACACTTGTGATAGAAAACCAGCAGCCTACGAATGTCTTCTACTCTGACTAGCCGTATTTCGCTACGAAGTAAACTTGTCCTTTGGTTAGCAGACGGGTATCTCACCTACGCCATAAATGACGCAAGATGGCAAAAGACAATTGAGCCTTCTGCGTCCGTGCTGAGATTTCGTCAGTGGTCACAGAATCTCTAATTGATAATGTCTCGTAAAAACCTGTCGCTTATACCACTGTTGCTGTTCAGAAAACACAAATATAGGCAAACTTCAAACATAAGTCACAGCTAAGATTTCTTGATAAACTTATCATACATAACCGAAATATTTTTACTTAACTGACGTGTCAATCTTTACAATTGTTATAAATTAGTCGTAGCTTTCGTAATGATTCCCAGAAGTTAGAATATTTTCAGGTCGGATAAAATCTACGTTTGCATAAATAGGCACTAGTAAGACTACATGACTGAGTGAACATCGATACACCTGTTCAAATGAAACTAACATATAAGACAGTAAAAAACAAGATATTAGTGATCAGAAATTTATTTTCCTAGCATAAAAAAACAATGAGATGTACAGATAATTGTACTTTAAAACAATCATAAGACCATGATGAAACAGACTTTGATAAAATAGAAGCAGGTAATATATATTCTGTAAATAAAACAGGTCAGTATTTTAAAAAATAATATACAGATGCACAATAATGTCAGCTGTATAAAGCGAGAATCTAGTTCAGCACCAATTCATTGTCCTGAAACAAATCAATATAAGTAACTGAATCTAGGTCTAAATAAAATAGGATAACTAAAACATAAACAGCCATAATAATAATAATAATAATAATAATAATAATAATAATAATAATAATAATAATAATAGGATGGTCAGTGGTTCTCACGAAGGCTATGAGTAGTGCAATCTGTACAATAATATAAATATCTGAACTAGATGTTGAATCAGCCCAGACCGATCAGTTTGCTCCACACACAGCCTCCAGTAGATAAACAGCAAATCCAAATTCGCTATCAGCGCAAACTGAAATCAAAATGAACTAGAAATTGTATTATAAACGCTAAAATGAACTTAAGAAACAATCAGCTTACGTTTACACCGTATGAACGATTACTTTCCGACTGGCATCATACACAAAATGATGTGATTTGAAAAGGTCACTTTGTAGGAATGCACGAACAGAACTAATGTTTATCTGTTTGGCTCGCTCAGAAAATTCTCGCTCAGTGATTTCAATGCGCCACTCTTGACTTCCAGCATGTCGAACACGTTCGAAAGCCAAACGGTCTTGGACTAGCTGCTTAAGTAAGAACAATAGTAGTTCTTGGTTATCTCGACGATAACTCAGGAATCGTGAGAAAGTCTGAAAATAAAAACATTATAAATTAACGAATAAAGAAACCATCATAACTCTTTAAACAAAATCATATTTCAGTAAAAGCATAGCAAGAAATTATACCGCTTAACACCAAAAAGTGTAGACTGGTCAACACTAAATGACAGAGTAACTAAGCATAATTAAGATAAAGATGGCATGCGAGTTCCGTGATGATCTGAAAACCAAATTTATTTGCTGTTTTTCAGTCAAGTGAATCAGTGTAGTAAATTGAAGTGGTTGTTAGTTTACGTTACTGACGAAAAAGAAAGCCAAAAAGTACCAACCAACCTGTCGCATTGACTTCATGACACTGAATTTTTGAGTAGACACGAACGACTCCAACATGACACGTAAAGCCATATTGACATCATCCTCATTAACGAACTCTCGCAAATGCAAACGAGCGTGTGCTTCAGACAAACGGATTAATGACTCAATGTGTCGAACAGTTATTGGTAAGCTACCAGTTACCTATGAAAGTAAAAAATGACATTAAAACGATGCAAACATATGCATGATATTCAGTGATCATAAAGAATAAATGAAGAGCCAACTCATCATTGAAAACGGCCAGTGAAACAAAAAATGATGAATAACATGACCAATTATACGGACTAACCATAGATTCACGTCTTAGATCAGCATAAGCCGCTGCGACCTTGTCTTGATCCATTTGATTGAGCTTCGGATGAATACGGTCTTTTGCATAAATAATGTATTTTTTTAACAATTCCTAAAGTTGAAGCAAAACAGAACATTATCTAGTAAGAATCTTCTAAACGGAATAAACGATGTGTCAGATTAGAAAAATTACTGAGGTTTTGGATTTTTAAATTTATATACACTAATGACTGCACACAAAACACAAATGTCACTATTTATGTCGTTATATATATGTGGAACTTAATCAGACTAAATAACATATTAACACCAATGAAATATTAGCTGACCTTGCAAATCAGGGTTTATTTAGCAAAGACCAAACTATAAACAAGAATAAATTATTTCAATTTATTTAAGACTTTAAATGATTGGTTATTTTTCGTCACCTTGGCAAGACGATGACAAGATGTCAAAATAAAACATACTGATAGAAAAAATTACGTTGACTACAATTACATTTAACCATGGAAACAGACGAAAGCAGTACGTAATAAAATGTGTCAAGGAATAAACAAAGTATTTCTGTGAATGAACTCTTTGAAAATGACTTCACTATAATAGTATGAGAAATGTCGATGTCAGTCAGTCAGTCAGTTACAATTTTCATCGATTTATGAATGCACCCAAATCTGTTCAGCTTTTAAAGCGATGTATTAGCAGCTGTTTAGACTTAACGAGTGGTACCGATAAGTAACCTTCTTCACCTTACTAGTGTATATATAGATTGAGTGACATAAATCGAACATGGTCCGTACGGAAAGGACTACTCGGTTACTAAAATGAAACTGTTGGCAAGTTTCTACAAGACTTAACATTAGACAAACATAACAATTACAAAAATCAACTCGTTTCCTGTTTTTTTCAGAGCACTTACATGAGGAAAACAATAGTATGGTAAACTACATCTTCTGTAAATAGCGAGAGAATAAAACAATAAAAACTTTCAGAAAATATTGAGTTTCCATAACAGCATATTGCTTATCAAACCATATTCGTATCATCGTGTATTATGTATATGACCACAAATTTATAATTCATGGTCAAGAAACAGGTGGACATGTATGTTTTCATATCAAGTTGGTATTTTAAGAAAAATAACTGGATGGAACCTAAAAATAAGACCTAAGGTTTTATGAAACCACTAAACATAATTCTGAATAACCGAAAGCATATATTAAAACAAATCTAAAGCAATTTTTGGGATTATTATTTTCCGTTGACATATAATATTTGCTTAACAGAAACTTCACGAAAGTTTTGCTACAGAGTATGAATACATCAGTATGGAGAATAAAGCCTACAATGAACACGCTGGATAGTCTGCGTGATAATACAAACGAATGTCGATGAAGGAATTTCCGAGAGTTAAACTTGTGCTGCTTCAATGTTTAACAGTCACTTCACACAATGACTATTCGCTGTCAAAGGATAACAACCAATTTCGATGTAACCGGCACAAACGCTTTACATTGACAGTGCGTGACTTATGGTTCATTTTCTGTAAAGTAATAGAAGTCTAGAGCAAATAACACGCCAGTATATACTTGATTGATACTGCATTAACAATATAAAATATAGATCGAAAAATCGAGATAACGGTATGCCGCTGAAGATAAACAAACAGATAATATGTGTATATCGCAATCCTGATTGTACAGGTGTGCGGTCTGATCACTCCAAAACACTAATGTAGGAAGCCGTCCAAGGAAAAACAGTATTTCAAAAATAAGATGAATAGTCTCCTGCGTTTTTAAAGACAGTAATATTGTTGAAATTCTGGATATTTGGTTTCGGACTGTGGATTGCATTTGATATTTTGACTGTTTAACTGATAGCTTGATAAACAGAACAATCCTCATGCGCAACTGAAAACGACACAAACAAATAGTCAGTAAGTTATTGAGAGCCTATGTATTAGTATATGGACCAGTTAGTAAGGTTTAGTGATCGTAGAAAAAGGGCGCAAGCCTGTAGTAGGACAGGTTTTTACAAACCTATTATGATTTTACTCAGCATAACATGCCACAACGTCTGAGGATAGGTCGTGTGACAAATGACTCAAACCATTGTATCAGAATACTTCGTATATTTACACCATAGGTAATGATTACTTGAAGTGGAGAGAAGTACATATATACGAATCGGGAACTAATTACCTGATCTAGTGGTTGGATGTCTGCGTAGGAACCGCTTCGAGGAACACCACGTTCTGCTAATTGATCATTCAACTGGACACGCTCCTCGGGCGTCAAATTAGGATGATGACGCATATGACTCCCAACAACAAAGCGAGCAAGCATTTCATCCTGTGGATAAATTCAACACAAATCTAGTAGTATACATTATTGTTCATCAAAAATAAAAAGGGTGGGCTTGTTTAAACTACAAACATATGATTTCAAGTAGACAGCTGTATGACTTCACAAGAGATTAAAAATATCTTTTGTCGATATGGGATCTGATGAATTGGTATCAATAATTCTAATCCCGTTATTTACATGTATTTCCATAAAGGTTAAACCATCCAGGCGAGACAACGTAACACGTCCGGAGAAAAATTAGAGACGTGAAAATATGTCTTGGATAAAACTAGGACTAGTAAATCTACGAATGAAAGACCAGAATTTTTTATGTAACAATTGTCTAACGAAAAATGCAGATGCACATGGAAACAATAACAGGGAAATCAGTTATTTAATAACTGCTGTCAACTAGGATTTACCGTGAGTGAAGTTTACTACTGAAGTTACTTTTTAGCAAAAAGCCGAAACAAACACCACTTTTTGACATGATGTTTCTACGCCCAAGTCAAGGCAAGACGTATTTCATGACAGGAATGTACCTGGAACCGGGTTCTGATTGTCCTTTTCATTAGAAATGAACCAAATTCTTAACGCTATCAACGTTATGATAGCCAATATAAGAAGAAGAACGACTACAATCGACGAATGGAAGTTGTCAGAATTTATGATATTATGACTCAGTAAACTAATTAATAACGTGCAGATGTTAACAGTGACAAGTTTTTAGTTTCGATCTCAGTAAGATAACTGATGCTGAGACGCAAATGTAGTTAAATGATGAGCACCAAATAGTATCGTACGGTGTTATACGACAAAAGGAATTTAACATAAACATGATTTCAAAGTAATCTACTCAATTCTTTAAAAAATGAATTCAAAGATACTAAGTATGTTTGTTAACCAAGGATTCATGGTTAACTCAAATTCTTTTCATGATCAACTACTGCCTAGTTAAAATCAGTAGAGCTTATTGGTTTACTAATAATGAACATTTCTAGAAAAGGTAGCAACAGTAACTTCCGCAAAATTAAAAAAATTTGATCGGATCACAAAACAAATGGCTAACTTGTGATATTAATCTAAACACATGCACAAAATAAACGGTCGAAAATGATAGCGTGCAGTTTTTACTTTAATCAAAATATTAAATGCTATAACAAAAATATCTAAGGAATACTGCCATTATTTACTTGAATAGGATCAACTGCATCGCGAACAACGCAGAGAACGTCGAAACGACTCAAAATTGGTTCGCTTAGATCAACATTATCGGAAAATGTCAGAGTAGGATCATAACGACCACCGATAGGATTAGCAGCGGCAATGATAGTACATCTTGCTTGCAGGCTTGTAACAATACCTGCCTTACTTATTGAAATGCTCTGTTGTTCCATGGCTTCGTGTATAGATGTTCGGTCCTGGTCATTCATCTACAAAAAAACAGATATCACATAAAATGATATGATAAATAACTCAGATTTAAGTCATGGGAATAGAGATGAAGAAACACAAGAATAAGAAATCAACACTCCAAGGTTAAAATAGATTGCTTCAGATATTAGTATTATTTATGCAGTTGTCATCTAGAGCGATGATAAACGAAGATACTTTTGCCAGAAAGTCTGCTTAGGCTTTGCAACGGTTTACCGCTATTGATGAATGATAACAGAAATGTTTGTTAGTATCTAGTACTTCAATTTTAAATTGCTAAGTACATGGAATATGAAAGAAAATTATAAACACAAAAAATCGATATAATCTGAATTCTTAAGTTCGAAGTTAAGGATTGCATGACAGACCTTCCGCTACCTAGCATACTTACATCTTTTTGAGGTTTTCATGTTGATGATAAACCGACATTTAATCTTGAGTAATCACTGGCAACTCGATTAAGAATGACAAATGACTAAAATGTGGCATTTAATGCTCTGATGATCACGATGTAAGTTTTTGGTTCGGAAAAGTTTACACAGAGAAAAATACTTATAAAAACGCCTTTACCAAAATAAACTCACCTTGTCGAACTCGTCAATTAAACATACACCACGATCTGCAAGAACAAGAGCACCAGCTTCTAAAGTCCACTCCCGACTCATTGGACTGCGAGTAACGTACGCTGTCAGACCAACTGCACTCGCTCCCTGGCCAGTTGTAAAAACACTCCTCGGAGCAAGCTGTTCAACACACTTAAGGAACTGAGATTTGGCAGTCCCCGGATCACCACAGAGGAGAACATTTATGTCACCTCGAACCTTATGTTTACCTCCTATAAGAATAATGAGGAAGAAATTGTAGCAACTTAAAACTTGATAATGACATCAGACTAAACTAGGGTGATTTAATACTGCAACGTCAATATCAAAAGGTTCAAGATTGTATATAACAGTCACTTCTTTTATTTTTATAGTACTCGAAAACCGTAAATTCTTAAGGAAAAGTTCTTCATAATTATGAGAAACTGGAGACTTTAGTAAGCTGTTTCAAAAGTAGTAGCTCAACAGATAGTGACGACAAATAAGACATGTCTTTGAATTCAACGGATAACCGGATAACTGAGTCTTTTGTGATGTAACCTTGAAGTTCCACAAAATTTAACCAGAGTAAAAGCTTTGATTTTAACGTACCAGGATTTTTAGGTTCACCGCCGAAAAGTGCCAGAGCAATGCCACGTTTAATATCATCATGACCATACACACTTGGAGCTATGCTAGCGAAAATTCGATCACCAATTCTTTCATCACGTGAAAGTTTCAAGATTGCTCTCGTATCCTCATCAGTTAATGTTCCTACAGCGACCTGTCTAAATAAAACAATGCTGAAACCCACTCACCTTGTCATCTTTGCGTACGACGTTGTTCGCTAGTATGACAGTTGCAAAGACTGGAAAACCATGCTTGGTATTAAGTGATCCATCATAGCTATGTGTATATATACCAGTTAACTCCTAAAATTAGATACATGGTTGATTGGATTGAAATATAACTCACTATCTCATCCCCTGGTTTGCAGCTGTCAACCAGATCATCAAGAAGAATAGCGTCTTTAGACCTAGGAAGACGGCCTGCTGGTACCTTTCCTGGACTTTCTTGAAGAGTGATACGTTGATAATTTTTGTAAATGGTCTGAAAAATAAGTTCGAAATAAAATGCGAAAAATTCTAATCATTAATAAAGCTGGAAAACATTTTACTACAAAACATTCAGCATTCTTGAAATGACAATAAGTTATGTAAATGTATTGGTAGTATACACAACCTTTAGCTACGCTGCAATTTCATGGTAAATAAGATATACATCGTAAGTATAAATCTAGAGTACCGATGTACAAAACCGATGAGAATAGTCTCAGGTTCAAAGTTTTCATTGACAGACTACAGAGGCGTTTTGTGGAAACGGTAATATTATGATATACAGCTGCGTCAACATGAAAATTGTCAAATGAATAGACGACTAGAAAACTTACTGTTCTAAGCAAACATAACTATGACAGAGAACTAAATCAACAGTCACTACACAAGCCCTGACTGAAAGTACATCGCTTTAGATGGTAGCATTCTGCGACAGCCAGTCGGTCAACATTAACGTAGAACTTCGTACGTACGTACATCAGTTCAAGTTGCCATATCACACTATCACAAAGATGTTGTCGATGCAAATCTCGTAGTAGTACAGCTAGTTGAAGAATGAGCAGTATTCAGGAAGACTGGGGTTTGAAGATGTTACTGAAGGAGAATAATCTAGTGAAACAAATTTAAAAGAAAGCTACAGGTTATAGGGAATTCCCAAGACTAAAGTGAGATAAGACGGTGAATGGATGCACCCGCACCATGAGGTAGTTCACTTGTCAGTGGACTTCATGGATTTCTGCCATATTTTTGTCTAGCCAACACCAGCTTTCTTCTAGCCTATCTCTATACCACAAAACAGCTCGTCGAGGCAGCCGGTGGTTAGGCATACGCAGCTCATGTCCCAACCACCTCAACTGATGAAGTTTCATTTCTTCATCTATTGATCTGCCATTCTTACCTAGCACCCGTTTTCTAATAACAGCGTTGCTCACTCGGGTGTCCCAGGATATACGAGCAATGCCACAAAGATACCTATGATCCAATACTAGTAACCTACAAATATACTCTACTCTTACTGGACATGTTTCACAACCACAAAGTAGGACAGAGCGAACTGCTGCTCAGTACACTCATCCTTTGGTTAGCGAACGGCTATCTCGCCTACGCCATAAGTGACGCAAGCTGGCAAAAGCCAATCGAGCCTTCTGTATCCGTGCTGAGATCCAGTCACACACTAGGCTATCAGCACTGATGAGACTTCCCAGATAAGTGAGGCAATCGACGCGCCCGACTACTTCACTTCACTAGTTCAGGTGCCGATACATACCAATCCTGAAGCTACATTTTACATTTCGACGGAGAGAACCGCATATCGAGCTTGCTTGCATTGTTGCTCAGGCTAGTCAGAAAACTGGATTTTTTCAGCGACTTCACTGAATAGAACTATGTCATCGGCATATTCTTAGTCAACAACTGAATTTCCTGGTGAAAGTTCAACCGCTGGAAATTCAGACGAAGATACTATTATCTCCAAATGAATGCCAATGATTGTTCCACTAAGTAACCTAGGATATTTCGCTGCGTTGATCATTTGGTCTCATGACGATAATAGGACATACGGAGGACATATGAGTATATCAAACGAAAATAAGCGTAAAACAATCAGCGGTGACAAATGACTACCTGTTCCATGTTTAGTTCGAATGGGCCACTTGACTGGCAGTCTGGACAGGTAGAAGGTTTAACTTCGGATCCCGTTTGGTTTTGAACGTATGGGCCCAAAAGACATCCACATTTTGTACAGTTGTAACGCACTACGCTCAACTGAGGTAGAACACCAGAACTGCTTGTAACAACTCCACATGTTCGGATAAGCTGGTTAAGATGAAAATGGCGGAGACAACGCAGGTCTTCAATGAGAGGAAGGTCGTTTATTCTAACATGAACCCGGTTAGTGATCCTGTCGTAGCGGGGGAATCGAGTCAGTGTGACCTCACGAGCAGCCTAGTGGTGTTAGGAGAGAAAGCTTGCCTTACCTCATCAAAGATTTCTAAGACATGTTGAGGGGCCTCTGGCAGAAAATATGCTAGGACTTGTTCTGCCGACGCCAGGTGCTGGTAGTCGATGTGCAAACTATGTTTATTTTCTCTTGCCATTTGTACTATTCGCTCGGCATACACATTCCTATCGACTTCGTCCAAAAACGTCCTGAGAAAGGCTTTAAAACGATTTTTGATTTCTTGACGAGTGACAGGTTGCTGAACCCACTCAACGACGGACATCCCCTTCATGTCCTCCAGGTTTTCAATACTTTCCAACACACCTTCAGGCTCTAGATCACCATCATCACCAGCAGCGACTCTCTCTGCAATACGCCTGCGGCGCGCAGGGATTATTTCTTCTTCATCCTCTGCACCATACAAATCTGAGGACATAATTGAAACTTATGGAAAACTGTACCGGCTATAAAATCACGTCGGAGTCCACCAGTTGCAAGTAGACGCTCACGATCGCGTCGTCTCATTTCACGTTCAGCTTCAGCTCGAGCATTCGGTGATAATTCCTCCAGGTCTTCATCTGGATCAGCAAGACCTTCTGCCTCATAGACGTCAAGCTCCGGAATGGGACTGAAGTATTAGGAGAAAACTTCGAGACTTACCGGTAATCCCGTTCCATGTCATCACCGAATAAATTCTCTCCAGATTCCTCTTCCTCATCAAGATTATCATCACCTAATATGGCAGCGGATTCGTCTTCAAAAGCTGGTTCCTCTGAATTGGGGCTAACTCCACCCGAAGGTCCACCACGGCGGCTCAGAGAGTCAGACGTCTAACTTTATTAAATCGCTTGTCTCAACAACCTACCGACATTTACAAGAATTCAAAAACCCAGAACTGAGCGCTAACTGGTAATTTCGACTACTTTGAAATCGCTTCAATATTGAACATCAAAAAAACTCGTAGATCAGATTTATGATATATATATTTGGAAACATCTGAGGGTTTGAAATTCCAGCGACTGTGCCTTAAAGTCAATTTAAGTTCAGTTTTACTAGTAAAATGTGACCATATTACGCCGTTTTTTGGTAATTAATATGTGGGATGAAACGACTAATATTAAGCCTTGGAAGTTATGGTACTAAGAAGATCCAATATCTCATTATTAATCAACATAAATGCTTATATTACCCATTTATCAAATTCGAATATTTCTACTATGAAGTCAAAAAAGGAATTCTAAACGTAAAGGATTTGGTATCAGTTTTTTACCTACTTTGCCATTTTCTCTCAAATTACCAATCTTAGATGAAAAGAAGGGATAAGACATAATATAACTTTACTCATCGTCCGGTGTTCAGTAAGCTAAGTCGTAGCCTAGGATAAAGTAGTAAAAACAGACTCAGACCTCTCAGTTACTGTTCATATGGTATGTGAGTAGAATTATCGCATATTTCGGTTCCTCGTCGTCAAACCCGTTCTAACATATCTGCTACATACTAAAAACAAGGACTTACGATTCGTATATCATATTCAAAATACGGCCTCACAGATGTCAGACACAATTCCCCAAACGTTTCTTATTCCTAGTGATAAAATGTTTTACGATTGGTTCGTAAGACACAAATGTCCTTGGAAGCCGCAGCCTTTCAGTCACTTATAGTCATTGTTTAATATGACTCCAATATCTTTATGATCTACTGCTTCACTTGGTGTATTTGCGGTTGTCCTACGTGCATCACTACACTTTTATTGGGATTCACTTCTAACGACCACTGGTATATCCATTCCACCAGTGAATTTATATCTCCCCGTAATATTATGCAACCTGACAGTGAACCCATATAGCTCATTTTTCCTCGATAATGGCGATGCAATTTGACTGAGAGTTGGTTATCTGCGAGCGAAAGAGGAACAATTGTCCCCGTCATTTTACATTGAAGCATTGCGAGAAACCTCATGTACTGAAGTGATTCGGATACTGTAATCGGATTTACTTCTGACACTCCCAGAATTGATAGCCTCAAATATGGATCTAACAAGTAGACCTTCAAAGAATTATCTTGAGCCTGACATCAGGCAGGCTATGTAAACGACTGAGCCGAAATCCACTTGTCACTAGTGTGCAAAATTTTGGCTTAACAATGTATGAACATGCCTTAGTGCCCCAACTTGCAACAAACTCAGGAAGCCGAATCACAGTAAGGTATGTTACATGAGATTTTTCTGCTAAGTATATGCTGACCAAGACTGACAGGCTTGAGCAGAAAATGTTTTCGACCCTGGAAAACTCAGTACTGAGGAAGATAAGCAAACCAGATTGAGCAGGGATGTGAAGAAGTGGTTCCTCGACAAAATAAGTATGAGGGTTATGCTGAACACAGTGCTACCATAAAATTGATGATATTAAAATTTGTACTGCCTCTCTGAATGCTACCGTGATCCCCACAAATCGTAAATACAAAAAGCTCCCGCCAAAAATTCAGGTCGTTGAAGAACACTTTATGAACTGGCCGTTTATTCACCTCCAGAGATTTTCTAGCCTTTCAGCTAAATGAATTTAATGCAGACCGTAATTCAACTGCTCAGAAAGGACTTGTGTCCTAACGCATCAAACTACCTAGAAAGCTTATCAGCGTGAAACGTTAAGGTTGCTAAAATCTTCCCTCTCCGTTTTCAAGATACAAATGCTAGTGTGCTAGTGAATATTTAAACAAGAAATTACAACTCACAATCGAACGACTAACAGTTTAGCGGATTGGCAAAGGGAAAAATATCAAACATCGAAATCGCTTTATACTTCTTATAGCAATCACAGGAACTGCTGACGTGTAGTGTTTTCTATTGACTAATCACTTGCAAATTACCCGGCAACTGGGTGCAATGAAGATAAACTAGTAATGATAGCACATATAGATAATCCGAAGGGAGAAACTAAAGCTCAAAGACATCACAGGAAGACAGAATTCAGTATCATATCGAGATAATCGACAGGTTAGTTTCTAATCCGGAAAATTCAAACCATAATGTGACCTCTCTTCTTTACTCTGATTCAGAATTTTCACAGCTACTACATCTTATTGAGCTAAATATGAACAACGATGATGATGCAGCGTTCCTGAGAAAACAGCATTTTCAACCTTTTTACACAACGTCTATTGATAAAAACTAGACTTGTCCAAAAATACTATCAGAAGTTAACCAAAAAAAATTCAGTTTGAAGACTTTAAACCTGGTGAAGAGCATGTACTATTTGTTATAATATCAAGCCTGCACGTTCTACTCTGATTTTTGCTTGTTAAGATGCATCTTCAGTAGGACTCAAAGAATGTGTGCTGCAAACAGATTTAAAGATGATGCGAAACTGTTGAATGAAACATTGATTCAAAAGGTTACCAACCGAAATTCATAAAATGGCGTAAAATTTGGCCAATAAAAAAGCCCCTCCTTAATTTTCTTGTTTGTGATTCCCTGCGAATATGAGTCGAATCAAACGGTCTCATTTTGAGACAGACTATAAGCAGAGATCGAGAAAGCATACCGAGTCTCCAAAAAAGGTTGTGATAAAAAAGACACAACCAATGATTCTGCATTGGCCTAGATAATGCACATTACATCCTATCGCATTTATCGTTATGAATGCTTATGTCGACAATGCGAGCATAGACTGATCAGTTGACCTTGAGATTTCATTTCCCACCAGAATCCTTGGCTGTGATTGGCTGCTGTGTATCTTAGTGTGTTATTTTTGTGACTGCCCCAATTACGTTTCTATGATGTATAAGTAAACGAGATTCATGTGCTTGATTGCATTGTGCTTGCTGGGTGTTTGTAGAATATGCTTTCTACGCTTATCAAGACTTCACTTTTGCCGTTTTGGGATCAAGGTAGCCTACTTGGACGTTGGTTCATTGTCTCGATCGCGTTTATCGACTAAGGTGAACTCGTAATAGCTTCAAGCGTACCTAGTGACGAAGCTAACAACTGGCGACGGTAGTTTTGGAAACACTGATCCTGCCAAACTTGAATTATTACTTGAGCAGCAGCCGAAACTGATGCAGATGTTAAAAGACATGAAGATTTCCTCTTCCACACAGCCCAGCTCTTCTAATGCAACCACAGCTCCATCGGTCGGTGACATCGCAAATAGCATAGCTGAATTTCATTATGATCCTGATGCCAATGTTACTTTTGATATGTGGTTCAGGCGTTATGAAGATTTATTTAAATTTGATTTCGCCTATCAAGATGATGCTTGGATGGTTCGGCTGCTACTTCGGAAGTTGAGTGCAAGCGAGCTGGACAAGCACTGCAATTTGATCCTGCCTTTGGACCGACGAGATCGTTCATTTTCGGAGTCAGTTTAGATATTGAACCAACATTTTGGCAACAACTCGTCACTGTTCAATACTCGTTATCGATGTTTGAAGCTATTTATGAACGAAGATGATGATTTCTTTACGCACGTGGTCATCGTCAACCGTGAATGCGAACGCTCTCGGTTAAAGTCTGTCAAAAGATCAGTCTATTGCCCTCATACTAATCTGCAGCTTCCAGTCTCATTAGTTCAATGACATTAGAACAAGACTACTATGTCGGTTAGAGCAAGATCCGAAGCTCACTGTTAGTGAAATGGAAGATGATTATCAACGTCTCATTAACCTATGACGAAACACAACCACAATGTAGGGTGGTATTTCAAGCCAATCTGAATTACATTTGTTACCACGACAACCTACCTGCACATGTTACACCCAATTCACCCCACTAAAGCTCAGTCTAAATGTCAAAAGTGAATCCCCCTGCCCCTTGCTGGCACTGCGGCTCATGGCACTATGTACGGAACTGCCTATTTAGGCAACATCGACGCAGGAAGTGTAAGGTCATCGGTCATAAAGATGGTTTTTGCCTAAAAAGAAAGCCGAACCGATCCAGAAGTACCAAGAAGTCTGTTCCTAGATCCGATACCAATTCATTGAGCCTAATATCTTTCCGCCAAAGCTCATCACCAGGTGATAGGAAATTTATTACTCTTAATATTAACGAGCTCCGCCATTGGAACCTTCGGGGCTACTGTTGGTCCCAATCTCGGATAAAGGAGGAGGATCGGACATGGGGTTGTCGACCCCATTCCGTCAAAAACTAACTTGCCAAAAAACGCTAACCAGAAAAAATAATTCAACCAATTTTAACTCTGCCCTGGTAGTTGCAAGAAGAATTATGACGTCTCGGGATGAAAGCCGAGTTCCCTCGGAACTCACGGGGTCCATGCCTCTTCTGACAACCACAGCAACCAATTTTTTAGGTACATGGAACGTTCGTAAATTGGAAGACTATTTTAAGTTGCGGCAGAAATGAAAAGATACAACCTCGAGGTGCTCAGCATCAGTGAAACGCATTGGACACAGGTAGGACAACTGAGACTAGCTTCAGGGGAACTGCTGTCATACTCTGGTCATGAGGAGGAAAACGTCTCACATACACAAGGAGTTGCACTGATGCTGTCCAAATAAGCACAAAAGGCACTGATAGGATGGGAATCTCATGGACCCAGGATCATCAAATCATCCTTCAAAACAAAGAAAGAAGACATTACAATGAACGTCATCCAATGCTATGCACCTACCAATGACTACAATGACGACGTTAAAGATCAATTCTACGAAACGCTGCAGTCAATCGTCGAGAAATGTTCACCAAAGGATTTGACGATTGTTATGGGAGACCTGAATGCCAAGGTTGGTATGGACAACACTGAATATGAAGACATAATGGGACGACATGGACTGGGAGAAAGGAACGAAAATAGTGAGAGATTTGCAAACCTATGTGCCTTCAACAAACTGATCATCGGCGGCACAATATTCCCACACAAACGCATACACAAATCTACATGGATTTCACCGGACCACAATACTCAAAACCAAATAGATCATATCTGTATCAACAAAACGTTCAGAAGGACCATGGAAAATGTGAGAACCACGAGAGGAGCTGATATAGCCTCAGATCACCACTCGGTGGTCGCAGAAATGAAACTGAAACTCAAGAAACACTGGACAACGAGGCAGACAACATCACAGGAGTTTAGTACGGCCTTTCTTCGGGATACCATGAAAGTTAACGAATTCAAGATACCCCTCTTCAATAGATTCCAGGAAGTGCACGATATACTTAATGGAGAGAAGCAACATTGGAGAACGATTGGAAGGGGATAAAGGAGGCAATCACTTCAACGTGTCACGATGTTCTGGGTCACATGAAGTACCATCACAAGGAATGGATCTCTGTTGATACTCTTGCAAAAATTGAAGAAAGAAGGAACAAGAAGGCAGCAGTGAATGTCAGCCGAACAAGAGCAGAGAAAGTTAGGGCGCAAGCCGAGTATACAGAAGCAAACAGGGAAGTGAAGAAGAGCATCAGAGCTGACAAACGAAAATATGTGGAATATCTAGCAATGACGGCGGAAAAGGCTGCAAGAGACGGAAACTTGCGACAGTTGTACGGAACAACAAAGAAGCTCGCCGGAAATTATCGTAAACCAGAACAACCAGTGAAAAGCAAGGAAGGCTAAGTAATTAGCAACACTGAAGAAGAGAGAAATAGGTGGGTAGAGCACTTTCAGGGACTCTTGAATCGACCAGCTCCACTGAACACACCAAAAATCGAAGCAGCATCTACGGACTGCCCAATCAATATTCGCTCACGGACAGTTGAAGAGATCAGCATAACCATCTGACAAATCAAGAGTGGCAGGGCAACACGACCAGACAACATTCCAGCAGAGGCACTAAAAGCAGACGTAGCAGCAACAGCAAAAATATTCCACATTCTCTTCAAGAAGATTGGGGATGACGAACAATTACCAAGAGACTGAAAAGAAGGACATCTCGTCAAAATATCGATGTTAGGCGATCTCAGTAAGTGTGAGAACTACAGAGGCATCACTCTTCTTTCAATACCAGGCAAAGTCTTCAACAGGGTGTTGTTAAACAGAATGAAGGACATTGTAGACATACAACTTGGAGATCAACAGGCTGGATTTCCTATGGACCGATCGTGAACTGACCAAATCACAACATTACAGATCATTGTGGATCAATCAATTGAATGGGACTCACCACCTTACATCAACTTCATTGACTACGAGAAAGCATTTGATAGCGTGGACAGGAAAACACTGTGGAGGCTTCTTCGATACTACGGTGTGCCTGAGAAGATAGTTAACATCATACGGAATTCATTTGATAGATTTAACTGCAAAATCGTGCACGGAGGACAGCTGACAGACTTGTTTGAGGTGAAGACCGGTGTCAGGTAAGGTTGCTTACTCTCACCCTTTCTCTTTCTCCTGGTGATCGACTGACTAATGAAGACGTCAACATCTGGAGGGAAGCACGGTATCAACTGGACAGTTAGGACGCAGTTGGACGATTTGGATTTCGCAGATGATTTGGCTCTTCTATCGCACACGCAACAAAACGTGCAAGAGAAGACGACCAGTGTAGCAGCAGCCTCTGCAGCAGTAGGTCTCAACATACATAAAGGAAAAATCGAAATTCTCCGATGCAACGCAACATGCACAAACCGAATCACTCTTAATGGAGATGCCTTGGAGGACGTTAACACCTTTACAAATCTGGGCAGCATCATCGACAATCAAGGTGGATCCGATGCAGATGATACTACAGATTGATACTACAACGCATCAGTGACAACGGTTCCCGGTTGCGCTCAGAGGAATGCCAGTTTTTATTACGATTTTTCCTCCGATTAATAAGTTACTATTCAGCATTTGCTACCTCGATGCATGATATTCGCGCTCCATTGAATTGTCTACTGCAGAAGCATAGCACATGGAACTGGACTAGAGTGCGAAGCGGTGGTAAACTGAAGTCCATAATTAGTTCGGAATTTTTATTAACTCACTATGGCTTAGGTGCTGTTATATCATATCAGTTTCCAGAGGCGTCAGAAAAAGCCATTATGTATGCATCCCTTACACTAACCCAATCAGAAAAGAAGTACAGCCAGATAGAGAAAGAAGCTCTTGCCCTTGTGTTTGCTGTTCGCCGCTTCCACAAGTTTCTGTACGGTTGGAGATTCACGCTCCTCACAAATCACAAGCCTCTGTTAGCAGTATTCGGTTCTAAATCTCGCATTCCAGCCCATTCTGCAAATCGTCTTCAGCGATGGGCCTTGGTGCTTTTAAGGTATGATTTCGACATCCAATATCGACGCACTCTACAATTCAGTCAAGCAGACGCTTTGTCACGACTCATTAATGATCAAGTGGCGGCTGAGGAAAACATGGTGATTGCATCTCTGTCAGTAGAAGACCACCCAGCATGTTATCTGACAACCGCAATTCGCGCATTACCGGTGTCTGCAACAGACATACAAAATGCTTCGTCATCATCAAGATGACGATGAAATACGTCACTAACGGTTGGCCGTCGAAGAAGTTTGAAGGTGACATGAAGCAATTGTATCAGCGGCGGGATTCACTATGCATCGTGAACGATTGTTTGGTGTTTGGTGAACAAGTAGTGGTGCCAGAATCCCTTCGTGCAAAGGTGCTCAGAGAGTTCCATCTCGGTCATCCTGGGATTAAACGAATGAAGTCCATAGCCAGGAGTTATGCATACTGGCCTCACATGGATCAACATGTCACAGCGTTGGTTGAAAAATGCATGCGGTGTCTGCAGGCGGCAAAGATGAATGCCGAACTTCCGCCGGTTTCATAGCCAATTAGGACGATACAGCTCCTCACCGAAATTTCCTCTCTAAATGGCATACCAGATGTGATCGTATCTGACAATGGGTCCCAGTATATCTCCACACAATTCCAAACTTTCTGTAAACGGCTAGCCATTAAAGACTTAAGCTCTCCACCATACCGCACGCAATCGAATGGGCAAGCGGAAAGGTTTGTTGATACGTTTAAAAGAGCATTGTTTGGGCCAAAAGGGGAGGGGACACCAGCTAACGCGTTGCAAAGTTTCTTGTACGTCTGTCGAGCAACACCAAATGAGTTGTTACCGGAGCGAAAGTCTACAGCAGAAATTCTGATAGAAAGAATATCGAGAACAATCCACAGTCTGATGCATCCGACTAATGCACCAACATCAGTAGAGACAAGACTGAAAAGACAATCCGTTTACGAAGTAGGATGCCCTGCGTTTGCTCGTGACTATGGAACAAACCATGGTCCTTGGAAAGAAGGGTGAGCGATCAGAAGAGTTGGGCGAGTTATGTACAAAGTAGAGGTAAGAGGTGATAAATGGTCACGTCATCGAAATCAGATACGCAAACGGCTAGCCCCAGATCACCCATCAAGAGCAGAAAATCTTCGCCGTTGACATCCGCTTGATACCTTCAACCTACAAGCAGCCCCACCACGAGAAGAAACTCAGCAGCAAGCTGTTCCCCGTTCCAGAAGGTATCCTCTCAAACAGCGGTGAGCAACAGTCAAGATGTAAGTGGACCCCGAGAGCTCACATTGTTAAAAAGGGGAGGAGTGTTGGGGATGTTAAGACCCCAGAACTCGCTTGATAAGTGCCTAATTTTGGATTTAACATTTGCGAGCATAGACTTATCAGTTGACCTTGAGATTTCATTTCCCACCAGAATCCTTGGCTGTGATTAGCTGCTGTGTATCTTAGTGTGTTATTTCTGTGACTGCCCCAATTACGTTTCTATGATGTATAAGTAAACGAGATTCATGTGCTTGATTGCATTGTGCTTGCTGGGTGTTTGTAGAATATGCTTTCTACGCTTATCAAGACTTCACTTTTGCCGTTTTGGGATCAAGGTAGCCTACTTGGACGTTGGTTCATTGTCTCGATCGCGTTTATCGACTAAGGTGAACTCGTAATAGCTTCAAGCGTACATAGTGATGAACTTAACATTGGCTTTCAAACCAGATGTCGAATGACCCGATACACGTAGCAAAGCATAACTGAAGTGGGGCATATAGTTATCATCGATACAGCTTTTAAAATGCAGAGAAATTGTCAGGGACAGATTTTTAAGTTTTTAGAGGCCTCAAAGGCAGTCAAACCAAAGTATGAATAGAACTATTACAAACATATATATGCTTCAGCCAGTGCAAAAATTAACATTTACTGCAGTAGCGAAACCCTGGATATTATTATTTTGCTGCTTTATATCATTAATACCCAAGATGTCGAACACAACTGATGTCAAACAGTGAAAATTGTTCATTAATATACTATCCAATAAAATATGAACCACTTAAGCGGAACTCTTATTGCCGAAGGATAAAAACTTCTCTACAGTTTACAAGCGAGGGACATATCGCGTTAATGGGTAGGAATAAATATGCATCAAAGAATTGAGGTTAAGAATGAATGGTGAAAATTCTAATTAGACTCAAAGACCCGAATATACGTGAACTTCACTTTCACTCTAAACACAAATATACATTTATTAAGTAAAATATTATATTCTGAAGAAGTAAGACAACGAAATTGATAAAACATTACATTTCATTAGCTGTAAAGAATAGCTTGCTGCCACGGTGAGAATGTCACTTTGCATTAAATATTTTCTACTTTCGTTAAGAGATTGGTTTTGATGAGGCAGAGATTTCGCCCCAATTAAGAATATTTGGGAAGTAATATGGTTTAAACTATTAGAAAGCAAACAATAACACACAGATTCTAAACGAAAATACTACAAGTCACAAATACAGCAAACACAGAAAATATTTCAAGGTTTCGGATATTTTCAAGTATGAGATCTATTGGCATTATAGTATAACAGTAATTGCTTCACTTAAAAGCATCAGCCATTTTCTTTAAAATTTCACTATCAACTTGAAAATTTCCAGATTTATTTACAATTTCTTCAATTTTTTGAATTAAGTTACGTGCAGTTTCTTTCTCATTATCCAGTAAACAATCCACTGCAACAGAAAATTGTTTAGACTTTTGAAAACTTGCAAGAATCATAAAAACCATGTTGACTTTACAATCAGCTGATGACAATATTTCCTCCGTGTTATCGATAACATGATTTAATACTGAGATGATGTCAGGCAATAGCGACACACCCAGTCCAGTATTAAAAAGATTTTCCAACAGTTCACTATTCTGACTGAACAATAACTCTGATAAAGCATCACTTTCATTAATATTTGCTACTGTGGATGATGATTTGATATGACGCCATCGTACAATGAATTCCTGGGGAGTGGTAATAGATTTCGTGGACTGCGAAAAAAAACCAAATGACACTAATTAGAACACACTTGTAAACTAGATAAAACTAATAAAGTTAAAAATTAAACGAACTTAGAAGCTAATGAAAATGAGTTGTCACATTTGAGGTTAGGTACAACAAACTGTGTCACAATTAAAAAGTAATTTTTGCTTCAGACCATCAAATATGATAAAATGAAACTAGCGATTTATCATACGTAACGATTTTATATTATTTTTTGCTTGTTGATGTTACAATCGCGAGGAGACAGTGAAAGCACTAATCTTACAACATGAATGAGTAGTTGTCTTGAATTTGTTATAACGGGAGTTCTTCTGATATTTTTTCTCAGTATTACTACAAAGCGAATAAGTTCGCGATTGTGTTTAGACTGCCACTTGATTGGATACTCACTACACAGTTTAGATCACTTCAAGCTGGATACACGATTCACGATGGAACTAGAGAACCAGAGTGACCTTTAGACAATATTTTACTCGATACAATTACAAGTAATCACTTCCAGTGATTCCGGAGAAGAAATCAATTAGAAGAAGGGAAACCACCAATTCAATAGTTAGTAGGTTGTGCCTGTTTGTGCCGAGGACTAGTCACAATTTTCTTCTTACTACCACAATTTAATGGAGGTTTTTATTGTATTTCTATAAATAGCAACATGCATGTTTGGGAAATATAATTCAGACAATCAGTTGTAGAAAAGAAGAAATAACAATAACGACTGTATTACATATCGAATCCTAAAGAATAACATTCAAAATTAATTGCAATTGAAGTACAGACTAAGCAAAATGAAACTAAGTTCAACATTTGGAAGCTAAAGAATGTTAGCAACTACACCATAGAAGATAACTTTGAGTAATGTTGCCTTTTTCTCAACATTATTTTTGTGTACTTTCTTTTATATCTTCACAATAACATCATCTTATCTTGTTCAGAATATTTGTTGATGTCTCATTGTTTCCAGAACATTTGCGTTATAAATAAATGGTATAATTCTAAGAGATACGAATTCATCAATCTGTTGACGCTGTTTGAACTAAGCTAAGTACTTACGATAGGTGAATTCATTCCAGGCTCTGAGAACACGTTATTATTACCCAATAATGTTGTTGAGTAGTTCCAGCTAGACTTTTGACGAATAGTGTTGGTCAGTTCTGAGCGATCCAAAGGCTTCAAATGGCATCCAGCGACAAGCTCTCTAACGAAAAGAAAATGAAACAGCTCCGACCATCAGGTAAAGCAATCAAAATTTTCCGAATGCTTAAACTATCCTATAAAATTATTTACATCATAACTGTTATATATATATATATATATATATATATATATATATATATATATATATATATATATGGAGAGAAGAGAGGTATGTGCGGGTGTAAGAAGGATTGGATTGTGACCAATTAGGTCTCGTGTGCTGTTACGGGTAGGAGTGCGGTTGTCACTTCCCGGCTGCCCATACTGTGGAAGGTTGTTTCTCGAGGGACCTGAAAAGGAAGATAGATTAGTGTTGGTCTTAACGACCTGGGAGCATGACCGCAGTGCCAAGGAACAACTGCTTGAAGCCGGTCACACACGGCCTTTTTATGAGAAGCCCTTAGTGGGCACTCTTACCGACGGAGACGGAAATCCGTGAGGTAGGGTGACGTGTGACATTTTTAGGGTCTACCTTTTCTAACCCTTCCTTCCTTGTGAAAAGGCAGCATCGCCGCAGATACTGGTTGTCCGACAGAAACACCTTACTGCTGTCACACCCGTCTGTAGTCAGCAGTACGACTTCAGCCCCAGACATTGAGTAGCTGCTTTTAGTCTCATCGTTCTCCAATCGACCTGCCTGGCATGGTAGAACATTCAGGAACATATGTTGCAGCCAGTATAGCTCGTTTGGGTGATGACGATAGGCAAGCCCGACCACCACGTCAAGGTAGCAGCCACGGTCCGAAGTTTGCATGCACTGGTTAGAATGTGAGCTGTTTTGCGGGGGTAATAAAGCGGTAAGAACACGCTTTACAAACTAAAATTAGTTCACTTTATGTGGGTTACTGTCAAACTACAGTAGATATTTAAATTTTAGCTAGAGAGAAAAAATTATAATGAAATTGTTTTGTTCTGTGTCGTCCCTCGAACTAGATAAGTGACTAATAAAATACAGAATTCTATACACTATAGTATATGTTATGTTTAAGGAAGGTCATTCCTTCACGATTCTGTTTGTCGAATGATCATCAAGTTTGTCGTAGTGGCAATGAAACTATTAGAAGCTGTGACAAAGCATGTAAGATTTTGAGTTAATAACCTACAGAATAACTCTTGATGAATAGAAAAAAAACAGCGGACAATTTAAAACAATTACGTATACCTATAGTTGTAATCATCAACTTTTACAGTATGAAAATTGATGTGGATAAATGGTAACTGAAAAACCAGTATTTGCGAATATCCATTTTGAACAAGCTGAAATAGAGTGGGAGATTTAGATAAGATCTACTGACAAAAGTCGACTGAAGCTTATATCCATCTCAATAACATCATCAGAATTCTTCCGAATATGTGATAGAGATATGAAGATTTGATTATTATCTTTAAAGTCAATATACTAGGACAATGAAGTTTAAACTCGTGTATAATAATCTCGCCCATAAAAAGGTTATCCAGAGAACATTGATCAAGAAGCTTGCATAACTGGAAATCGGCTACGTTCAACACTTAGTGACTTCATTATACCAGATGGAACCAACAAACTATTTCTAAATAAACAAATGGGATTAAATTTTCATATAGCTATAAATAGGTTGACTTAACAACTAATTATTTACCTCGATTATATACAACATTTGTCCGTCATGAAAGATAGTCGAGTCTTTAGTTCCGATTTCTACATGAATCTTAAGTATATGTTCACAAATTGAAAATTATGCAACGCAATCACTATCTCTCTTGGGTATATTAACACAAATGTGAATTAGTCAATACAGTGACATAATTGTTAGTTAGTTTGATGAATCTTAAAGCACTACCTCATCTTACAAAACATTTTGTATTCCAATTAGCATGATGATGGAGAGTTTGTCTTTAGTTATCGCTTATTTATTTTAACATTCATGTTCAATCAACAATAACCAATTATCTATCCAGTAATCTATCCGGTATACCATTATTTGTAGTGAATTTAATTATTGCTATGGCTTTATTTCGTTAAAAAATAATTTAACTAGCTCAATAATATTTACATTTTCAAACATATATTTGATCGACAGATTGAATGCCATAACATGAGTATACATTGATTCAATGTTCAATTAGCTATGGCAATAATTAGCCTAAAAGGAAATTCTTACATGTTCATATCTATAAAAATCCACAACAATGAATTATTGAAATCATGAGTAAATAGAAATGTAATTCAGGTTATGTAAATAGTGAAAAGAGTGATGTCAGAAAAAAAGGTCACATTACCAATGCATATATAAAAATATACTTTGTGATGCCGACCTAAAATCATCATATGTTGGAACTCCTTGTTGAACTGCTCTAATTTTTGCATCATTTTCAAGCCAATATCTGGATTCTTTGGCAATAGCTGAATTCATTTCTTTTTCTAAATTATTCATATTAATACCCAATTGTTTCAGATAATCACCATTTTGTTCAACCATCTGTTCAATTCTATCGATATAATGACACGATTCAAATAATTTAAAAATTAAAATATATACTTTACAAGTGAAGTGCATATATTTATGAAGGGATATAGATATCACAAATTTAATTCATTCAAAATATTTTAAAGATTAATCCGTTTAAATTCATGTGGTGCCAGTAATGTTGGACAACGTGAAGAAGAGTAACTAATGTCATGTAATCAATAAATAGATCCGAATGTTTAACAAATTCGTTGTTAATCCAGAGATTGTGAATAAAGTGTCATGAAACTCAAACATTTTAAGCTTCCTTTACGTATGTATGCTTTTTAGTCTTCAATAGATATATCGAAAAAGAAACAATTGTTGAAATATTAAAAATTACACAATATAACGGTTTTCTTTATTTTGTCAGTTTAAATAAACTGAGTAGTTTAAGACACCTTCAAATTTACTTAGTTATTGTTAATGTGTCTGGGTATTTACAACGAATACAGAAGTCTTGGTGGTTCATTCAAATGACTAACCAACTTCTATAAAACTTAACCCCATCCAGATAAAGTATTATCACACATGAAGTCGTAAATTTGAATTTTGGAAATTTCCCAGAACAAAAATTGAGATGAAGTTTAGTGTTTAAACTTTGGATTATTTAATATATCATACTATTTAGTCCACAATAATAACAGAAATGTATCAACTAATTAAATTTCATGCTGGCTAAAATCAATTGTAAAACCTATAAAACAATCGATCGGTTATCGCAGATTCTTCTTTTTTGATTCTTATAAATTGACTATGTTTTAATTTTAAAAATTACGAAAAGCTTTAACAATTAATACCATTTTCAACTATCAATTAAATGTGGAAGGTTCGTTCGATCCAGCGACATTATGCATAGGAACGCAGATTATTCAGTCACTAAAAGATACATGCATCACGTTAACTTTGAAACCAGAAACTCACCATTTTCTTGTAAAAAATCACGCAATATGTTTAATGAGCATTGCATTGAATTATATCATTCAGAACATAACTAATAATGCAGTACACGTCCTAGTGTAACTGTGGTAACAATCAATCTAAAATTATTTAGAGTATTACTAATTATTACTCCTACAATGAAGATCATCTAAGAAGAATTATATTAAAATATAAATGCCTTCTCCATTAGAGATATTTGAAAAATGGAACAGAATAAGTAATCAGACTAAACATTTTTCACACAGCTCTTATATATTGTCATTCAAGATCCTTTAAAATATGAAAAGAACCGGCTAAAAAAAGCTTCGGATGAGAAATTTGTGCACAGCTGAGGTTTTGGCAATTAATCATTTCAAACCTGACTCTTGTGTACAAAAGAGTCGTATTCAATCCGATACTTCCCAATTGTCTTAGAACCCCTCTGGTTTTTAAAATTTATTAATGCAAACTATTACCTTCGTCTTCTTGTCCTATACAAAGCAGACAATTATCTCCAACTTTTATTCTGTTCTACAGAAAATGATATCGTCCGAAAAAAGTTCTTGTTTGTTTTTTTTAATGAATCAGTTGGTTGTCTAGGTACTTTTAAAAGTGATAGAAATGTTTAGTTCCACAAATATGGTCTTTTTTATTTTATATAAACAAAGTTCACGTAGCACGACCAAACATTGTAAAATATCTTAAAACCTTTCAACATTATAACTGATAAAAAGCAAACATACACAATTCAAGTATAAAGGAATAAAGATTTAAGAAACAATTTTATTTGATGGAAAAGTAATATGAAAACATGAAGCTAATCGGAATATGTACATAATATAGTCTCGTTTTATTATACAATTTAGTTTATCACGGAACTTATTCTTATTGGTTAACAACTTGATATATACAAGTAGTTAGGAGGATTTAACACGTTTGCGCCATGCGAACTTTTCAGCTTCACTTAATTCCTCCCATCTAGATAAAAGTTGATTAGCTAACCAATCTTGAGTTGGTAGAGCATTGAATGCCATACGATGCTCACGTTTTAAAGATGGACCAATATGCTTTGCAAATAGTCTAAATGCAGAACGTGTTAATTCAGGATCATCACAATCAACATCCAACTGTTTTGCATAATGTTTATGAAGAGTTGGTCGATTATCATTATCATGGACAATGGAAAGATTAGATATATCTTCATGAGATTGTTTCACATTATCTTGAATAGGTCGAGTTTCACGTATATCTAACGAAGAATTCTTAGATTTTGCACAATGTGATAAATTATCAGACCGTTTAGTTGAATATTTGGCTTCTGTGAAAGTCGATGAGTCACCATCACCTAATTTATCAAGTGAGATAACAGATTGATAATGCAATAAATATTCCATAATTTTTTCATCATCAAGTGACTTAACAACGGATGTTTTAAGAGATTCCACCTCTGTAAGAAGATCTCTTAAACACGATGCTAGCACACACGACTCAAGTACTAAGTTGGCATTACTCAACTTTATTTCATCAATATGTTTCTCCAACAATTCACAGGCTTTTAAACGCCAATCTAGCCGATCTTCATCATGGTTTTCTGGTATATCTAATGAAACAGATGTGTTCATAACAAAACTGACCAACAAAAAGTTACCTGAAGTGGGAAAAGGAACAGAAACATCAGTTAAAATAACAGTAATAGAATGAATGAAATCATGATTAACATTATACGAAGGTTTACAAAAGTAGCTACAATTTTGAAAACTCGTAATCAAAGAGTCACTTGTCTGACATTTGACCATGTATATCATAAAACATAATTTAGAACTAGCCAGTTCCACTAGGATTTTTGGAAAACAAATCATTCTCCGTATTTTGCACATAAACAAACCTAGTTATCTGTTGAATTTTAAAAGATTTCTTACTTACTTATTTACGCCTGTCACCCCCGAATAGGGCATAAGCCGCCAACCAGTGTTCTCAAACCTACTCTGTTCTGGACTTCCCTTTCCAATTCTGTCCAATTTCTGTTCATTCTTCACATATCTTTCTCTGTTTCTCGACGTATTGTGTTTATTGACCTTACTCTTTTCTCTTGAGGGTTCCATGTGAGGGCTCGGCTTGTGGTGCAATTCGGTGCTTTCCGCAGTGTATGTCCTATCCACTTCCATCGCTTCTTCCTGATTTCCTCCTCCACTGGAATCTGGTTTGTTCTCTCCCACAGGAAACTGTTGTTGATGGTGTCTAACCAACGGATTCGACGTATTTTGCGTAGACAGCTGTTAAGGAATACTTGTATTTTCTGCATAATGGCTTTCGTAGTTCTTCAACTTTCCGCCCCATACAGTAGAATTGTTTTGATATTCGTATTGAAAATTATAACTTTAGTATTGGTTGATAGTTGTTTGGAGTTCCAAATGTTGTTCAATGGTAGAAATGTATCCCTTGTTTTGTCGATCTGTGCCCTGCCGTTGTTACACTAGTCGACTTCTCTTGCACGTTTTGTTGCGTGTGCGATAGAAGAGCCAAATCATCTGCGAAATCCAAATCGTCCAACTGCGTCCTAACTGTCCAGTTGATACCGTGCTTCCCTCCAGACGTCGACGTCTTCATAATCCAGTCGATCACCAGGAGAAAGAGAAAGGGTGAGAGTAAGCAACCTTGCCTCACACCGGTCTTCACCTCAAACAAGTCTGCCAGCTCTCCTCCGTGCACGATTTTGCAGTTAAATCCATCAAATGAAATCCGTATGATGTTAACTATCTTCTCAGGCATACCATAGTGTCGAAGAAGCCTCCACAGTGTTTTCCTGTCCACGCTATCAAATGCTTTCTCGTAGTCAATGAAGTTGATGTAAAGTGGTGAGTCGCATTCAATTGATCGATCCACAATGATGCGTAATGTAGCAATTCGGTCAGTACACGATCGATTCTTATGAAGTCTAGCCTGTTCACCTCGAAGTTGGGCGTCTACGAAGTCCTTCATTCTGTTTAACAATACCCTGTTGAAGACTGCCTGGTATTGAAAGAAGAGTGATGCCTCCATAGTTCTCACACTTACTGAGATCGCCTAACATCGATATTTTGACGAGATGTCCTTCTTTTCAGTCTCTTGGTAATTGTTCATCATCCCCAATCTTCTTGAAGAGAATGTGAAATATTTTTGCTGTTGCTGCTACGTCTGCTTTTAGTGCCTCTGCTGGAATGTTTTTTGGTCGTGTTGCTTCGCTGCTCTTGATTTGTCGGATGGTTATGCTGATCTCTTCAACTGTCCGTGGGCCAATATTGATTGGGCAGTCTATAGATGCTGTGTCAATGTTGGGTGGGTTTAGTGGAGCTGGTCGATTCAAGAGTTCCTTAAAGTGTTCCACCTACCTGTTTCGATGTTCTTCGGTGTTGCTCATCATTTCGCCTTGCTTTTCTGGTTTAAGATAGATTCCAGCGAGCTTCTTTGTTGTATCGTACAATCGTCCGAAATTCCCTTCTCTTGCAGCTTTTTCCGCCATCATTGCTAGGTTTCCACATATTTACGTTTGTCGGCTTTGATGATTCTCTTTACTTGCTTCTTTGCTTCTGTGTATTCATAAAAGATTTCTAAGACCCAATACGTTTCAGCGTAATGAATAATGTGAGTTGATACGTGAGTTTTGATAAGTTTTCGTTCCTACATTTTCGAAACATTGTGATAGCTATAAAGTTTTCTTTTAATGGCTCTAAACTAACTGAAACTTAAGTTATTTGGATATTAGTAGAGTATGGTAACATTAATTTGACAGATTTTGCCATACAAACTGATTAGTAGTACTTTATAGACACAGTTGTGTCGTTTCATTGGTGACAATTAAAATGCTTGCAGCCACTTATAAATGATTAAATTTAAAACCAAACCAAACGCTCACGTGACTTAAACCGTGATGTTTCTAAAACACAGTCAATCACAGGTAAAAAAAAGTAACATATTGTCATCAAGCATAATTAAACCAATCATAAAGCAGTAAAAGAAGCTCAAAGTAGGTAAAAAATAAAATAGTATTTTATTGAATCACAGTAAACAGAAATAATAATGCACAGAAAGATTTAAGTCAAAAAAAAAACACAAACAACAACAAATTAGGATTATAGATGAATACAGACTCCAAAAAAAACAGATGGAGCTTATAATAATACAAACTAAAGTTAGTAAACATTACTGAGACGAAATAAATGAAATGCTTCATAAATATACAGAAAAAATATATAAAGAGTAATCACAAAACATCAGATATGAATAGAATAGGAAATCAAACAAATTCAGCGTTACATAACAAAGACTTATAATGGTATTTTAAGCGCAGGTAAACATGGATCAACACGATTTATCCAGAAATTAGCACATGATATATGATAGTAACAACCAGCTAGATTAATAAATGCTGAATAATGTTCAGAAAAACTAGATGAATCATTACTATCATTATTATTATTACACTGAACATTAAATAAGTTGATTGATGAAAGGCAAACTCCACAATATGAGAACGAGGTTGAATTCATAAAATCTTGAATTACATATTCACTTTCTGATGTTGAAACCGACTTTAAAGCCTGATCAACTTTACCCTAAAATCCAAGATATTTCATTAAAAGTAATAATAAAATTTAAATAACTTCTTCACATATAGTGAAGTGTACTTAGAAAAAATATACGAAATGACTATAAAGAAATAGATGATTTCTAAAAGATATGACTGATATAAATTAGGAAAGATTTCTTTAAAAATTTACAATTATAGTCACTAAGCTGCTTATACTAAGTTCAATCCAGTACTCAGAAATTTTAATTGATAGTGGCTGACGTTTATAGACATCCTTAAATTTTCGATAAATATTCGCGGATTATAACAGTACTTTAAAAACCTTCATAGATCATTAAAAACAGTAATTGTTATGTATAAGCATTAAGGCTGGACTGGATAACTTCTAAGAAAGTGAGCATTGTGTGAAAAGTTAACAATAATAAAATAATTATAATTTTTTAGTGATATGCAAATGAGTAGAAATTTGTATTTCTGATGCTCCGTGACTTGCCGCAAGTTGCTTCTTCAGAGTAAAAATAAATAAATTATCAAAATAAATTAACACAAGTTTAACTAGTAAAAATAAAACAAGGAAGAATAATTTTAGTACAATCAAAATCATGATAAGCCTGAACATGTCAGTATCATGTTATTTTTGGTCAAGGTGATTTTATGTGAAACCTTAAAGTGTTATTTTTGTGTATGATGGAGAGTGAGAAAGAATATGTAATTTGTGACAAGAAGTTGAAAAAAATAATTATTATTAGTGTGTATGCGTGTAGAATTATGTAGATAGTGAATTGAGTCAAACGTGTGTACTCTGATAAACAGGCCATGTTGGATGAATGATCTTGCCTTCTCGCCTTTTAAGGGCAGAGCGAATTAGCATTATATGAAATGTTTCGGCTACTCGACTCTCTTTATAGTTGGAAAACACTTTTCGAATTATTTCGATACTTTTGATATCGATTTGGTGGCTACTGTGAATAGTATGTACTGCGCTTGCCAAATCAACATGTAATTTTTCCACTTCTGCGGGATTAATAGGAGACGTTTTTGTGTGGCTTAAGTGTTCTTTGGCACGAGTCGAGATTTCACGAGAGGAATATAGAACGTATCTTAATCGACACAGTGTAGTTTGTAGACAGTTTTGTGTGGATTTCAATGTGATGTTGTGCTTGATTTTGACCAAAGCATTTCTCAGAGTGTTAATTGTTTTGAAAAAAGCTTTAATTCTGAATGTTTTTAAAATGCGTCGTAAATATTTTGTAGTACGTTGACTGTAAGGTAAGACCACAGAATCAATAGAAGGATTTTCATTAGAGTTGTTAATTATAGATAGGTAGTTTCGTTTTAATAAGCTTTTAGTTAATATCCATAGGAAAATTATTAAGCCGTGAAATGTTTATTATATTATTTTTTTCCTTCAGCTGATCTTTTTCTGAATTAATGATTTTGGTAGCCATACTGAAAAGATTCACATCTATCAATTGGAATAGTAGTGTAGGAAGATAAAGAATCATAATTCTACACACATACACACTAATAATAATTATTTTTTTCAACTTCTTGTCACAAATTATATATTCTTTCTTACTCTCCATCATACACACAAATAACACTTTAAGGTTTCACATAAAATCACCTTTACCAAAAATAACATGACACTGACATGTTCAGACATATCATGATTTTGATTGTACTAAAAATATTCTGCCTTGTTTTATTTTTACTAGTTAAACTTGAGTTAATTTATTTATTTACTCTGAAGAAGCAACTTGCGCCAAGTCACATAACGTTAGAAATACAAATTTCTACTCATTTGCATTTCACTAAAAAATTATAATTATTTTATCAGTTATCAATTGTGATTTTGTTGTTCGCGTTTGGACAAAAAGTGTCCGAACCATTGAGTTATGTGACGGATAAGTTTTAATAACAAATATCTAGATCAGGGTTGCCAACATCAGCTAGATAGGGGATTTTAATAGGAAGCATTATAAATGTATATTTATAGGCAAGGTTTGGAGAAAATTAATATTCTGTATGAAACTTCTGCTAAAAGGTTCACTGTAAACTGATACAAAATAAGGAACAAATGCAAAGTCACTGGTTATTCATACTTTTTAAAATAACGTCACAAATAACAGTGGTTAGTGGAACCTATCGCGCGTAGAAATGATTTCTTAACAATAGTCAGCACTAATTACATTGATCAAAATTCAAAGTCATAGATCTTTAAAAATAGTTATTTGAAATGTTCATTTACACTAACGGAAGTATCGGTAACGCAAGAATAATTAGTTATAATCTTTTGAAAATATGATTCGACAGCGAGATTGGAAATGCGAAGTTACTTCATAAGGCACGATAATAAAACACTAGAGATCCTACTCTAATAAATTCCTGCTTTGATTTTCAGATTGCTTAGTGACTGTGTTAATGCTAATTGCTGTTGATTACTTTCATCATTAAATGTAACTACATTCCGTATATTAAGTGTTCGGTTCACTTTTCGTATCTTGCTTTCTCCCCAGATTTTCTGACACATTATACATTTAAGGTAGACGCAATGCTTGCATCTTGTTCGTGGATTTACTACTAGAGTAATTCTAGTCATTTGATTCTGTTGCACACTAACAGAAGTTTGTTTGCGGCCAATATGAAAATAACGGAAAACAACAAATATACAAAAATAAATACCTTTACATCAGTTGCAACAGCATACGACGACAATTTCCGAAATGAATTTTCAATATCTGAAAATAGTTGATGCATAGATCGATTAATTATATCTAAAAACAAATTAAAAAAGAGATAGTCATTGGCAGAATAGGAATCAAATATTCATACAACACTAACATTTTTAACAACCTACTAGATGTATCAATCGGTAATCCGAAATATATACTTCAAAGATAACTAGATATTGCTAGAAATATTTTACTCTAACAAAATTTATGGTAATGAATAAAGTTATTACTATTTTAACTAATTACTATGATAAATGATAAACGTTACTCAGTAATAATTGATACTTTGATGTGGAGATTGGAGTGACCAATCAAGATGATTTGGTTGAGTTATATAGGCCAGTATACTTGCTGGAATTCTACTATGCCGGTTAAATCGACTGGGAAACAGTATAACAGAAGCAGTAAATTTCAGATCGGAGGTTGCGTTCGTACTGGTGATTACAAATAGCTAGTATATTCAGTTTTAGTTACAATAACAAACATGGGGATTGTTGGATTTTGTGACTAATGTCACAGACAGATCATAGCTAAACAATCCTTGATTCTCAATGGAGTTCCAGGAACTAGCTCTCGAAATTAGTTAGTAATGAGCACATCATTTTTAGTTACCATAATAAAATGTGAAAACCATTCAGTGCTTTCAGGTTTTAACAGTTATTTAACCAAGATCCTTCAATGAGGTGAACTACAGAATCTAGCTCAGTAATGTTATGATTCGGCCAGATTAGTCTTATCGATTAGGCTTCATTTATTTTAACAATGAAAACTAGTTAATAAGAAGATTAAATCAATAATGCTAATGAAACAAGAAAATGTATCGCTTAAAAAGTACAACTACTCACTATACTTTTTGGCTGAAATGCTAATGCGTCTTGTCATCAAATAAACTTCAGTGGCATCTGAAATAGAACAAATAACACACACGCTTTATGATTCGATAAAACAAAATTGCTTCAAAGAATTATCTTAATTCGAAATCTGCATACGTTAATTCACAAATTACAGCTATGTTTCATCACACAACTTATATTTTGTGACGACAATATTCTACATGTTTAGTGAGTCTACAGTGACTAGAACTTTCAATTAATATTAGCTTGTTTAGAGAGTGAGTGCTCCATTTATGCATGCAATTTTCATCGAAGAATTCATTTTAAGTGGTCAGAGAAATTTGGCAAATATTTGCTATCAATATCTTCAGAGTAATACACCTCGAACACTGGACGAAAAATACTAATATAGAAAATGCCAAACTTTGAAATGACAATTTTAAATAAAACTACACTCCCACACTAAATGAACCGAAAAATGATTTAAGGTACTGGTTATGATACGTTTAATAAATAAACTTCTTTTATTAATTTCATAGAAAACAGGAACTGGATGAAAAATGTCTACACTGAAAACGACATAATTCATAATATTCCCATAAATGAGGGTTTGACTTGTTGAAGTATTGAAACTTTGAGTGATTTTGCAGTTTTACATCACCAAAATGGGAAAACAGTGAAAACTAAGGCGAATTGGACAACTATTTTATCTTAGTATGGAGCTCGTCAACTGGCAAAATCTACGATCCCAACACTGGTCGAATAAGAATTTCTAAGTAACATAGAATGCAGTTAACTGTCATCCCTTCATTTAATTCATGAATTAGCAATTAATTACAAAAGAGATGAAAAAAATTTGTCCTTTTCGCTATAAATATACTAACGTCACCCCTTATTCTTAATATATAATAGCTTTAAAAAATTTATATGAAGTTAATGTGCAGAAGTGAACGCTAATGTGACTGAGCACTAGGAGTGGACAAATAGGCACTCAGCTCACTGACTTAAATATGTTATTTACTCTTCTCTTATCGATTTCTACTCTGAACTCATTGAAAACGACTGCTTGTATTTGTATGGAATAAGTATATTCCAGCATTCACTATGGTTCTCTATTTTAGTTGTTATCAGGGATCCGATATAATTCGACCTAGTCTGTGTTTAACATACTGCAGAGAGAAATTTCAAATCTTCTCATTATATCACGGATTATCGTCAGTTGCTTTTTTTAAAATTGGCATCAAATTTGTACTTCTTTAATAATAAAGGTCCTAAATTTAATCCGATATGGAGGTGTGGTTGCCAACTCTTGTATTCATCATCTATCGAATTCAAAAGTTGACTAAAGAAATTGCCAAAATTAACATAGTACATTATTCTAAAAATTCTCATCTCATTTCCAATAGAAACAAAAAATAAACAATTTTTGGCGACAAACTTCAAAGTTGAGTTAGAACATTAAATATTTAAATAAATATGAATAAAATGAGTTATTTTGTCTGAAAACATCTTTCTTGAAAACATACCCAATAAAAAATCACATCCTTCGTCACTTTCTGCAAATTCCAACTGATCTTTCATATTTTCAAGAGAAGATAAAACTGACAATGAATCATTAAATACTTTCAGGCAATCAGTTAAACAACGAAGCCATTGTTCGCATAAACATTCCATAGAATTGATCTTATGCTAAAATAAAAATAATTCATTTTGAAGTTATTAAATAAGTAAAAGTATGGAGAAACACAATCTTATATGTATCCAGTCATCAGCATTTTTCATTTCATTGAAGTAATTGTAAGTTACTTCATATTTCTAAAGTATACACCATAGAATACTTTAAACTTACTAGGTGTTTCACCAGTTTGCTGAGTCACAACCACGTAACATATAAAGAAAAACTAATAAATTTGGTGAGGATTAGTATTCTGCATAAATATGTAACGGTAAAATCTACATCTTTTTAAACTCATCAATATGTTCTCGACTATTCCATTTATGTGGATTATGCGAACTACGTAAGAAAATGTTTTTTTATTCATAATTAATGAGAAATGTTATTGTACAATATATCTAACCTGTTCGTCATCATAAACATTTTCCTGCAATGGTAATTTTAATACAGTTTTATTACTCTCTGTAGCTGATGAATTTGAGGTAAGAAATTCACCAAGAATTTCGATAGGCTTTGTGTCACCAATGGAATGACTAGTTTGAAAATCTCCAAACTCTTCATCTAATAAGCAATTGCGAGCACTAAAAAGAAATAATCAGGAATAAAAACAAGTGTCTACTACCACTAATTGGTGAACAACAACGGAAAAAACATCTTCAAGATATAGCTGAAAATGACAGCTCAACAGTTATCGGTGGATCTCAGTAGCATCTACCGAACTGATGGATGCTCAAGAACTCATTCTATCTGGCTCTGAACATGACGAAAAGCAGAGTGAACTTGAGTGCAAGCTGAAAAAAGCCAACGCGATAATCGCAAACAATGGTGGTTAGCGAAAGTAAGACAGATGGAAAAGGCAGCTGTGTAGCAGCTCTCCGTCCTGCTTTGTGGTTGTGAAATATGTACAGTAATAGTAATGGATATTCGTAGGTTACTAGTAATCGATCGTAGGTATCTTCGTAGCGCTGCTCGTAAATTCTGGGACCAAGGAGTAAGCAGTGCTATAGTTACGAAGCGGGTCCTATATAAGGGTGGCAGATCAACTGATGAAGAAACTTCATCAGTTGAGGTGGTTCGGACGTGTTACGAATGCCCGACCACCAACTGCCTTGACGACCTATGTTTTATGGCATAGGGGTTGGCTGGAAGAAAGCTACGGTTGGCTAAACAAAAACATGACATAAATCCATAAAGACATTGACAAGTGGACTGAGTCATGTCAGTAGGCCTACACTACATGGTTGGGGCCCGCGAGACGATAGTAACCGATGGTTAGAGACCGTGAATGACATGGCTGAAAATCAGTTAAAATGAGGCATGTAATTCTATTCTTTGTGTTCTACGAAACTCAAATTAGTCTGAATTCCTTATGACCTTTTTTCTCCTTTCAAATTCATTTCACTTTAATATGATTCTCAAATCATATCCTCGATCCCTAATCTGTCACGTTACCACTAATACTGTCACAACCTCTACTACTGTTGGATTTAAATTGACAATTCGTTCTCTGTGTTAATGTGACATGGCAACTTGGATTGATGTACGTACGTACCAAGTTTTACATTGTAGCTGACTGGCTGGAAACTACACAAAGAATACGTAATGACAAGTCTAAAATGATGTTAAAACTAAACAACCATATATCAACACGTAGAATAAGTGTAATTGAAATTTAAGTATATCGCTTGCCTTATAGTTGATATTTTCTGTTCATTAACACCAGCCTCAGTATAACTTTTCGGGATATTTTTATTATTATCACGCTCTGGTTGTTTAATCTAAAAACCAAAGAGCGACAAACAGATGAATGAAATACATTAAAACAAAGCATATTATATACATTTAAACACATAGTTATTGATACGAAGAGGCACCAAAGTATTTGTGCACCACTCAAATCAATGAATTTTTATGCTGGATGTCCAGGTATCCAAACGGAAACAAATGGTTTTCTTGGAGGGTCACTTCCCGAGCCTTTAAACAACAGGATTAATCGACAAGACAATGGAGCAACGTTAGGACATGGAGTTCCATGGTAGCCGGTGACCAACATTTCATTCATGCATCATTTATTTTACCAGAATATTGGAGCCCATTTACGCCATTGGTTTAAAACTGAAGTTTTCCAGCTCCCTTAGATAGGTCCTCCATACCTACCGATCCGACTGCAGAGCTGGAGGTTCATTTTTTACTCACTTAATTTCGCCACTAATGATGTAAATCTTGTGCTTTCTACTAAATTTAAAAAAAACCATGTGTAGATGATAATTTGTGAACATAGTTACTGAAAACTCTCACAACTAATACTAATAGGACTAGTCGGCTACAAATGTTTTCAAACATAGACACAAGATGGACATTAAAGCCAACAGTATGAGACAAAGCGGTTAAAATGCACAGGTTATACGGAGATAAGTGCAAACTTGACAGAGAAACAATGCTTACTATTAGACGTGTATCGTAGTATCAAAACAAGCCAAGTACTGAGTCTATCTTTGGAATTCTAAACAATCTACACTGTAAATGAAAAACTCAACGCCAATAAAATCATGAGCAGTACTACATGTCACTAAATCGAGCCTTCCAAAACAACTAGAAGTTAGAAAGTGTTTCTAATTTTACTTTAGTGACAGTCGATATGAAAAAAATAAAAAACCAATAACTTACAGAAGTATTACAGGAAGTGAAGTCAGACCACTCAGGATCGTCTGTGGATAAGGTTCCTGATGAAATGAAATGCATGAAAGGATCTGTTATCTTGGAAACTGAATCATTTAATGTACTGGAGTCTGTAAATGACTGAGCGAATTGGTGACAAGAACCAGAATCCAAACGGTCGGAAAATGCAGAAAAGGCTACGGTGGGAGGCTGAAATTCAAACTTTGAAAAATCTGTGACTGCTGAACCTCGAAAACTAGTTGGGGGATTTTCATAGCCAACTGACTCCTGTCCAAATATAATGTCTGTAGAATTAAACGGCCTACTGGAGTTAGGGATTTGTATCATAGGGACAGGTGGACATATTTGCTCGTACAGTGATTGGATAGTAATAGTCTCAGAAAGGGCGCGTGATTGGGATTCCCATTGCTTACGTTGCGTAAGGCCAATTAAAGCTAAGGCAGTCACTAACTCAGTCAGTGTAAACCAACCAGGTTGAGTGCAGCTTGTAAGTGACCAAATATGATACAATGCTTCTGTGCTCAAATTGGACGATCGAAATATCTCGTAAATTATTGAACTGTCAAGACCATGACTAGGAAATAAAGAAAATGTAAAATAACTGATGAGACTTTAAACTGATCAACGCACACTACTAGTTGGATGAATAAAATAATTGAAGAAACCCATCGCATCACTGAATAAAAATACAGGCGATTCAGCGAAGATTCGCCAGTTCGGAATGAATAACCAGTCCCACTCAGAAGTGTAAACCTTTCAAAGGATTAAACGATTTGCTTAAAAGCTTGTGATAAATGAATCTCACGTTGATTGTCAAGTAAAGTGATGCACTAATTACTTTGATGACTGCCATTATGAAAGCGGTTATTTCTTTTACAGTATCTAACAGTTTTTGAACGTAGATTTTATTATTGAATACTCCGTCTTGAAGTATTATAACCATAAATAAGTAGAGGTAGACCATTTTTTAAGATGAAAAGATGAAAAAACTATAATATCATAGAAACGTTGATTTGGATAGATTTTTAAAAATTTAGTTACATGTGTTTGTATGTTTGCTTATGAAGTACATTAGCACACTTCAATGATTATAAGCAGCGTATTTGGATCTTATCAGGAAACTAAAATTTCACTTACTTACCTAAAACAAGGAAAGCACGGAAGAAAGGACACATGTTCTGTCAGAACGACAATTCTACCTACTAATCAAAAATTTCCACCAATCTGCTAATCTAAACTGATAATGATAAAAATGTACATATACAAAGACTAATCTTCAGAAATCTTCTAACCTGTGTAAATATAAGCTCATAATGGATTGTTATGAAATAAGTTTTAAATTAATGATTATGGCCTAATTACTAGGTAATTTAAAATACTGGATATATGTATTGACCCGAGTCACCATACTATATCAGCACATAGGGTTTAAAGTATGATTATGAATCCCAGACTTGTAGAAATAGAAATATGACTCAAAGAAAGTTGTTAACTGATGTATTTATTAGGCGTAAACTATCCAAAGATAATCTTCAACCTACCTCGTTGTAGCAGCACGAATAGCACTGCCATAAATTGGTGGCAAAGAAGAGAGATCCATCAACCAAGAAGGTTTCCTTAAAGAAGTGGCTGCTGAGAATGAGTTTGCAGTATTCATATACCCAACCTCTGGGAAATCAAGTAAATGCGATGAGTTTTCATACACTGGCTCAGTTGGAGATACACCAGAGATCTGGTCTGAGAAGTTACCAGTACGACTAGGCTAGTTTCAAAAAACAAGTATACAAAAACACAAAATAGATGAGGATCAATCTAACATGCGTAGCTGTTCATGACGCTTATTATTAATACAACGACAAACGAAACGACGTCGTTTATGGTGCAGGCGAGCTACCAATTTACTAGCCGTAAAACTAATACGGGTTGCAACAGTTCATCCAAAGTTACTTCACGGCTGTGAAACGCTGCCTTAAAAATAGAGGTTATTCGTAGGGTGTTAATATTTGATATGTTTTTAAAATACTGCTTGTGTATGTTGGGACCACCAAGCGAGTAATGCTGAGATCAGATGCAGGTTACGAGGTAAATATAGTGAATCAATCGATGGTGAAGTGGACTTCTGTCAAGTGAGGTGGTTAGGACATATATTACGTTTGCCTAACCACTGCCTACCTCGACACAATGGCTGCTGTGACAGGTTGGAAGAAAAACAGAGGATGTTAAATCAAGACATGAAAGCAGTTTATGAACTTATAAACCATAGACCTTACGTGACTAGGTAGATGCAAACATACTGATTCGGGTTCGAGTGATTTTCGTAACCAACGGTTAGAAACTTGGGTTGACATGGCTCAAAAAAATTCACAATGCCTAAAATGAATTCACTCTTTGTATTTCCTTAGATTCTAAGTTCCTAAATTACCTTGTGATTTTTTAATCCCATGACTCTATGTTTTCTGTTACAGCCATATTCCCTACGCCTTATCTCTTATACCACTACTATCATTGTTGAGTATCTTATTATTGCATGCCTGAAACTACAGACTTCTTGATTTTTTTTATACCTCGCTCGTTACATATATCGGTAACACATTTCCATTCTAGTATTTTTCCGTCACTTGATGTTGCCAACCCAGTGAAACAACCTGGATGATGAATGTACGACGACTACTCAAGAAAGAAATATTCGAAAGAAACACAAAAACAAACGAACATATGAAATCTACAAACCAGAGTTTGAGTAGAAATGCGAGCATGAATAGGTCCAGGTAAATTTGCTTTGGCCTTGGAAACAGATGAAGTATCAACTAGAAAGATTTAGCATTTCAATTTAAGCCTACCATGTTTGTTTGTAATAAAAGAATTGTCCATTGCAAGCTTCTTAATATAGTCATCAATATGAATTTCTTCTGTTTTTCGTGATAGCATTTGTAATTTTAGCTGAGTACTTTCGAATCTCCTCCGCTGTTCTTCGAGTGATGGACAGCATGAATTATCACTAAGCAAATAAATTAGAGTATTTACTTACATGGAAATATTCGGTTTATTAATCATTTTTGAGCCATATAAGCACGTAAGTTACCAACAACTACAAAATATAGTCGTACAGATCCCACATAATGACACCGGAAAACACCACACCATCTTAGTGTCAAAAAAACCTAAAGTAAAATCGACCTGAAAAAGTATAAAAACAAGTTATGTGCACTCAAAGTGATGAAGTAAAAAGTCGACAACAACTCAGAGGACTAACTTACTACAAGTCAAGGGAAAACAAATTTCATACTCTGCTTCTAAAAATTTATCTTCACAGATGTGTGATAAGGGTAAACAATTCAGTCAACAAACAAACTATTTAATGAAATCTTCGAAGGAGGTTGGCATCAATACCAATAAAGTGGGGTGAAATGCGAAGGAATTTGTTGTAAATTTAGTTACATGTAAGAGTTGAATCATTACAGTGATAACAATAAGGCCTATATAAACCCAATATTCAGAGTGACCTTCAGAGCGAAAATCATCTGACAAAACTACTACAAAATAGAATCCCGAAATCATTATTAGAAGGTTGATTTCCGCTTTCCGAAAATACTTCATATGCCATATATATATATATATATATATATATATATATATATATATATATATATGTTTGTAAAATGTACAACGAACTGTCAGCTGACAAAAACACAGTAATGCTGATATGACCACTACGATGTCCCTAATACTCACCAAAATTTTTGGGTCTGAAGTAATCTTCAATGAAACTTCTCAAGGCTAAGAGATTAAAGAGGTGAAACAAAATTTCTATAATTTATTGTTTCCCATTTCAGTAGTAATGTCAGATATACATGACAAAAGCACATTTTGAACTTTACTGTATTGATCAGAATTTAAGTTTATTAAACAGCATGCCTTATGATTTTACTCCACATATTGTGCATTTACAGAAATATTGAAATTGGAAGAACACGGAAAACTAGCTGAGCACATTTACAACGACCTTGCATTGAATATACCGGATAACTACGAAATACAATGTCTGTACAATGTATTGTTACTAATATCTTTTGCACGAACTAGTATTAAATAATTGCCTTTTTTGTACTTGATTATTTTTCTCTCGCTACGGCTCCATATATTTGGTAGTGTCCAATGGATAGGAGTCTAGCTACTCGACTGAACTGATTCTAGATGGTTGCCTGTTGTTTGTGAGTCTGTATGACCAGTGTTTGGAATGAGTAAGTTTGTTTCAGCAAAGCAGGGTTTCTGGATATGAGCAGCTATCAAGTTGCCAGGCCGAAGATCAGTTACCTGCAATGTGGAGAATAATCCGGAGAAAATTCTAATGCTATAATGAATAAGATTTCAGAACTAGATAGAATATGGATAATTTAGTTTATCAATTGGTAGTGAAGATTGTGAGAGAGTACGGAAGTGTAAGCAAAGGAGATAAAACAGAGATAATATGCGAGATAGAATAATTGAGTGATCTGAGGAGATGGAAATTATAACAACAAGCAAGTCTCAGGACATGCACCATGCACAGCTTGTCCATGAGGGAGATGATAATCCGTATGTGAATACATGTCTATCAAGTCTCTTCTCAAAGCTGCTCACTAATGGGTCCATGATTGTCTCAGCTGGGAGAATATTTTAGGTTGCAACGACTGTTAATGAGAAAAAGTGTGCACGAAACTTAGTGATAGCTCTTTCATGTGCGATTTCCCGAGGATTACATCGAGGGGAATGGTGGCGATGCTTCCGTGAGATGCTCACGTTAGGATGGTTTGACGAGCTTATTTTGCTGTATGCCATAATCTGGTCACCTCTGACTTTGCTGTAACTCAAGGGGAATAATTTCAATTGCTGCAGCCTATCTTCGTAAGTTTTAATTTTCAACCCAATCACTTATTTCTGTCTTAACCTGATTTTCACTGCCCAGTCCTCAAAATATGCAAAGTCTCTTTGAACCTCAGTTGAATCACCTTCGCTGTTAATGTACCTGCAGATATTCGGATTGTCTGAATAGATCAGTCCCATCGAGCTAACTTTGTCTGGCAGGCCGCTAATAAATATCAGGAAGAGAAGTGGACCTAATATAGTCCCCGGTCAAACTCCAGATGTTGAGGCTCGCCAACTCGCTTTGGTGCATAAATTTCTGTTCCAAAGTTAGTTTCTGAACCGAGTAACGCGCTACTTTTATCACTGCCAACATTAGTTCGAATAATTAAAAAGATTGCGAACATGAAAAAAAAATATCAAAATTATTTTAATTAGACCCCTGGGCAAATTTTAAGACCATCTGTATCGGTATCTTCTTCAGCTATAGATTTTCATCCTAATTGCAAGCTTCTTCACAACATTAGCTCAATTTGTGAAGACTCATAAGACTGTGAAAAGTTATTTATTTAAATGACAAATGTAAGAGAATTCAAAGTCTTTTACATGTCATGTAAACATGGTGCGTCAAAATGTATTTTTCTCTCAGCTCGGTGGTTATATAAGACACTCTAAAGAACTATTTCAAATATAAATTCGATTCAGCTTGTAGAGTCGCATTGTTTGCCATTTTCATGCTGTATATATAGCCATAACTCCGCCTGAAGCCGCTCTGGGGTTACTGTCACTCTCAAGCACAGATAAAAGATGAGGATTGGGCACTGGTTTGGCGATTCCTTCTTGTAGTAAAGTAGCTCGAGAAAAAACACTCACCAAAAAAATAATTCGAATCATTTAGACTCAGCCCTGGCAGTTGGAAGGTCTTCATTTAGAAGAATTATGACGTCTTTGGATGAAAGCTGAGTTCCTTCCTTAGTCGCGAGGTCGATGCCAGCTCTGGAATGACAGATGCAATAAACAAGTGGACTAAAATCTTCCCCTGTGACCGAAGACAGTGCGATAATATGTGGTGCACTATTCGCATGGAGTAAGTCAAGATTTCATAACAGCTGAACATTGTAATACAGCAGCTAGTTAGGTTTCTGAGTGTAATGGTCTCTCCAATGAGTACTTGAATGTTTTGAGGAGGATGTTTTGGTTTTTATGCTGTATCTACCTGAGATCCCATTTGGAATGTTGCGGCTTATCAAATAGATCGTGCTGGATTAAATCTGTTGGTACATTGGAGAGTGTTCAACCTGTTAAAATCAAATTGGTGACGAGTTCTTCCTGACTCCCTTATGATGAGAACTGCAGATGCCTGAATATTTATCCCGTATCGTAATTAGATTGGTTAATTTTAATATTCATGACGGTATAAAATCTGTTTTTCTCCAAATTGACGAATCAAATAACATCAATCATACCAAATTGAAACCACTGTGTTGAAGATCTGGCTGTTTTGATCATCTTTACACTTGCTAACACAGGACTTGTGAAAAAGTTACTTAATCCTCGCGAAGTTGCAGGTTCGGACAGCCAAATGTGACGCTACAATTTCGATTGTCGTTCAGTTTCCTTTCACGCTTCCTAACTGGACGCTATTACATTCATCCATCGAAACATACAAATCTTGCGAATTCACCCCTTCGGATTATCGCATAGTCTAGTTTTCAGTCAAGTGAGTATCTTGCACAGCCACAGCACTGCTACCAGCACTTACACTATGACGACCTGGAAAACAAGTGAAGGTCTGAACTGCGACTTTAGCAGAGATTCTAAAAATCTCAGTCCCTAACAACAGATTCGTGAAAAGCCCAGAGCGTCACTCGACATTTAACCTCGGAGTAACGTTTATAACTCAGACCACTCGAAACAAACACCTCCATTATGTCTCCATCAAAGAAACCACGGTGGAATCCTCTTCCAGACTCATGCTTCTTGTAATCATAGATGGTTAAAGAGAAGTGATAGGAGAAGGCATTTTAGAACTCAACTGAAGCCGTCTGATGATCAAAAAGGACATAAAAAATCAGCATCAGGGATGTTAGAAAAAAGTCACTGATCCTATGGCATAATCAGATGTTGGAGGGTAGCCTGCTGAAGCCAAACAATGTCGTCTGTTTAGTGGTCGTAATTTAGCTAAAGGTTTATCCGCTGTTTCGAGGATAAATTCAGAATCGATGCGACTTGTTCAAGAAATCCACCTTAAGTTCAGAAACCAGCCGGTGAAATTTCCTCCTTAATTCCAGTGAGGTACTATAAACAGTAGACAGTACGGGGAGCAACCAATCAATTAATAGACGGCCAAGAAAAAACCCGTATGGTGGTTCATGGAGAGTATGAGCTGGTTGGTGGCAATTTGACTGAAGCATGAGCACATGATATACAACAACGGAGACGGCTCTGACGTAGCGTAGAACTTCATAACGCTGTAGCAATCAGCATCACGCCCCTACTTCGTCCTTTACATCTCGAGCCTAGAGGGTTTCTGCATCTGATAGCTGTGAGCTTCAATAACCGGGGAGACCTGACTGAGACATTTCAGGCTTCGTACGGCACAAACCGTGGTCTCTCTAGTCGCAATATATATCTCAAAAACGAACACAGATCGATGCAACAGACCCAGGGACGGCAAATAACGCTTATATCAATCCTAGATGACCTTCGCCGACAAACTTTCGAACATCCAAACGCGAGCATCTTGACAGTATATCACCACTACGTTTCTCGATGTTACCCTCGAAAAAATGCAAATTAAAACGTGAACACTCACGTACGTAACTTCTCCTCTTCACTAAGAGCTGTTCACGTTTGGAATGCTCGCTGAGCCTGAGCGTCCACAGCCCACTCAGTAGATAGTTTCAAAAAGATATCGAAACCTGATATCAACTAAGAGGTTGCAGCAACTAGCATTGTTATATGAATACACAATTTACCATCATTTCGGGATAGATCACTTCAAATTTTGTTCTTACTACGTACTCACGTATAACCTTGACTATAGTTTATACATGCGTCTATGCCATTGGGTTTGTCTTCATACTTCCTTTTATTCTCTGCTGATAAAGATTAAGTCCTGTATTAATCGCTGAGTTAGTTTTACCCGCTGCTCGGTCTCTCGCGCATTTCTCCTTCATTTGAACCATCAGATGTCTAAATTATGTGTTCCTCAATGTTTCAATACTCGGTCTTTCATATCTACAGTACTATTAACGGCACAACACGTACAAAGTAAATATGAAATATAATTCGTTATTTTCAGTGTCATCCTATCATACGGAGTCAAATCCCAGGGCTGTAAAAGATCATGTTGATCAGCCAGACTACTTATATTGTTCAAATGTTAAAATCATCTGAAAACAAATGTCGACGATCTAAACGGACGTGATAACTCGCTGATGTGTAGAATTAAAAATAAACCTGATGTAGTTCTTTGGGGCACAGGACTTCTGACAGATGTTATACGAATGATGTCCCATTTATTCTCACCGTCTGTTGTTAGCTACAGTTGAAGTTTCTATTCCTTTCTTGTGTGGAACTTGTTATTTAAATGCTAGATAATTACATAATCTGTGAGGCAACTTATCAAATGCCCTTCTGATTTGTGAATATCACATAGACAGACAAAGCACTATCTTGGGTTACTGTCAAATCATCCATTAAAATTAGTTAGTTAGTTAGTTAAACTTAAAAGTTTATTTCACAACATATTGCTTGAGAGTGAACAGATTGTATGATTGTACGCGACTCAGTAGCTTAGTCCGAATTATCTCTTAATTCGATCAGTTACCGTGTTGGTTAGACTTGCAAGTTGGCTTTTAGACACTCTTCCCATATCTAATACAGAGCTAACTTGGCATCTTTCCAATCCCTAGGGATTCGAGCTTAGGAATAAAATAACTTCCAATACTCAATAACATTCGGGTTCTCTTACTGACCCATGGAGGATATGTTAGCTTACAAAGAGTTGACTATGTGTTGCATCCTCGAATGTGGCTTCAAACGTAGTATTTTCACCTTCAGTCGATTAATCTGTACTGACTAAAAAATTTGTTGAGATAGCACAGTCTCTGATTAATGAAATACTTGTCCATAAGATCTCAGAATGAGATGAAGAAGATACATACTGTAAAATTTATCTGAAACCTAATATGCTATACAAAATAATCTCTTTTCGCTAGCAGTGGTAGGGACGAGATGTTTGTAATGTCAATGGTGAGTGGTATAACAATAGTGCCTAATGTCCCTAGTCAAAATGTATCGATCTTACGTTAAAAATAGAGGTATTCACTGAAGACTAGTTAATTGTAATCGAAGCACGCACTTGAAGCTAAAATCTCTAACCGATTGATATGTGGCTCGTTGGGGTCTCCAAGTACGAGACAACAATTAGACTTACATCATCTAGAGTTTTAGGATGCTTGGTTCAATCTTCAACCCAAAACACACTAAACAAGCTTTCATGTTATTATAGACTTAGTAAAACTCCTGATAATGAATACCACTATTCTGCTTTTTGCTGTAACTCCAAAAGTAGTACATTTTAAACTCGATTAATGAAATAGATAGTAGGATAATTTAAATTGTTGCTAGTTTCTGCTCTTTTAAATCACATAATTGAAACCAGTTATTTTGTTACACTGGCTGCCATTTAAGATACATTTTGAAAAAATTTACTTGACTGACATCTCATCTGCCTCTAACATACAAGAGTAATGAAACTTCCAAGATTGGTTAAAGACGCGGTATGCTCGGCTACCTAGTTTATTTTGTTCACAGAATGTACTGACGTTGCCCAGTTCTGAGACATGAAAGAAAATATCTCATTAATATTAATTTGTTAAGACCCATGGAAATGGGTTTATCATGTTTGACGTTTATAAATAGTTCTGCATCACAGCACTTGTTAAATAATAATTGATTCTTCCCTTCTCTTATTTTGTTCTTTGAAATATCGTTCAGTATTCTACTTTAACCACCTTGTAGAAAATGCTTTAATTGCAATTCTGCAAGCCTATTAATAGCTTGTTTCACTCTGAGGGTTGATAATTAGTATTTTATACCGTGGTAAATTGGTATATTTCTGAAGTAGAACCAAGAATTTCAGGGATATCTTCTTTAGTATCACAACAATGTGTGTACAAAAGGCCTAAACGAAACGTTGCCACCCATTATGTTGATAATTACCTTTAAAGAAGTTTACTACAGTTCTCCAATTTATTTAAATCAAAGTAAAACTAAAACCCCAGATAAATTTGATGTAAATAAACTAACTTAAGAATCTATAATTTCTCAAAAGATTATCTAATACTTGATCAAAGCATGGAATGAAAGAAACTTCTAATATGCAATTATAAAGGCATGAATTTAATTTAAACCATGTATTAAACTAGCATCAACTTGATTGATTTATTTCTAGACTGTGCAACTTATATAGCCTGGCGTCCTCATACAAATAAGATAAAACAAGTTATGATTAAAATTTAGGTACCGAAATTATAAAGTTTTATCAGCATTATGATACTTAAAATGCAACGCAGTTGTTCTTGTGCTTATGTTGAGAAAGTTTATTGGTAGGTTCTTATTGACTTCACAAATTTTGAGTCTCTTGGTTTTTTATTTGAGCATAAATGTACATCAATGAGCACTCAAACGACAAACTCAAAAAAATTTTCGAAGGTCGACGATTAGTTTGGTAGCGGCAACTTGAAACGATGTACATATTTGCCAAATTTACGGTATATGTTAGTGTCTGTCTAACAGTATTTTCACTCTTTAGACATATCCTCTGACTGAATTTTAGTATTGTACGATCATTGACTGTGTGACATTTACTCATTACTAACAACACAGTGGTAACCAATAGCTAGAGTAGATGAGGCATTTTGTACTTTTATTCCAGGCTGAATTTTAATACCGCCAAACAAACGAAATGATTTAGTAGTTTCATATAAGTAAAATAGAGATTCTAGACTGAAGGTGAGACGGGTTTCATTTATTGTAAATTAGTTGAAGCATCACTTGTTCTGATTCCAACCTCAGGTCGTTTTTTAATCTTATATTCAACATATCTTTTGTCGAATGACGGTCTCCATAACTCTGAATATTTCTAGATACTTTGGTGTCGATACAAACAACTAGGTAAAGACACTGGATATCAGCACTGTTATGCTAATTGTTGGGGTGGTATATCTTTAGACTACTTGAATATCCCAGCTTGAAATGAAATCGCCTTCGGTTAGTTTGTTGTAACAAATATAACTTACCACAAACTATAAGGAAGGTTTTGGCGAACCGGACAACATGCCGGTAACAAACGATGCTGTTGATCGTTATGGATTTTTCGGGGGTGAGCAATTCTGGGAATCAAACATGCAGTAAGGTGAATCATCGGGTTAAACCAAAATATACAGAAAATTACCCGATTCCTTTTTGAAGAAATTACGTCGAAAAGAGTTGAAATGGAGGAACATGCTAACTGAATGGGACAAATGGATGCATTTTAAAACAGATCGGGTAAGAAACCGGTGTCGAAAAGGTATCGCACCAGCTTTACGCTCAAGAGTGTGGCAGTATCTCTGTGGAAGTAATCAAATTATGCATATGGAACGTGGAAAATATCAGGTAAACATTAAATGTATCCAACAAGTTTGCTGGCTTTTGGTGTCCAAACAAAACTGTCACTTTAATATAGTATAAAAGACTTAAAAGAAATTATTCGGTTGCTTATATATCGTTATTGTTTAGAACAAGTAAAAAGGTGATTTTCGGTGCAAATTTATGTTCGTTAATAGTAGACGATGTTTACAATAAAAATTTATATGTTTAGACAAGCATATAAACATTATCGTTAATGTTTACCATAGAATTAGATGTTTTGAGTTTATCTCAATGAGAAAATTGTAGATTCATGATCTAGGGAAAATTGCCAATCTTTTAGTAATTAAGTCTTCAAAAGCCAGAACATATTCACCCCATGTTGTGGTTTCAGTTTAAATAAACTAAAAGCCGTTTCATCTATCACTGATAAAAATCGTAAGCTATTTAGCGTGGGTTGATCCTTACGTTCATTATCTCTGCGTGGAGTATATCTACCCACTTGTTGATTAAATGGTATCAAGATAGTCTATTTAAAAATTGAACCTTAAATATACATTCCAACCTTTTAATATTACTACTAGCTATTGTTACTGAAACTCCGATACTGATATCAACGATATGAATTTTGCTAACAAAAATAGTTAGCTCACTGAATCTCTTTCTGTCTTTTAGTGTTTAACAAATTTGAATATAATGCGTAATTCTTCACCAGACAAGTTCCATACAATCGTGTTTATCATTTCACTGTTTTGTCTTGCGTCATCTTTTGTTCATAATAAGTAGACATTTATCACAAGGAGGAAGAAAAGTATAGATCACCGAATAGAAACTACAGCACTGATTTTTAAAAATAGAAAGGGATTCCCTTTTACTGAATTATGAATGAACAAGAATGGAATTTCTTAGAAGAAATAGCCAAGGTTGATTTTGATCAGACTGAAAGTTTATCTTGTTTTTATAGAAACTCCGGAAGTAAACTACAACAAGATTGCCACTAGTTTCCAATCTGAAAAATATCAAAGAGCATCCTGAATCGTTGAATTGGACAATATATTAAACCGCAACCAACCAGTCGTAGTGGACTAATTCAAAATAGTCCACTTAGTCTCAAATTTGGAAAATAAGGCGAAATGTGAATATTATCAGTGATAGTGAGCGATCCTCCAAAGAAAGCAGTGATCTGACATACAGCTTCTAAATAACCCTATCCCAGAGGGAATAAGTGTCACGAATCCAGAGCAGAAGTGATCTCATGAACACTGCATATCGGGACGGTTACAGCTAAAATAGTATTGCAATGGCGCTGAAGATTTAATTGTTTATACTTCTATCCATTATTTCACTTTGAGATAAATACTCAAAAGCCTACTCAGATACACAAATATCTTAATAGATTCCTACAGCTTCCCACAAAGCGTTGATGAATCCTACGCTAGTATCTTACCTTTTTGTAAATAAGTTGGATAACAGACTATAATATTTTCTCCATCCTGATGTGGTACTCTCATACAGTGTGTAGGCTAACCTTACTTCACCTTAGAACTTCAGAGTATAGTTCTATCTAACGGGTCCACGATGATCTCGACATAGATGTGTACATCGATCATAACCTACAAAAAATGTGGCATTGTCTAAGCGTTTAGTGGAGGTCGAAGTCATAATCAGCATGTCTACGATCGTTAGGAAAATGAAACAGAATCCAATTTTTTAATCGCAATCCGAATAAAAATGTTGCTTTTATTGCCAAATTGTTTTTCTATGACCGTAAATATTCGTCGTTATTTCAATTGATTTTCAGTCTCCTTAATATTATCTAATACGGAGACAGAGAACAACTTCTTTAATCCTAATCACTTTAAGTAAAGATTTTGACAAACAGTAACTTTCAAAGGGGAAGTCTGTGTAGGTTTTATATTTTGAATGAAGTTTTCACTACAGACTCATTTAGATAAGGGCTATTCGCGATTCCAAAGCATTCGAAAAATGCTTTATAGTAATTTCATACTTTTAAACAGTGTACAGCAGCTAACGAGAAATTAGACCCTGGTTCTTCAGATCCAACAGACAGTACGCTACTTCGGAACTACTAATTTAGCATTCATCAGTTCAAGCTCCCAACATTAGTCGAAAAAACACCATTTAATTAAATTGGGGATATCCTGTCGCTCCTAACCTGCTTGATCATCCGCAGACATGCTGACGTTTATCTTAATTTAATGTAGGTACCTTGATACATGAGTGAACATTCTTCCTACAGCCTGTTTTCTTAACCTATTTTTCATATTTAATCCACACACAGGTACTTTTAAGAATGCCCGGTGATCCGGATACAATTTCACAAATCGAATTAGATGTTGGTAGACAGATGCCTAATCACGTACTTTTTGCTGCAGACCACAGTACAGGGTAAGTCAAGTTTATCATCAATGACCGGTAGTCTCTATTTGTAGCTCTCTCTAAAAAGACATTTCACTCACGCATAGTCGATCAAGGTATATTATCAAAAGTTATCCCATGACCAAGGATGAATCAGACTGCCATTCAAGCAGATCATACTCTGCATGACTCTCCTCAAGTTATGACGGTATAAATAGTTTCGTTGAACATAAAGTAAGAAATAAGAAGTCACTGTTTCTAAGCATGGTCACTAAAATTTCAGTTTATATAAGCAATGTTGAAATTTTGACAGCTTAATTAGTAAGGTAGTTATTCGGAAAACTTGTATTCCCTTGAACCACTGGTGGTACAATGTTTATTTAATAATTACACCCAGCTACCAAAATTTTGTTGCAACTTGTGGGAGACTCCGACCAGATTCATGAGATGTTGGAGGCTGTCTTAGCAGAGGTAACGAAAATAACCGTCTCAAGGACGCCAAACGTTTCACTTGTCGCCCTAAATACTGTGAAGATGATACAACACCAGTATTTTCGTCAGCTTTCAGTGTTGATGTAAAGGTAGAATGTACACCGTCGCATTTGTTTATATGATTAGCGAGTTATTACTGTTAAACTAAATCTAGGAAGATGGCCAAGACCCGACTGTCTTCGAATGATGTTTTGAAAAGTAAAAACAAAGATTAGGTAAGTGTACTACCACAAGTAGGAAATATTTTCAAGAGAACGGAGTAGGTATACTTTTCATTTTATAAAGAAACGCTTTGACAAACTTAACTTGTGTACCCACTGAATAGAACGATAAATGATTACAAGTAAATAGTACATCGATTAAAGATACAAATTCTTTCTTGAGATTTAACATGCTCATTATTAAGTTTTTCTGCAGTACAGAGTTTTAAGAACCGCTAATTTATTAAAAGCTTACAACTACGTCAAACCTGAAACAAAAATACATACTACAAAAAACAACTTTAAAAACCTTATTTTGGTCTGAGAATTTAATAGACCTACACAATGACATATATATATATATCACGATGTTTCAAAACATGGTACGGAAAGTCGACAAAACACAGTAAGCATAAACATGAGTGAAAATAAGTGTACATAGAATAATGAGATGTTTAGGATTTAGTATAATTGATCCGTTTCGATATTTTGACTTTTTCTTAGTGGTTTGACTTTTCCCGATTTCGGAAAATCTCGAACACTTATATTTTTTAATTTCTATTCATTGATCAGAAAGAAATCTTTGTTTAATGTACTCAAAGCATATTCACAGCTACACCCAGCTAATGGTTATTGTCAGGCTCAAGCACCGATTGCTGCAGCGTTGCTTATACACATGCCAGAAGAAGATGCATTTTGGACTTTCGTCTGTTTATGTAATCGATATATGACGGATTATTTTAAATCCGGTCTTGTAGGTCAATTATTTTACTCAATATAATTATAATTCTGTCATTGATCATATATTCTTGTAACTAAACTGAACAAACTAATGAATTAAATTAGTAATATATGTTATTGTACTATTAAATAAAAATATACATTGGATACAGAAAGGCCAAATATCGTAACAGAATAACATCAACTCATTTATGATGTGGATTCATCTCAGTCGCTTACAATCTCAAACCATAGCATCAATCATGAAAATAACGCAAGTGTACATACTTTATATAGGAATTATCAAGAACAACCCGAGTTAAAATGTGGACATTGAAAAATATTAAGAGAACAGTCTTCAAGTTGAATCAAGCTCAGAAGTAAGAACTAAGATATTATCCATTCAATTTAAGTTTATTGAAACAAAAATCAGTCTTGTGTATTTTAACTCAAAGAAATTAAGGTAACTAAGGTAAAAGAAGATTGATAATTGTATTTTTTTTTGGATACATAAATTTTCTTAATATTAGTCAATCTCCACATTTTAACTCAGGATGTTCTTGCTAATTCCGATATATATAGTATGTACACTTGTTTTATTTTAACGAATCCGTGACATAAATGAATCATTGTTTTTTCTTTATTCAAGTTTATATATGGGAAAAATTGTATGAAAAATATTTCTAGTTTCAAATGTAACAGGATTTTACTAGGAATTCCAGACAGGACTCGTTGATAACTACCAACAACCAGTAAACTGAGTACAATGTTTCATAATTGTTTGAATATATATTTAAGACGAAGCGTAGTACATGTGTAGTGGTTCGAGTCGTGGATGACTATCAACACGTCTACCAATCAATTATGTTCGAGTCTTAAGCTTTATCCTGTCGTAAATTAATGGCAGGGAAGAAGGGATAGTCCAAACGAACAAGTGTATTTGCTGGCGATTTCGTGGTATTGAAAGAATACCTAAATCATGCCAGAGAAAATGATGAGAGGTATAGAGCAGCAAAAGCGAGATGGCGACCGCGCAGAAGCAAAGTCGGTAAAGAAGTACGGATAAACAAGATGTTCGGTAAAACGTCCACTGGTACAATTGGTTATAATAATGAAAGTTTCTGTTTATCCAATCGTGTTTTCTTCGTAAAAGTGAAATCACTACTCATGTTCAAGAATTTAACATATATTGAATTTACTCTATTTTATGGCCCCTATTCATTTGGAAAAGTATGATGATAATATATATGCATTAAAAAGGCAACTAGATAATTAAAACAAAACAGTGAACAGAATACGCGTAAAATAAAGAATTATAATCTATGATAAGATAAACGGACTGGTAATGTTTCCTCTTTCAAAAAAAATCTTAGTGTGCACTCTTAGGGCAAAATAGACACTTTTTCAAAATTTTCAATGTATATTGACCTATCCTGTCAATGGGAATTATTTTTCTCCTGTCGAGATTAGTTTCACTTCAGAAGCAGTATCTTACAATTCCTAATGGAAAATAGTACATAATGAAAACACTTTGTGTTCATTATTATTATTATTTTTTTTATGTAAGAATACTTGATTATTTTCACTTTACTTACAGTAATAACTGTTAATTTCTGATTTGATTCAAGGTAAGAGTCAAAATTGAATTGAACATGTTATTTGAATTAGTGAAGAAATATCAACCCGATATATACTACCATATGGTAAGTTTTCAATGAATTAGTAAAATTCATTTTCTTGAGTATATTTTATGATCTATCCAATAAAATCACTTCAATAACGTTGATTTACTATATTTTCTAAGTTAAGAATACTTTAAATTTCTTGAATTTATTCGATTACAACATTTAAGGGCTTTTATTGTTTTTATTTGCATACAACTTCTATTGAATAGTGAGTTACGGTCAGTAATAACATTAACTTTAGTATATGAAACTGAAATTCTCGGACCTATTCAAAACCATTTTTACTAGCTATAAATGAAATGACAGTTGAATACAGCAACAAACTGGAAAATCGCATACAGCTATCATATTACAATCAGAATAGAGCGAGTAATAATGAAAATACGATTATCACACCAAGCTACTTTTTACTGATAGATACTATTTAGCGATGAGCTGCTTGTTTATTCTTCCAGAATGCTTAAAAAAACTTCCGCTCCAAACATTAATTACTCTATACCATTTTACCGCGGAATATGTATGTCTGAAATAGTCAGTCACTGACACTCTCTATTTATTGAAAACTTACCTTCATTAAAACTATATGTTGTGCTACTCAACAAATGAACGGATTAATGCTTATTCTTCTGCCGGTTATGAAGAAGAGACGAGTGTAAATATTTTTGAAACTCGAGAATATACCTAGAGAAATCAGTTGGTATTTTTTTTTCACATCCATGTAATAGTCAGTGCATTTATAGTATTCTAATACAACTAGTTGCATGATATCATCTTCGAACTCATAAATTCTCTTTATTGATTTAAAAATCCTCATGTAATATTCAAAAACAGAATTTATGAACAAAAAAAATTATTTCAGTTACTTCATCAATAAGTCATACAATTATTCGTGATTTCATAATTATTGTCCTGCATTGGTCAAGATAAAGTATTCTAGTGAATTAGATAATGTTGTGTTCAGGAAAAATGGCAAACGTTTCTATACATTATGTCTCAGATATTTTAAGAATATATCATTTAAAAAAGGGTAGAATATTTGTTGTAAGGTGTTGAGTTTTAATCACCGTAATAAAATAAATCATGTAAATCGAATTCGTAGTAAGGTAAATTCTATCTAGTTCAGATAATAACGGTAATCGGTCAGTCAGTCAGTCAGATGCAACGGAGAACCTCGTACGTATGTAAATCAGTTCATGTTGCCATACCACATCAGCACAGAGATATAATTGTCAATTCAAATCCAATAGTAGTAGAGGTAGTAGAGTTATTAGGAGTAATCGGAGAGGTTAGGATTAGAAGATATTATTCAAGAAGTATGATTCAGTGAGAAAAGTTTGGTAAGTCAGAACTAGAGGGGTTTAAGAATCCAGAAGACTAGGATTTGAGAGAACACAAAGAATAAATACACCGGCGCCATTGCGAAAGGTTTTGAGCCACGTCATTCAGGGTATCTAACCATCGATTATTATCTCGCGGACCCCAATCAGGTAGTCGACAACTACCGACATGGCTAAGTCCACTCGTCAATGACTTCATGGATTTATGCCATGTTTTGGTTTGATCGCCCCTAACTTTCTTCCAAGCTATTCCTACACTACAAAACAAAGCTCGTCGAGGCAGTCGGTGGTTAGCCGTACGCAGCACATGTCCTAACCACCCCAACTGATGAAGTTGCATTGCTTCATCTATTGATCTGCCATTCTTACCTAGCACCCGTTTCCTAATAACAAACAACGGTAATAATAATCATAACAATAATAATAATAACAGTAATAATCATAATTATAATAGTTATAACGGCTTGTGAATTTGATGTGTGGAAAGAGAGGTATTGTTAAACTAATTATAATAAGAAACTCATGTAAACTTAGAAAGTTGATTGGGTAAATTAAGAATGGGACAGGGCACATATACACGTAAAAGGAATTAAGCGTCAGAGTCTACAATGTATATTTCAAGTACTTAGTGATCCAATCGTGAAACAAGTAAGCATATATGTTGAACATAAGGTCTTTTGGTCTTCTGAATTTGACTTTTTTTAAGCATGTTATTATTAAAACTCATTAGCACGCCTTATTCCGGTCATTGAAGTACAATAATTATGGACTAATAATCGTAAATCCTGCCGACTAAGTTATTGAAAACAACTGTTCGCTCCATAATGCTTTGTTTATGAATAAATATTACGCCTCTTACTGTATACGGACCATATTTAATTCACTAACAAATGTAATACTCAGATTCATGTCGAGGCCTTTAAGTCGATTAGTTATAGTGCGTTGTTACTGTATATTTTGTACGTAAAATGGTGTGAGTTTTTGAACTTGAATAGTAAAAGGTATTGAATTGATCATCATAATGTCCTAGTTATTGGGTTTGAATTTCACTTTGGGATATCGATCACTGTCGTGTAAAATGGCCAAGTTACCGGACTCATTGTTAATGGTCATAGGCTGAAATCACGACAATGTAATTTACGGAAACAGAATCTCTAAAGGGGCCCTAAATTAATTTCTTAGTAGCAAATAATGAGAAAGACGCTGGTAATCATAACGGAATCGGTAGAACTTAAGCAAAGTTATCATACCCTTAGGTCTTTTTGTACGTCTTCGCATCAAATCACTAAATACGATTTTATCAGTACAAATCTGATTTGTGATACACTAATTCAAGTATGCTTTTCGTATTTAGACCGACGACCTGACGATAGTGATGGACAATAATCAACCTTCATCAGCAATCGATACAATTATTAACGTTTATTGGTTCAGAACCTATGTTGTCTTCTAACCCAAGTCTGAAATAAGAACACAGAAAGCTCATACCTTCCTACTGTTATAATACAGACACTTATATGGATGCCGGGTTGGTGGTTTATAAGTTGAACGTTCGCACGCGAGACCCTAGGTCCTTGGTTTGATTCCCATGTGCAGGTCCGTGGTTGTGCATTGTCAAGGAACCCTATTCTGGAACGAAGGGAGCGTTCAGTGCTTCCAGGCTTTCAGTGGTGCTCTATCTTAGATCGGTTCAGGATTTCAGTGCAATGGTTTAGGAATGGTAAAAAATATATCAACAAATAATTGGTTCAGTCGAAGCTTCATACTATGAGGAAAATTAGAAATCATGAATCGATCAATGTTAGAGCACCATTAGAAACCTGGGAGCACTGGACGGACGTTTCGTCCTGGTATGGGACCCATCAACAGTGCGCATCCACGACTCCTGCACCTCGCAGGATTCGAACCAAGGACCTTTGGACCTGTGCTCACTAGTGACCATCTCTGTGAGGAATCTTCGAGTTCTAGGGGGAAGTTGTGACCAGTGAAGTTCAACCTGTTCGGGTGTAGACAGTAACTACCGAAGACAGTGTATGAGGTTGCGAAACTCCGTGAATTAATCGAAGTTAGACATTAACATCGTTAGGTGCCGGCCTGTGGTCCAGAGGTTAGGCGTTCGAGCGCAAGACCGAAGGTCCTTGGTTCGAATCCTGAGGGGTGCAGGAGTCGTGGATGCGCACTGTTAGCACAGGACGAAAAGTCCGTCCAGTGCTCACAGGTTTCTAATGGTGCTCTAAGATTGATCGATTCATGATTTCAATATTCACAACCCCATGATATGAGGAAAATTTAAAAATCAACAATGCAGTCATCAGTTTATCAGAACAACACACGTAAACGAACAATATTGTTTACCATTAAATTGTCATCAGGCTCTACTCTAATATACATGAATATTAATACAAAAATGTTGAACCAATCAAGGCAGTTTATGAGTGAATCACATAATAGGTAAAATTACAAGTTGACAGTAGAAAGACAGGTGTACTGGTAGTGATAAGAATATAACAATAAAGTGGCAATAGCTTTTGCTATCTATCTAATTGTTAACACGCTTCCTATTACGTGATTATAACAGGACTGTGATCATTATCTTAAATCTATTTGTCCAAGTTCGACCTAATACTTCTAATGTTGAACTATTGACGAAAACTTCTGTTGTATTTTATTATTCTTACCACTGACTACTACCAACTTGTTATTTCACCTTTAATGTGTAGTTACGTAATCTACTTCATTGTGACTACTGACTAATACATTACTTTGAATGGTTTAACATTTTCACATATGTACATTAGTGTAGAGCCTAATGACGATCCAATTGAGAACAATGTTGTTCGCTGATATGTGTTGTGCTAAAATTCACAATGGAAATGTTTAATAAATTAATTTATTATGTGCTAAAATTCTCCATAAATTAATTCCTAATACTAAATCCGTTTTGACAAAAGTATACAATTGTTGAAACAATGATAGAAAATGGTTACCCTTTAAAATTCATAAATCGATGGAAAGGTCACAATGTAATCAGGTCTACTACTCAGTAAATGTTAACTTAAAAAGCATGTAAACGGTTACATCACACTCGATTGCGTTTATCGATTTCTTCAATGTGTATGAGGCCACGCATGTAGAAAGCGGAAATCGTAATTTGCAAATTAGGGTGTTTGAACATGTCACGAAATGGCTGCAAAAACAAATCAAATGACTCAATGCGAGTAGATGATCACAATTCATCGTCTTCTATTACCGAACACACAATTGAAACAGGTCATAATAATGATCTTAATTCGGCTTTTGTTGTGTTGTATAGATTTGTTAAAGGACGTATACTAAGGTTTATTGAAGCCGTAGCCACACGAAAGTCTAAACCTCCTTCGTGCATTCAAGACAGTTTGTTCTCACATTAAACCTATCTTGGTGATATAGTGTTATTATCCAGGGTGGTGAGTCCCACATTTTTTTTTAACATCAATTTTCATCCTTAACCTTACACTTCATTTGTCAAGTTGACCTTTTATTTTCCTAACTGTTCTTAACAAGCATATGTGTGATCAGATTGTTCGAAATGTTTTGCGCTAATGTTTCACATAGTTTTGATAATCTTCATCTTTTCATTACACTATTCAAATTTATCAAAAAGACTAATAGCTTTAAGAGAGATCCTCTTTCCACTGATTAACACTGAAAACCCATTTGACAATAGTAGAGTTAGGGAGGAAAATTTGCAGCTCAGGTGGATAATTGCGTTGGAGTTTCGTTCTCTGAGCTGGATGTTTTCAAAGCCACCAACAGAAGGAAACGCAAACGATTGCGTGATCAAGCTGTCGAACAAATATCTAATGACAACAGCAGAAAACCTCCGAAAAGGATTAAACCACAACACAAATGACGCTTCGGAACTCGAATTCTTCACCCCACTAGAGTCATCACTCAAAACGGCCGGAATAAATGAAGAAACCCAACAAGAAATGAGACAAACCGTAGTACCACTAACACGACCGAAGAGAAGCAACGCCCAACTAACAGCACAAGAACTAAAAGCCTCAAGGAAACCCAATCAGGGAAGATATTGTCATTGTTCCAGGAGCAAAAGGACGCACTACAGTAATGATGGACAAGAAAAAATCTATCAGAAAAGCCGAGGAACTACTTGAGGTCAGAAGTGTATCTAAACCAATAAATAAAAATCCAATAAAAATAGTGGACAACCAAATCTCAAGGATTCTAAACAAGCTTATCAAAGCATGACAAATTGCAAAACAAGATCAATGAATAATGAAATCCAATGGGCCAGTTATCCCACGATTCTACGGTTAGCCGTAACTACACAAACCCAATATCCCACTATATCCAATTGTATCCCTCCCTCGAACCCCAACGTACAAGTTATCAATTACTCCATCAAGTCTTCCATACAATTCTTGGATAAACCCAAGGAAATTCAAATTGACAACGAATTGATGATATCCTTAGGTGTAAGTCATATTCACTTCAATCGAACCAAAATTAACCAAAAAACTCAACAACGACACAAATCTCCCACATTATACGAAGCTTCAGAGTCGAAGTCTATTAGGACTCATCGATTTATTCTTAAGAGCGTACTTTCTATTCAACAATACAATCTACGAACAAACAAAAGGAACACTAATGGGATCACCATTACCACGACTTATCACAGATTTCGTGATGCCGAGACTAGAAGCAACGATTTTATCAGTGGTTAAGCCAAAAATGTGGATTCTTTATGTGGACAACACATTTATCAACATCATCAAAAGGAACGAGCTGGAGAACACCTACAATTTGATCGACAACGTATTTGATGACAATCAATTCACAATGGAAAAACAATCAAACAACAAGCTACCATTCCCCGATGTACTAATAGCCAGAACTGACACAAGAAAACTGGAGGCTCAAGTATTTCGGAAGCCAACCCACGCAGATCTTAGTCTCAAATACAGTAGCAACAACCTAGGAACTCACAAAATCATCTGCATGCAAACTTTGTTCAAGAGAGCAGAAACACACTGCAGCACAACACATGAAGCAGAAAAAAACGAAGGAAAATGTTTGATGCTATATTCTGAAAGAACAGCTATCTACACAACTTCATCAAAAATTGTCAACTAAAACCATCAACAAAAACGAAATCAAGTACAGGAACTAACGAACGGATCATCTCACCATATATAAAAAACATGTAAGAAATTACAGTACGATTACTGAAACCATTTGGAATAGTTGTAATACACGTACCAACAGAATCCCTTTAATCAATCCTATGCAAACCAAAGGACAAAATAATAAAAGAAAAAAGACCAAACATCATCTACAAAATAAACTGCTCAGACTGCAAAAAAAAGTACAGCGGACAAAGTCTACGTGAACATCAATTAGCAGTCAAAGACCGTGACATTTCTTCCCTTTTATCAATACATACGGTAAATTATGAAGGTGCAGACAACGACAGGTTTAAGGTCAATAACAACCAATCAAGATTGAAGTCAACAGAACAAGCTGAGAGTTATGCGTGGAGAAATTCGAATACTTCACTTCTACCTTGAGTTTGTGCTGATGATGTTGTTCAGAAGAACGTTGAAGGCTTTACAAGCACAACATCCAGCTCGAAGCTCCATCACAAAATAAATTTTAGGGAGGCGTTAATTATGGGCTAATAAAGTCTCTGGATGGTCTTCATCATTTGAATCGTTAACACTTTTCTGAATTTTTTAAACATCAGATGTTAATTTTATTAATGTAAATAAATACCTCCTCTCCCAAGTTCCCAAAATGCGTTCTGTTATTCTGGTGTTATACCAATTTTTGTAAATATTTCAGATGTCTTAAATCTCCAGTAAATCTAAAGTTAGTCTGAGTTGACTCTACTAAGCCCAAAAATATGAACCACGACTGTCAGATAGTGATTACCTTGAATGGTATGAGGAAGTAGTTTCGTAGAATCTTTACTGTATGAACTTTTTTATATTTTTAACGGCAATACGAGTGAATTGTTGCGATAGTTTCATTTATTTCATGAATATAGGTGAAATGTAATACAGAGCCTGCATATTTTGCTATTGACTGGTTCATGTGTTTGTATACACGCAATTTACCATGGTCTACAGTGCTCCGTATATGGGATATGTTCTTCTTTGAAGGTAAGTATAAACTATTTTTCTAAACACAAAATATTGGCCAGGTCGTTAAGTTAAACAAAAGGATCACTTCACTTTGAAGATCTTTGATTTTTACTTAAATATTATTTAATTAACTAATCGTCTATGATAGTCTATGAACACCTTACAACAAAATGCGATGGAAAGTATTTTAGCCATTACTTGTGCTCAGATAGCGGCACGCTATTATACTGACAATTAGTAGTTATATCCTCCTATCAACGGGTGAACGTGTAGGAAATTGAAAACGTAATCCTATGATAGTCGTACAAAATTATTTCAAAGGTTTCTATTTCTGATCACAAAGCATCAAGAGTGATGTTAAACCTTTAGAAATGAAGCTATGAAAATAGAATGTAGAGCTTTCAGTAATTACTTCAGAAGGGCAAATTATCGATTTCATACGAAACGACTTTATATTAAAAATTTCAGTAAGATCTCTTTTTATAACTCGCATTGAATAATTCACACAAAATTCTTTCTACAAAGCAATCGACTTACTGAATCGGTTAATCTTGTTGCCGGAGTTAAGTTCCAATTTGTGATGATTGAATACTTCGTTTAAGAATAAGATGTCTTTTTCCATAATCGGTTTTGTTTAGAGGACAGAGTAATAAAAGGAGTCCGTTAAATTCAAGTTGAGTGTAACAAGCTTTTAATGGTAGCTGATGTAACGTATTATTTTGTAAGTAAACAAAATTGTACACACAAACCGACTGCCAGTCGATAAGTAAATTAATGATCATTTATTTTTCACAAACTTGTAATTTAAATAACTTTTGGTAGAGCATCAGATAAATCATACGTATATGACTGAAATAACGGGACTATCTACAAAATAAGAAGAATTCAGTGAAGAAAATTATTTTTCGAACAAAATCATTTGCCTGAGATTTACGTTTGTATTTATAGTTATTTGAAGGCTGATTGATCTCTGTTAGTTCTGGTGACGATATTGGTCGCTCACTTAATCCTTCTTTGGAATACGGATGGAGCTTCAACCACGTGTTAAGGTGGCTAGCTCCATTCGTTGATGACTCAATAGAAAATTTCAGTCAACTAACAAGTAACTTGTTCTGAAGTGGTAAACATTTTTAGAATACCTTCGTAAATCCCCTTATTTCGGAAGAGATCTAATTACTGTCCGTTTTCGAAGTACATCATAAAATGAAATTGTTCATGCTAGGATGACTAATATGCATAAAAGTAGAGGCCGCTTTATTGATTATTTAAAAATCCGCATATTAAAACATTAACATATAAACGGAAAATATTTTTTCCAATGAATTCTCGTCAGATTCTACAATTATGCATCTGTTGTGGTCTGACACTAGCCAATATTCAGAAGACGCAACAAGGACTGAAAACTTGACTGATCTAAGCTCTAATGACGGCCCGATACTGAGTTGCCCAGCTGAAAATGAAGAAAACAGACCAGTTATCAACACTCCAAGATTCGTCCATACATTTTTGAGATTCTTCTATATACACACAAAACCAGACCACATCTCATCAATAAATGGAAATTAACAATTATACTATAGTGAGCCAAAAGCGGCTGTGAGTAGGGGCGGTTGTAAAGAATAAACTGTCAACAAAATAGGAACAGTAAACCATATGACAATAATTTATGGCTTAATAGTTAAGTACATTCGTTTATGTCATGATAATATCCATGAATCGATTTTTTAAGTTACTATTTACATTTAGTCTTCATTTGGATATAACTGCTCGCCTCTCTTTGAAAATTCACAGGAGAGTTTTGACATGGTTGCATTTTTGTCTTTGTATGATGACAATATGCAAATTAGTAACCCAAAAAATGGACAGGTTTAAGGCAAAATAAGTAGTTTCAAGTTATAGCATATCTTGATTAGGGGATTGTTTGTGAAATCAGATAAACTTGTTAAGGTTGTGATGACTAATATAAAGTGTTAACTTGAGTATGTTTATACGTTAAGTGAAACTGTGACACCAATGATCCGATTAAATATGGTTCAGATGGAGTGAGAGAGGATTATGAAGATCTCAGTATCTCAGGCGAAGCAATGGATTCACAGGATAGCTGGAATGCAGCCGGACGACCTAGATTTTGCTGCTCATCTGGTTCTTTTATCCCACGCGCAGCAAAAATGCAAATGAAGACAGACAGTGTAGCAGAGGCTTTGTTACCTTACTTTGACTACATGTTGACATCATCCTACCATGAATCCCGATCGATACTAAAGCAGTTAGTCAGTTAGTCAGTTAGTCCTCTCTAACCTCTCTGATGTGGCAAATTTACCTAGGCAGAGGATAACTGACATAAAGGTTGTACTTAATACGTTGTTCTTTTCTAGTTTAAACTGGGAAGTAGCATCAAGAAATCAAATACTGTATTATTAGTAAAAAGTATGAAGTTTTACACAGTTATTCTTTGCTACTTCTCATTCTAGGTGTGAAAGTTATATTTCGTATAGCACTTTCTATAATTCAACTTTTATTGGGAGATTCAAATTCAAGAAGAAGATTGAATTCCATGGATAAATTAGTGGAATCTTTACGTAAACTACCCAAAAATATAGTCAGTGAAGATGTGCTTATTAATCATGTAAGTTGAAATAATTTATTTATTAATGTAGGCAAAAAATTACTGCAGAGCATTTTTTTTCATCTATGCAATGTAATTTCATCACATTCCCAATTTTCTGAATAAAAACTCCTGTATCTAAAGTCACTGCAGATATATGAATATATTTAATTATCATATGAATAAAACAGCTAAATATATCACTACCTATCAAGAAGTAACAAAATCTAAATATATATCTTCGAGCTATGAATGTAGCTAATATTCTATACTATACAGTCTGAGATAGTATTGAGATGCAAGAAATCACACGGTAAGCACATTGGAAATGAGACATTGTATCATGATCCTTGAAATAAAGTGTGAGGTGTGTAGTAAAGGTTACCAATTAAATCGGAAAATGATGGCTGAATAACTAGTGTTTGTTTGGTCAGTTTACTACAGTAAAATACCTAGTCTTTTGTTTGTCTTCTCGCATCTCATTGAAACCTAAAAACCAACCAGTTAAACCAATACGAATTTGAAATTGAAAAAGAAATCATCTGGTTATCTGATATACATGTGACCTTTATTAATACTGTTCAAGCAAACGTGAATAATTACTGATTGATCTATGAAGTGATAATTAGGCCTCAGTATATCTTCGTTTATCAACTCGATTTGAACAAAATCTTTTAATGTATTTTATCCATTTCGTATTTAATGAGTCGATCATTTAAAATGAGTTACAACTTTTATCTCACTTGTATTGTCTTACCTGGGCGCTCAGTAGTTCATTCATTTCTTTGAACTGCAGACACGGAACCACTTTATTTGGTGCATTTTTGATCTCTATTCAATCAGTCAAAATAGCTTATCGTAAAACATACCTTCAGTGCAGTAATAGTCTTTTGAACGTGAACATTTACAATTAAAATAGTTAGCTTAAACTGAATAAGTATATGTAGGTTAAATAGGTTTCATATCTTTAAAACTTTGAATTAAATAAGGCGATAGTGATCATACTGTAACCTAACTACTAAAATAAAGCATGTCACTCAATAAAACAATTATCACGAATACCGTTTATTATGAAGAATACGATAATAGAGAATTCTCTGTAAATTACCTCGTTTATGTTTATAAATCCGTTCATGAATCTTATTCTTGAATCAAGTAACAACAACGATTTGAGCTGAACACCAAGAATTTATTTTATTACGTTAGGTTCTCGTAAACTTCTAACAACCTCTAATACTTTAAAGCAACTTGTTTTCCTTTATTCCATTTGGTTCTCACTTAGATATGGTTTGATGATCTTTTTCTATTACTTTTATCAATATAATACAGCCTTCTGAAGGATTATATATGCATATTCATAAGATTCTACTCAAAACCTGCAAAATGAATTTTCGATACATCATGCTGAAACATTTTCAAACTAAATTCTAACCAGTTTGATTTCTATTAATATGTTAAACCTTGTTCGAATTAAACTTTGAAGTATAACAGGTTATAAGGAGTTGATGAGAACCTAACTGCTATACCTGGAGGAAGATTCAAGAAATGGTAACTTAACTACAGGGAATTAACTTATGAATTACTACTGTATATATTTTCATTGTATAATTATTAAATAACTAAATTACTACATTTATATTCCTTTTGCCATAAGCTGTCGATTAATACAGTAACTACTGTTGTTAGTTTATCACTCACAGACTCCCCTATTCACAACCAAAGATGGCTTTAACTACAAATAAAGTGAATTCAATGTTGTTCAGTTTAAACAGTTGTTTTTACTTGATTTAAGTTAATAATTAAAAATATGCGCAAATGTGTACAAATATAAACTAATACTTTTTAAAATATAGTTTCTCCATAACCTTGTTTTTCTCAAATAAATCATTTTATTTAAATTTGTTTTTCAATCCTAGTCATTTCGCTATACGTTTATCAATAAAAAAGAACTTTTAAAATTGTACCGAGCACAAGTAAAATCCATTGAATGAACATCATCGTATTCATTTCAATTCGTGAATTTTCTTTTCTACAGAAAATCATGTAAATTGTTTTTTTTTTCTTCAGAATTTTACACTTGTACACTTGTTATTTCTCATTTGAATTTATCAAAATTGTTTTTTAACTTTTTAAATTTTTAAGGATACTTTGCATCCTCTTTCTACTTCATTTTGCACATTCAATGATAGGGGTGAAATCATTGCAATATAAATTCCGTATTTTGCTAATTATATCATGTTTTTCTTCTTTGGAACAAGCTACATTTCTTTGATTAGGCAATAACTTTTTAAGTCATTTATAAATGCTCCGGTATTCTTGGAACAGTGTGTTAATTTCAGTTTTTGTTGCTTCCGCTATTTGTTTAAATATATTCATTGATCACAATATTTTGCTTGTTATAACTTTTGAATAATCACTGAATAATTTTAAATTCAAACCTTTATTGGATTTAGTAACATTAGTCGATCGTTACATAGTAAAATTTTTTCGATTTAATCTAAAATATATTTTATACAAGTATTCTTTACAGCAATTAATTACATTGAAAAGGTTGATTACATAAACATTTAGATCCATCTATATTGTGGTCTTGTTAGAATAGTGAAATGAGTAGAATTAAATTATCAATAGTTCGAACGAAACACAAATTTTATGCATAATGCATCATATTTGAAACGAACCATCGGTGATTTTCGTCTCGCGGACCCCAACCAGATAGCCTACCTACATCTACCAGCATGACTCAGTCCACTTGTCAGTGACTTCATGGATTTGTGCCATGTTTTGGTTTGGCCACCCCTAGCTTTCTTCCAACCTACTCCTACACCACAAAACATAGCTCGTCGAGGCAGTCGGTGGTTGCGTATTCCTAACAAATGTCTTAGCCACCTCAACTGGTGACGTTGCAATACCTCATCTATTGGTTTGCCATCCCTACCTAGTACTCGTTTCCTAATGGCAGCATTGCTTACTCGGCTGTCCCACTATACACGAGTAATGCTTCTAAGACATCAGTGATCGAATTCTAGTAACCTACGAATATCTACTCTTACCGGCCATGTTTCGCATCCATATAGGAGAACGGAGCGAACTGCTACACAGTACACTCGACCTTTGGTTAGCAAACGGATATCTCGCCTACGCTATCGGTGACGCAACTTCGTAAAAGCCAATGGAGCTTTCTGTATCTGTGCTGGGATTTCGTCAGTCACCAGGCCATCAGCACTGATCAGATTCCCGGTATAAGTGAAGCGGTAAACACGCCCGAATACTTCACTCTCGATGACTAGTTCAGGTGCCGATGCAACTAAATCTTGAAGCAACATTTTGTATTTCGACGGGGAAAACCGTATTGTTGCTTAGGGTAGTCAGAAGACTCTCAATTTTGTCAGCGTCTTCATCAAGTAGAACTATGTCATCGGCATACTCCAACTCAGCAAGAGTATCTCCTGGTAGAAGTCTCTCTCCTGAAAAGTCACACGATGATAATGTTAACTCTAGAAGTTAACCAGGAAGGGAGAGAGTGGACAGCTTTGACGCACACCACTTGAAGTATAGAGTTCCGATGACGGTTCACCATAATCTCAAACTCGACCAGTACTGTTCGAGTTGAGACCTTGTATAACTTTAATGTACTTCGGCACATATTATAATGAAATACACTGCCATAGCACCTCATGATCAACAAGAAATACTAGTATTGTGGGGCGTCTGAACATGTGTATTTGTTCTAAGACCTTCAGTAATGTGAATATTTGGTCTATTCACCCACGTCTAAGTTGAAAACAAGCCTGGTTTTCTCTAGTCTGCTCTTGAAGAGCTTTCGTTAGGCGTCGGATAATTAGTAAGGCCAATATTTTCGATACTATATTAGTTAGACTTATTCCTCTCTGATTGCTTCATGAGGATATTTGTCGTTTTTTATGAACTGGTACAATAAGGGATTGAGACCATTCAGATGGGATTATGCCCAGTTCCCAGATTCTACCTAATATCTCAGTCAATCTAGCTGCTAAAACTGGTCCACCATCCTTACAAATCTCAATAGTAAGCCTGTTAGGACCCGCTGCTTGCCCTTCGTTTGAGATCTATGGATTTCTCAGCTTCATAAAAACTAGGAGGACTTAAATCGATTTGCCATTCAGGATGACTGGAGATCACGGGCCGGTCGAACTGATCCCTAAACCTTTCTGTCCATCGATCCAATCTCCTGGATTGGGGATGAATAGTAGAAGCCCCTCTTTTTCCGAGAGAATCTCACTTGCAGTCGGGTTCCTAATACCGGTTTCCTTGATAAGGCGGAACAACTGTCTGCTGTTGCCTACCGCCACTACCTTTTGCATCGCTCTTGATTTCGCTACCCAGTAGTGTTCGCGGTCGTTGTGTAAGCTTTTTATCAGCCTGCGCTTAAGCTGACTTCTTACCTCGTCACGTTCAGAGCCAAGCGTGATGGGTTTCACAGCGTCCATCAATTCAGTGGATGCTGCTGATATCTACGGCTTGTTCAAAGCCTTACGGCTTACCTCACTAGCAGACATCACTGCTGTTTCCACAGCTTTTTTGGTATTATTCCAAGCTGCCTCCGAATGGAGATCACTTATTACGTGGACGCCTAGCTCTCTTTCTATTTGTTTCTTAAATATATTCTTAGCTTTATAATCATTAGGTAGAGCCCTAAGAGGTTTTCTTGCCACGCATTTCCTAGGTCCAGTAAGCCTCAAACAAATACACGCTGGCACAAGAGCATGATCTAAATCCAAACATGTGCCTCAGAACGAGCGACATTCCTCTATCGAACCTCTGCATTGGTGGCTGATGGCAGTGTAATCTGGTTGTGTCCAGTCTTGGTACGACTATGGGTGTCGCTATGTCAAAAGATGATTTTCCTTATGACTGAAAAGTTAGTGTTCGCTAGGAATAGGCGGTTATCTGAGCATTGTTGTTACAGACGATCGCCATTATCTGTTCTACTACACAGATGTCTTTCCTTTTCAGTTAGTCAACCTACGTGAGCTGAGAAGAGTTAGTCGTGAAGATAAGGAGGATGTTAGGGGGTGTAGGAAGGATTTGATTGTGACCAATTCAGCTGACCACACTGGAAGGGTGTTTCTTGAGGAACCTGAAAAGGAATGTAGGTTAGCGTTGGCCTTAGCGACCTGGGAGCGTGACCGCAGAACCCAACTGCTTGAGGCCGGTCACGCATGACCTTTTTATGAGTAGTATTGAGTGTTTGCTGTTTTTTTTAATAGACGTTACCGCCGGAGAGTGAAATCCGTGAGGTAGGGGGACGTGTGACATTTTTAGGGTCGACCGTTTCTAACCCTTCCTTCCTTGTGAGAAGGCAGCATCGCTGCAGATGCTGGTTGTCCGACGGAAACACCTCACTGCTGTCACACCCCTCTGCAGTCAGCAGTACGACTTCGCCCTCAGACCTTGGGTAACTGCTTTTAGTCTCATCGTTCTCCAGTCGACCAGCCTGGCATGGTAGGACCTGCAGGAATATATGTTCCAGCCAATGTAGCTCGGTTGGGTCATCACCATAGGCAAACCCGATCACCATGACAAGGTAGCAGCAATGGTCGGGTAGGCATTTTAAGCATTTACATTACAATACATTGCGAGATCGTCGACAGAATCCGTCTACATAAACATCTATACCTCCAAATTAAGCTACAGAAGTAATTATTATCATCACTTGTTCAGTATTGTAACAAGTTTGTGTACATTGTAACTATTCAGAAACGTATATTATAAGTGGCCTTAACATTCAAAATCTTTCTGTTGTAACGCTCACTTAATAATTCCCAGCTAATTCCTCTTGCTTAGTATTCTATGACCACAATACATTGGACAAGTCCCAAATCAGAACACGGTGGAACAGGAAAAGATTATATTCCAAATAGCAAGGTTAAATGGAAATAGGAAGCCGAAGGCGAAATATATACAACGTTAGTAACTTTATACTTTTTACATGAGAAGCTTCTGGAATGTAATCCATATGATTGACTAGCACTGACTGGATAAGATTTAGCCAATCAGCATGCAACTAACAACACGAGAATATTCCAGCCATTTCTCCAAGTATGGGCCAGGCACTGATTGGATGGGAAATTAGCCAATCAGTGCGCAGCTAACGCAGTCATGCTTTATTCCATCTATGTCTATGTCTAACACTTTCACTTATCTTTAGATGTGTTCTGCCGGTTCTGCAGATACGACCATATTTCTCATCCGATATAAATAGGATGCTTGAATTCTAACAAATTTACTTTCATATTTTTCAAGGCTAAACGTAGACCACATTGCTATCAGCCAGACAGACAGATACAACGCAGAACTTTGTACGTAAGTACATCAGTTCAGGTTGCCATACCACACTATCACAGAGACGCAACTGTCAATTCAAATTCATGAGTGATGGCGATAGTAGAAGTATTAGCAGTAATGGAAAAGATTAAGGAGCGAAGATATGATTCGAAAAGTACAATTCATTGAGATAAATTTAGAAGGAGAAAGACAGAGATGAGGAAGGAATTCAAAGGGTTGGAATTAGAGAGAACACCGATGGAGCAATTCGACAGAAGACTGCGCACGATGTGGAGCACATGTTTAGCTTCAGATCATGCTCTAGTGCGAGCGCGTATTTGTTTACGACTCACTGGACGTAGGAAAGACGCTGCAAGGAAACCCCCTAGGGCTATACTTGATAATAGCAAAACTAAGAATATATTTCAGGAACTAGAAAAACAGTTAGGCAGCCATTTAATAAGTAATACTCACCTTGAAGCAGCTTGGAGCGATATCCAAAAAGCTGTGGAAACGCAGTGATATCTGCTAATAAGGTAAATCATAGGGTTAGAGAGAATCTGTGGATCCCAGTAGCATCTACAGAACTGACGGACGCTAGAAAGCTCATCCCACCTGGCTCTGAGTGCAATGAGGAGCAAAGTCAGCTTAAGCGCAGGCTGATGAAATGCCCACGGAATGATCGCGGGCAGTGGTGGGTAGCGCTTTTGAGTTCACATGGTCATCATTTTTCATTGAACTGAAAGAAATCTAAAGCAGGAAACTTAATTAGGACATTTGTACAACTGGAAAATAGGAAACCCACAAAATTTGAGTACGTCCATTGGTTCAAGCTGTGTATAATGAGTTATGCTATTAATTTACTCAAATGGACAATAGTGACAATAAAGAAATCTACTGGAAATTTGTGCAGATCGTTTGAGAGCCTGAAGATATTATGCCGAAAGAAATTCATGCCAATCAAGATGAATTATTCTCCTCTAGGTTTTTAGGTAAATACTGAAAATCTGGTTTTAGGATTAACTCCACTAAATATCTATTAAACAGTTTTCTCAAATGAAGTAATCACATTAAGTATCTTGTGACTCAGATTTAGAAGTATAATTTAAACTCACTAAATATGATTCCATCCTAGATACTTCAGATATTTGAATTCTATTACACATTTTTCTATCACTAAAAAATTTTAAAGGGTGAGAAAAAAGAGTCTGTCGGTTAAAATTAATTCATTCTGCTACATTTCACATGAACTGAGAACAAACCATGGTTAAAATTTACAAAAGACTTGAAAACAAAATGATTTCATATAATTTACTTCATGAAACGGAGATGGAATTTTTAAATATGGTAGCAGTTTAGACGTACTAAGCACAAATGTGATTTCAGAAACTGTTGTTAAAACTGCCATTTATTTATGTGGGGAAATATCGATTCATATGAAATAAAGTTTAGATTAAAGATTTTAACTGCAAATCGAACAATCTTCAAATATCTACACTATGAATTAAAAACTATTTAGGAACTTCAGTTTTCCAATTTTAAGGAGTTAAAGATTGTCAAAATATAAGTTAAAAGCGTGCATTCAGTAAGTTCATAATCGTGATAAGCTACTTAAATAAAACAGATAAATTTAATTCGATCCAGCGTAGGATTGAAAGGATTTCAGAAAAAGTCATACTTATTATACGATTCCATATTAATCACAAGCTAAGAAAATGAGAGATTTATATTCGATAGGGGGAATACATCACTTGATTATCTTTTTATATATATGAGTCAGTCAGTCAGTCAGTCAGATGCAACGGAGAACTTCGTACGTAAGTACATCAGTTCATGTTGCCATACCACATCAGCACAGAGATATAATTGTCAATAAATAGTAGAGGTGTTAGAAGTAATCGGAGAGGTTAGGATTAGAAGATATTATTCAAAAAGTATGATTCAGTGAGAAAACTTTAGAAAGTCAAAACTAGAGAGGTTGAAGGATCCAGAAGATTAGGATTTGAGAGAACACAAAGAATAAATGCACCGGCGCAGCTGCAAACGGTTTCGAGCCATCTCATTCAGGGTATCTAACCATCGATTATTATCATCTCGCGGACCCCAACCAGGTAGTCGACAACTACCGACACTGCAATTGATTGTATGCTCAGTTATAAAATCTAATGCAACATTTTCAAGTCTACAGCTGTAATAGTAACAAACTTTTATTTTTTTTGGAAAATGCTTAAACGTCGCCAAACTTACTTACCTCTGGTTATAAGACTTCAATATCTGATGTCCAATCAAGATTTGGGGAATATGTGTTACAGCTAAATTTCACTCTGATCAGGGTTTACTATATTATCTAAGTAAGTGATTATCCATTGGCTAAGTGTTTTGACTCGTACTCGCAACCAGCATATCCTTCATATTGTCAACAACTGCTATAATCAATAGATCTATCATCTATGAGTCATTTAAAACAAAACAGTAAGCTTCTTCATTATTCATTTAAAAATGTGCGTCGATCGATTATTGCACATGACTGTCTATTGATCACAAGATAATTTCAAATCCTCTTCATTTTATTTCTGTATTCATTGAAATAGAAATGATGTATACTGCGCATTGTTAAATGTGATCTTAGTGAAAAATGAATACAAATGATAGCAATTTTCACAATAAACAGAATCAATTTAATCTAGCTACAACATTAATTCGTGATGCATGTTCAACAAGATTAGAAATACAATTTAAAAAAGATCTTTTATCTGTAAAAATGTATGAACATTATTATCGTAAATCCTATGTCATATTATATAATTTATTAACTCTAATTAATCTTTTAACAATCATATTAGAATATCCAGGAAATGTATGGATTAATGGAAAACCTTTACCATATTATATACCATTAATTATTAATTTTATATGTGAATGTTATTTTTATTATAGATGGTTTCTTATTTATACTATATCAGAGAAGACAACATTAAAATCAAACATTTCATTTATTGCAACAATTACAATATTATTAATAATGACCATTGATAGTATTGTTTATATAATATTGCATGAATTACATTTTTCTCGTACTGTCAGATGGTCAAGAGCACTTCGACCGATATTATTGTTAACATTTCCAGAGAATCGACGACTTCGTGCAGCATTTTATAATTTACGATGTACATTAATTGATGTAATACCTGTATTCGGTTTGTTCGGTGCATGTTTAATATTTATTTCCATTGTTTGTTTAACATTATTAGGTGATACAAAATTGAAATATCCTAATGGTGAAAATTATCTGCCCGATTTTATTGATGTCATATGGGAATTTTATGTATTAACAACAACAGCGAATTCACCTGATGTTATCATTCCAGCCTATGAACATCATCATTATTATATAATTATTTATTTGTTCATTTGTACCACATGTAATTGGTTATTTATGGGCATTTTAACAGCATCCGTTTATAATTCATATAAATCACATTTAGGTCAATTTGTAGTGAACACAGTGGCAAAACGTAAAGAAAAACTAGATGAAGCATTTTATTTAACATCAATTGTAACACCAACTGGAAGATTAGGTGTTAGTCAAAGTACTTTCTTACATTTAATGCATACTGTCAAACCAAAACGTAGTGTGGATTCAATGAAAGTGATTTTTTATTTATTAGATAAAAATAAATCCGGTTATTTATCAAAACATGAATTTGAACGTTTATCAGAATATATGCAAGCAAAATTTGAAGAGATTGAATTAAGTCGTGCTTATTTCAATAGATATATATCAAAATTTTATCATATTTATGCATCGGCTAAATTTCAACGATTTGTTCATTACATGGATCATACAATAGCAAAATTAATTTTTACTGCATTAATTATCATCAATGCATTGACTGTGGTGATTTTTCGATCTTATCCAAAATTTATTGAAGCAATTGAATGGGTATTTACAGTGTTATTTACAATTGAACTAATTATCAATTATTTAATATGTGGTGGTGTTAATTTTTTTAAAGATGGTTGGAATTTATTTGACTCTCTTGTTGTGGTAAGCGCATTTACCGGGCAAATTATTCAATTTATATTTCATTCAATTGGTATTTATTTACCACATGAATTTATACAAATATTTCTATTATTTCGATTATTTCGTTTATTGAAAGTGTTCAGTGTAGTGAAAAAATTTCGTATAGTTATCAATTGTATTATAACCATTCTACCATCATTAACTGCTTATACAACTATATTATTAATATTATTTTATATCTTTTCATGTGTTGCTATGGAGTTGTTTGCTTATGTTTATCAACCACCATTAAATTATACTTACACAGTAAATACAACATGCAATAATAAACAATTATTGAATAGTGAATTCGTTCAATGGCATTATTGTACATTTAATTTCAATAGTCCTCTTGATTCATACCTATTATTATTAATTATTACAGTTGGAAATAATTGGCAAATATTTAGTGATGGTTATAAAATGGCCACAACAAGATGGAGTCGATTATTTTTTATCATTATTCATTGGATGTGTGTTTTACTTGTGTTAAATGTTGTATTAGCTTTCATTATTGAAGCATTTCTAATTGAATATGATGCACAACACAGTAAATTTGAATTATATATTAGTGAACGATTAAATGATTTAGAAATGAATGCTGAAAATGAATTGAAAAAACGTGGATTGGAAAATTTTCGTAATCCAAGATTTATCATGTCTCAAAAGCTATTAGATGAAGCTGGCATAACTGAGGAAAGTACACAAAAAGTGTTTTATTTGAAAACAGATAATACATCCACTGAAATATTGTTGTTTAGAATGTTTGAAAAAGAAATTGAAGAATTAGTTGCAGATTCAACAAGGAGAGCAAGTAGAGCACTTAAACTTAAATCACATGATCCGCTATCACATATCTAGTCGCTGATTCACTTACATGGTTGACAAAATTCATAGCAGCATAAATCAGTATGAACAGTAAAGATGGATGGCAAGTTGTAATCGATGTGCAATCAAAAATGATTAAATGTGAGTATTCGTTACTTTGTTGAAGCTTGATATTTAGGATAATATGCATTTTCAAAGTCCAATCAGAAACTGGAATCATTTTAAAGAAGAAAGTCCAAATTTCTATTGTTTCTGGATGATAAGTTTTTAATATCGAAGCTTATGCGGCTATTTTGAGAACTTTTATATAATAAAATTCCAAACAATCTCTTTGAAAAACTGATATTGATATGTATTGTTAAAAAAAAAAAATATAATGATTATTTTTCAGAGTTTATACAGAAAATCGTATTTTTATTCATTTATGTTTAGAAAGATGGGGCATTATTGAATTATATGGTTAACAATGCTCATTTTAAATTACTTGATTATAAATGCAAATTACCTGGTTTACTAGTGACTAGCTCTTCTTCGAGCTCTAGTGAAAAGTCGTGACCAGTGGAGTTCAACCCTGTTGGGGTGTGTGGCAGTGCTCACCGAAGAGTGTATGAAGTTGCGCAAGACCGTGAACTGATCGAAGTTAGACATTAACACATGTAGACAGCAGCTCAGTGGTCAAGTGGTTAGGCGTTCAAGCACAGGACCAGAAGTCTTGGAATCGAATCCTGTGGGTTTCAGGAGTCGTGGAAACTCACTGCCGATGATCCCGTTACCAGGACGAAGCGGCCGTTCAGTGCTTCCAGGTTTCTAATGATGGTATAAAACTGATGCATTCATGATTTCAAAAAGTAGTTCACTAATCTCCACAAATCCATTTTATAAAATAAATTCTGTGGAACATCATGAAGTGAGTCACTGAATCTATATATAATTAGTAAAAAATGGTTCAACTGTAAGTCAGAAAAAATCACATCCATTCTCCAAAGGTTTATTTCAAATCTCGTACCTTTTACATTTCCTCCTAGAATTCATGCAGAACTATGAAAGTAAACATTTGTGCTTCCGGTAAATGAAACCGCTTAGCAACCGGTTGACTACTAGATTTATTATTTCCATTTTAATCCGCAGTGTCATGTATACAACCGTCTAAATTTAGTCATTAACTAATTATTTTGACATTATCCACATCTTTCTACCAAAAAGCATCAGGTTGTAAACGCAAGAACTGTGAATACATGTCATTCTCTTTCACTACTTTAAATGCAACATACGTTTGTGGAACTATGATACATGTTGTTATTTCATCTATTGTCTGTAGACTTGTAACGGTAAATAGATGGAATTCTCTTAATTTCCTCTACGAAATATCTATTAAAATAGTTTATGTAGACAGAAAAACATTGTTCTAATTTTGTTTAGGATATCGTTCTACTTACTGAGTTAAAAGTAGTTACTGAAAATTAGTGAATTCTGAAAAAATGGAATGGTAGAGATGTCATAGAGGCAGTCTTGTACACAGGTTAAAAGATATTCCAAGGAATTTTAAAGAAGAAATCCTCCTCATACTTTCAAGTTACTTACTTACCTGAGAGGCATAACTAGCGTAAGAAAATAATTTTCAATACGTTTCAGCAGCAATTACTAGATTAATAAATGGAAAATAATGACGAGAGCTTTCTATGCTTACTTACATTCTTCCATCTAAGCCTGTTAAGTAAACACTGTGATCACATGGTTTAAACTATAGTAGCTTAATAACTTCGACCACTTTCAGGCTATCAACTACTCATATGCAACGGGAACTAGTAAATAGTTTATAGATTGAAACTTTTATGGTAAATATACTAACCTAATCTCTCATAAAAAGCGGATGCATATTTTGTTGAGGAAAAAGACGTTTCCATATGGTGTCTTTTATCCTTGCTCTGGTAAAAAAAACTTTGGCTGAACAATTATGACAACAGTATTCAAGAAAATCTTTACGTCTACTACTCAGTTATCACAAATGTCTTAGTGGAAAACGATATTCCGCCTACAACAATGTGATAGACGATTGCCTACCTTAAGGAAACACTTCTAATTTGTGTACTTTTATGTCTAGCTCACAGGGCTCGTCCTAGCTTTTGGACAAATAATTAGCCCACTTGCCTTTTGAACTTGTGAGCCACTTGCTCATATCTTCGTTGCTTTTATTCATGTGGGTGCACACCAACCTTGCTCATTACATATCTAGCTTATTTTTATCTGAGTAGAGGTTCTTAGTCATGGTTCATCAAATGGAGTTGGCTCACTCGCCTTCTCCGCTTCGCGTTGCTTGTATGATTTTTGTCATCATGTCTGAATGTCGATTGCCGAATCCGTATTCGGCTTCTTATTACCACCGTCGCAGAAATGGGGTTCGCCTAAGTATAATATACGGAACCTGATGGCGAGATTTATTTCATAGCATTCATAAACAAATGTAGCCAGATTTTGGGATGACTGGTCTTCTATCACAAGAGTTATAAAGTCTCATAATGAAAGCCAAATTTCTTCGGAAGTCAGGAGACCGATGCCTCTTTTGATAACCAGAGTGACCATTCCTTTAAGTGCATGGAATGTTCGAACATTGTGCAAGACCGAGTCATCCACGTTGCTGCGGAAATGAACAGATACAACCTCGAGGTGCTTCGAATCAGTGAGACGGACTGGACGCAAGATAGACAACTGAGAATAGCTTCAGGAGACCTGCTGTTATACTCTGGTCATGAAGAAGAAAAATGCTTCACATACACAAGGAGTTGCACTGATGCCGTCCAAACAAGCACAAAAGGCACAAATAGGATGGGAATCTCATAGACCCAGGATCATTAAAGCATCCTTCAAAACAAAGAAACAGGACATCAAAATGAACGTCATTCAATGCTATGCACCTACCAACTACTACAATGACGACGACAAGGATCGATTCTACGAAAGGCTGCTGCCAATCGTCGACAGATGCTCACCAAAGGACTTGACGATTTTGATGGGAGACCTGAATGCCAAAGTTGGCATGGACAACACTGGATATGAAGACATCATTGGACGACATGGACTGGGAGAAAGGAACGAAAATGGTGAGAGATTCGCAAACCTATATGCCTTCAACAAACTGGTCATCGGCGGCACCATATTCCCAAACAAACCCATACACAAAGCTACATGGATTTCACCGGACCACACTACTCAGAACTAAATCGACCATATCTGTATCAATAAAAAGTTCAGAAGGACTATGGAGGATGTGGAAACCAAGAGAGGAGCTGATGTAGCCTCAGATCACCACTTGCTGGTCGCTAAAATGAAACTGAGACTCAAGAAACACTGGACAACGGGGCAGACAACATCACTAGAGTTTAATACGGTCTTTCTTCGGAATACTGGAAAGCTCAAAGAATTCAAGATAGCCCTCAGCAATAAGTTTCAGTCCTTGCAGGATCTGCTCAATTGAGAGGAAACAGCCATAGAAAACTATTGGGAAGGGATCAAGGAGGAAGTCACTTCAACATATCAGGAGGTTCTGAGTCACGAGAAGCATCATCACAAGGAATGGATCTCTGTTGGTACTCCTGCAAAAATTGAAGAAAGGAGGAACAAGAGGGCAGCAATCAATGTCAACCGAATAAGAGCAGAGAAAGCCACGGCACAAGCTGAATACACAAAAACAAACAAGCAAGTGAAGAGGAGCATGAACATCTGGAAAGAAGCACGGGATACAGTGGACTTCATAGATGATCTAGCTCTTCTATCGCAGACGTACCAACACGTGCAAGAGAAGACAACCAGTGTAGCAACAGCCTCAGCAGCACCCGCTCTCAACATACATAAAGGGAAAACCAAGATTGTCCGATACAACACAATATGAGCCAACCAAATCACTCTTGATGATGATGCCTTGGAGAACATAAAAACCTTTACACATCTGGGCAGCATCATCGACAATCAAGGGGGATCCGATGCAGATGTAAAGGCGCAGATCGGGAAAGCGAGGGTTGCATTTCTACCATGGAACAACATTTGGAACTCCAAACAACTATCAACCAATACCAAAGCTAGAATTTTCAATGCGAATGTCAAGACAATTCTACTGTATGGGGCGGAAAGTTGGAGTATTAAGATAGCAATCATTCCTTAACAGTTGTCGACGAAAAATACTTCGTATCCTTACGTCAGAAACCGTCGGCAACAACCAGATTCCAGCAGAAGAAGAAATCAGGAAAAAAACGGTCAGAGTGGATAGGACATACAGTGTGCAAGGCACCCAGTCGCGTCACAAGACAAGCTCTCCGGGTCAGAAGAAGGGAGGAAGGTAAAGAAACATATAGCGTCGAGAAATAGAAAAATATATAAGAAGAATGAACACAAATTCGACAGAACTGGAAAGGGATGCCCGGGAGAGAGTAGGTTGGATAACACTGATTGGCGGCCGATGCCCCATTTAGTGCAACAGGCGTGTCTAGGCATCGTTACTTAAGGTAGTCAGAAGACTCTGCGTTTCGTCAGCGTCTTCAACACGTATAACTAAAGTCCAGGAAGATAAATATTGTAGGACGCCTACATGTGTGTCTGTATTCCAGGATCTGTTGTAGAGTGAAAGCGTGGTCTATACATCCATGTCCAGATCGAAAACCAGCCTGGTTTTCTCTAATCTGCTCTTCACGAGCTATAATTAGGCCTCTAAGTATAATCGAGGCTAACAATTTAGAAACTATATTGATCAAACTGATTCCTCTGTGATTGTCACAATAGGACTTCTATCCTTTCTATAGATTGGGACAATTAGTGATTGAGACAAGTCAGATGGGATTACGCCCAGTTCCCAGATTCTACTTAAGATTTCAGTCAATCTAGCTGCTAAAACTGGATCACCATCCGAATTGGTCAAAATCGAGTCCTTTCTACACCTCCTAATAACTCTTATCTGCTCGACCTATCCTTCTTTCGATCGTTTACCACCTTGTGCCATTGAAGCAAACGGTTTCCGCTCACGAAACGTTATTCCTGGTCTCTTGAAACCTTGTACTAAATTCGAACCCGATTCCGAATAGGGCAACAGGCTTCATTAGCTAGAGCTCTGGAATCCCGTGCGATTGATGTATGTTTTGTCTCCAAAACGCGCCTACAAGGTTCGAATAAAATCATCAATTTGATTTCACATAGTGCAGATAGAGAAACAACGGGGTTTACGCTTCGTGCTTCAAGTAGCCCTGATGCTGGTTCGCGTGGCCTCGCCAGCGTAGGTATAGTATTAAGTTCCAGGGCAGAACTAGCTCTCTTAAACTGTATCCCGGCAGACAGTTGCTTATGCGCTGTCCGACTAAACGGGACGGTACGGACTCGTAAAAATAGGGACACCCACCAGTGGCTATTCTTTGTATCTGCCTACGCTCCCACTGATTGCAGTTCAGACGACATAAAAGATAAGTTTTACAGAAACCTCTCTAAACTTCAAAAAGTTAAGCGCTCCGATACAGTGATAATGACTGGTGACTTTAACGCCCAAGGCTCTACTGAAGACTGCCTCTCATTCTGGAGAACTTTTCTAGACTCAGACCATGCTATAGTGCGAGCGCTTATTTGTTTGCATCTCACTGAACGTACGAAAAGGATCACTAGGAAACCTCTTAGGGCTCTCCTGCCTAATGACAGAAGAGCTATCAATATATTTCTGGAACAACCAGAAAAACAGTTAGGCGACCATGTAGGTGATCTCCATCCGGAGGCAGCTAGCAATAATATCAAAAAAGCTGTGGAAACAGCAGTGATATCTGCCAGTAAGGTAAACCATAAGGCTAGGAAGAAGCCGTGGATCTCAGTAGCATCTACCGAACTGATGGATGCTCGATAACTTATCCCAGCTGGCTCTGAACATGATGTTGATAGAAATCAACTTAGGCGCATGTTGATAAAAGGCCTACGCAACCACCGCGAACAGTGGTGGGTGGAGAAAGCGAGAGAGATGGAAAAGGCAGCGGCAATAGGCAACAGTAGGTAACCATTCAGCCCCATAGAGGAAACCGGTATTAGGAACCAAAATATGAGTGAAATTATCTCAGAAAAGGATGGTCTTGTTATCCATTCTCAATCCAGGAGATTAGATCGAGTAATAGAACACTTCAGGGATCAGTCCAATTGGCCCTCAGCCACATTTCGGCTGTCCACGATCTCCAGTCATCCTGAATGGCGAATCGATGTAAGTTATCCGACTCTTTATGAAGTTGAGAAAACGATAGGAAGTCTGAAGCGAGGGCGAGCAGCGAGTCTTAATAGATTGACCCCTGAGAAGTCCTATTGTGACAATCACAAAGGAATCAGTTTGATCAATATAGTTTCTAAATTGTTAGCCTCGATTATACTTAGAGGCCTAGTTATAGCTCGTGGAGAGCAGATTAGAGAAAACCAGGCTGGTTTTCGATCTGGACATGGATGTATAGACCACGCTTTCACTCTACGACAGATCCTGGAATACAGACACACATGTAGGCGTCCTACAATATTTATCTTCCCGGACCTTAAGGCGGCTTTTGACTCTGTAGTTAGGGATGGCAAACCAATAGATGAGGTAGTGAAACGTCATCAGTTGAAGTGGTAGGGACATGTGTTACGAATGCCTAACCGCCGACTGCCTCGTCGAGCTATGTTTTGTGGTGTAAGAGTAGGTTGGAAGAAATTTAGTGGCGGCCAGACGAAAACATGGCACAAGTCCATGAAGTCACTTACAAGTGGACTGAGTCATGTTGGCAGACGTAGACTACCTGGCTGGGCTCCGCGAGACGAAAGCCACCGATCGTTAGACCTTGAATGGCATGGCTCAAAATCGTTTGCAATGGTGCCGGTGAATTTATTATTCGTTTTCTCTCCAATCCTTATCGTCTAGATTCGTCAACACCTCTACCTTTGTCTTTCTAAACTGATCTCACTGAATTATACTTCTTGAATAATATCTTCAAATCCTAATCTTCTCCATTAGCAGTAATTCTTCCACTATCTCTACCACTATGGGATCTGAATTGACAGTTGCATCTCTGCACTAATGTGGTATGGCAACATGAATGCATGTACTAACATACGAAGTTCTACGCCGCAACTGACTGACTTATATCTATTAGAAAAACAAGTATGGACAATATGTAGCGTAGATTTAGTAAGAATGACATTCAAGTCAAAATGTGCAATGTAAAACTCAAAATTAGCATACTTTAAAGTTTTTTACAAAAAGAAGACAGCTGCATATACAGTTCAAAGTAAATACGAGTTTATTATTTGTTATATTACAATGAAATTGAATGATGAAAATAGCTGACACACTGTGTTTCAATCATAAAAGAATGTTCGTAACTTTATACATCACTCTTTCATTTATTCTCTAAAAGAGTAAGACGTTGTCCCATTATCGAAACGGTCTATCAAAAAGTGAAGAAAAAAATAGAGACCACTATCACTTTTAATCTAACATTGTTTCAAATAAAACTGAGCATTTTAAACAATTGAGTTCATGAAATTGATGTTGATTGTTTTCCAAATAATTAAAACATAAAAATGGAATTAAGATTCAACAGATATCCAACTACAATCAATTAATGAGTTTGGCAGTTCAACAAACTGATTAGTGTCTGCCAATATACAAGCTAAGTGACGGTCGGTTAACAATGAAACTAAGTCATATACTAGATCCTTCGCGGAAAACCAACATCTTTAGTAAGTGATGATCCATGTAATTCTCACAAACAAAAATCCATGAAAATGAATGGTCAGTTTCGAAGAAAAATAACCATATATTAAATAGTTTTATATAGGTCAACATGTGATATGTTAGCTACAAGTAGCATAAAATGGTCAGAAAACAGAATTCCTAGTCACTGAGGTGTAATGAGTCAGAAAATCCGTTATTAACGTGCCTTTAAAACTACTGAGTTACGGGTCTGTGAACGGTTCACGATATATGTTAACGTTTTATGTAGGTAGTAATTAAACAATGAGAGGACTCAATAAAACTGCTATTATACTTATAATTACCCTATCATTCTAATGCATACATGCGATATGCAGATTTCGTTGAAACTTTTACTACTCTCATATAGTGAGTTTACAGCTTTCTCTAGAGGGTACGATCTCACAGAACTTTGTTAGAAGACAAACGCTCCAAGATCCTGGGTAAAAGAATGACGTGTAGGTCTATTTTATTCATCAGCCAAAATAAGATTGTCCCGTATATCAAACCTTCCAATTAAAGGCTCGAACTAAATCACTCACATATTGTGGTGGACAACAAATACGTTTACTGTAAAATCGAATATTTTATATTGTGTTTAAATTTGATGTAATGATACTTCATACTGCGCCCTTCGAATCTGAGTTGTAAAAGTGTTAGATATATTGGAATTATCCGTATTGAGTCAGATTATTCCAAATTGACACCTTTATGGGTATCTGGGAAATACTCCATTCTACACAAGAGTTTTGTACAGAACTATCTCAGAAAGTGAAGAATTGCGAATAACTTTCTTCAGTGTATTGACTTAGCAAGAAGTACGGGGAAGTTTTTAAACTTAATAACCGTCTTCAATTTTACTATAGACAACAAACTGGGAAGGAACAATAAGCAAGCGGTGTTAGTGGTGAAAATCTGTAGCTTGAAGAAATACTTTTCGACTTAGAGTATGTGGGTGACATTATTTTACTGTTCGATGGCACTCCAGTCACTGAAGTCACACTTAATCGGTTGGAAATACGAAGGCCAACGAGAGAAGTTCCACCTTATGATTGAGAAATCTGGCCTGTTAAAACTGGGCTTAAAGTATACATAAAATTAAGAATTTTGACATTACAGTACTTGAGCGTACAATCTTTAATGTGGACAATTTTATGGGTTGATGGTTCCCCTTCTTCTAATCACGGGATAACGAAATACTGATCGATATCGACTACTGAACAATAATTTACGATTTCAGAACAAAACAGTTTAACAAAATCATTTAGAAAAACTGATATTACCTGTGTTAGCACATCTAGTTGTGAAACGATATGTTCAAGTGTTGCAGATAATGGTGGAGGGAGATTTTGAAGTTCACTCGCTAATCCATTTGTTGTTTTCGAATTCTGTGTAGAAATGGAGAAAAATGATACGTTTTATTTACTTGGTAAGTTATAAGTTGTGGTTTGCATAGTCATTTATGTCCTGATTATGTTAAAAATTAAGATATAATTAGAATGGGAGTAATGTAGTCACTGCATTTATTGGATAGAATGAACAAAACCAACAACAGTATGCAAACTAGTGGTGATACATGGAAATCATGTGAAATTATTGTTCCAAAAAATTAAAAATTGTAAGTAGCTAAAGACAAATATATCCACGCATCTTTATTTACTGAATATAAATTATGATGTTTTATGATTTTCTTTATCAATATTTATCTGACAGCTGTTTAAAATATCAACAGAATCACTTTAATAAATCCTATGCGAACTAAAGGACAAAATGACAAAAGAAGAAAGACCAAACATCATCTACAAAATAAACTGCTCAGACTGCAAAACAAAGTACACCGGACAAAGTGGACGTCTTCTTCAGCTTCGTCTACATGAACATCAATTAGCGATCAAACGCCATTACATTTCTTCCCTTATATATACATAAGGACGACTGTGGACATATATGCAATTGGAACAATGTTGAAATACTGGATAGAGACACTACAAAGAACACTGGAGAATTTTTAGGAGCTTGGCACTCAAGTCAATTAGCAACCAACAAACACACCGACATTGATCCAACTTATCGACCAATCATAAAAAGCATAAACAAATATAGGATCAAGAAACAGATCAAAGGGGGATACAGTAAAAATCGAGGTGCAGACAACAAGTTTAAGGTCAATAACAACCAATCAAGATCGAGGTTAACAGGACAAGCTACGAGTCATACGTGAGAAATTCGAATACTTCACTTCTATCTTGAGTTTGTGCTGATGATGTTGTTCAGAAGAACAATGAAGGCTTTACAAGCAAAACGGCCAGCTCAGAGAACGAAACTCCATCATAATTATCCACCTGAGCCACACATTTTCTCCACGATCTTATACGTAAAACTAGAACATTAGGCTTTTCAAATGAGTTTTTAAAGATGATGATAAATTGATGAGAGATGTTAGGTTACGAGTTCATGTAAAGAATAGAAAGGCATTCGAATATGCCAATCTAAAAAATCGGGTGTAGAGGATTTCAAGTGAGTGTATGATTTTGTGTTGCATTTTTAACATAAATAGAGGAAAAAAATACTTTGCTGAAAAGAAAATGGACAGAAAACCACAAGATCAAAATAATTAATATAAATAGGATTGAGGAGAAACGAATTAGTACTAAAGAATGACTTAGTCTGATCACTAAAGGAATGCAAAAAGTAACATTTGTCATTCACATTGCTGCGATTTGAAATAACAATAAAGAATTTTTTGCAAAAACTTAGCTTTAATGTGATTCATTTTTTAAATCTGCTACCTTGAAATCAGTATTAAAGTTTAATATTAAACATTTAGATAATAATTACCAAAAAATTAATTCAAAACGTTTTTGAGGGTTTTTTATTGGTGACAACGGTTACTACTGGTTGCTTGACATGGTAAAGTTAATTTAGAATGAACCTTATGTCGAATTCCAAAAATGTCCTAGTATAGTAACTAGTGAAAATCATAATGAAAACTAATATAGTCAAGTTATATTTGTACATTTACCTAGTAAGCCAAAATCTATAACATAGCTCTCAGTCGTTAAACTACACAAAGTAAATGAGTTCAACAGTCAGAATCTCTGAAAACTGTTTGTTTTATCGAAGTACTAAACACAGCTCCATCATGGACCTCTTTGTTATCACCAAATACAGATTAACATGGGGTAAAAAACTAATGGCTTTATTACAACGAACAGAGACTAGAAACATTAATTAGTAAAAACTAATGAATTAGCGAAACTGACTTACAGCTTGTAGGAAATTCACATTAGATGTTAGTGGTAAAGTACTTGGTGGGGTAACACTTGAGTGAGAACGAAAAGTAGTCGGGAAATGACAACTGACAGTAGTCGGGTTTTGTGATACACCACTGGCATTTTCATGAGAATTAACCACAGCTTCCGAAGAAGTGTTTGATTTATTTTCTTCGTTGTGCGCTTCATTTGATGTCATGTGAGAACGAGGTTTAGGAAATAAGAGATGACTATTAATTTGAATGGATTTGCTCCGAGATAAGGAACCATCGGGATTAGAGGTCGTATGAATTAGGTGTGAACTTTTGTCTGAATTATCAGAAGTCGTTCCAGCACCACACTTATCAAAATTCGTGCGCCATAAAAATACCTGAAATAAATTTTTAGAATCTTATACAGGATTATAAGATAACATACAGTAATAAAGTCTTTTAATTAACATTTACAGAGAGCCAACAAAATCGTAAATAGAGAGGCCATGAAGGACAAAAAGGTTACTGCGGAACATTATGAAGCACAGAAAAGAATGGTGCAATAGCATTTTGTTGGCTTTGGAAAATCACTTTGATAGCGTAAATGAGCTTTATTAATAAGGATAAAGATCGGTTAGTGTCTAAGAAATGCTGCATATATAGAATAGATAGAATGTGGTTAGCAATAGAATCTAAGACATGTATTTTGTTTTGTTTGGGACTCGTCAACCGGATCTACCCGCATCCAAGAATTGATGTTCACTCCCGGACTCGAACCCGATATCATTTGCCATGGAGTTATCCACTCAGCTACTGAGTTTAAATAAACCCACTTGTGCAACGGGTATGAGATTTATTTTGATTTGAAATGGTCTGGATTGCCATATTATTGATATTTTGACTAAAACTTGATCAGCCACATTATATCCATTATATATATACATTTATATATGCCATCTAAGTCATTTTAAATTGGATTAAATTCTGTAGATTTAAGCATCGTAACGTAGTATGGTTCTTTGTTTGACAACTTACCTGTTCATCACTCCCACCAGATGCGAAATGGTCACCCGATGCAGAAAATGATGCTGCAGTAATAGGCCCCTGGTGTCCTTGAAGTGTATAAAGTGTACGTCCCTCGAGAAGGTCGAATATCTTTAGCGTTGAGTCTTCAGATGCAGAGAGTAGGACATGACCACTTGGATGACAAGCGACTTTATGTACGGGACCAGTATGAGCTAAAATCATATGAAATCCTCACACAGTAAACTCAAAAGCAAATGAATTATGACGAAACAAACATGAGAAGTATTACGTAAAGGATTACTAACCATATCGTATATATTGGCGTGACTAGTATACATTCACAAGCATTTTCTCTTGGTAATTTAACTAATTGAGGTATGTTTTAGGTTCAGAATTGTGTAGTTAGTTACAATATCCAGTTAATCAAAATGAATTAGGTGAAGCAGAAACAGTTTGTAGCCTAATGGTTGAAATCCAAATAACTCCGCTGTCAATCCACTGGCCCAAGATTTTTCTTCATTTGATAAATCTATATCTTACTTAGACTTTTTTTACTAACTTGAAGTGAGCATACCGTAAATTCCTGGTCATTGAAGTTAATGAACATATTGTGTAATAATATAAAAAGCGTTTGTGATCCATTTCTTACTTCTTTAAAATGCAAAATGGCTTCGAAAGTGGTCGGAACTACTGACCAACTGAATACTGAGAACTGGTTGTTGAAAGTAAAAATCTACCCCACTAAGACCAAGTGGTGAAAGAAGAAATCCTAGAGCGAACATGAAATTCCTAACTGACGTTTTCCATCTCGGCACGGAAAATAAATATAACCGAATAATATCAGAAGACGAATAAACTGCAAAAACACATCGTATTTGTGTATAAAAACGAAATGGAAACATTTTGAGTAAAGAAAAAACGGAAATTATTGACAACCTGGATATCTAAAACAGTCAGTCCTACGACGCATGGTGTTAAAAGTCTATGAGAGTCGGTAATATATAATCATCCGTAAACTTCGTCGTCTACTTTTGGACACTATTGGTAAACGTCAACACTTCAGAAGTGGAGTAATCAACAAAAAAATCATTTTCCAGGGTATGCCGTGTTAATTTATTCGCTATAATTAGTTCTATTACATCATTCCGTTATCCTACTCAAAAATAACATTGAAATAATAAAAAGGCTCATTATAACTGAACATAATTAGGTAGGTCAGTCAGTTAAAACGTAGAAGTTCGTAAGTACGAACATAAGTTCAGGTTGCCATACAATATTAACACAGACACAATTGTCAGATCGAATCCTACAGTGGTACAGATAGCAGAAGTATTAGCGGTGATGGGGAATATTAGGGTACGAAGATATTATTCAAGAAGTATAATTCAGTGATACAAATTTTGAAAGAGAGAGGTGATGAGGAATTCAGATTAGAATTTCAGAGAACAGAAAGAGTGGATACACCTGCGCCACAGCAAACTATTTTGAGCCATGTCGTTTAAGGTCTCTAACTATCCGTTAATATCGCCTCGCGGCCCCGAACCAGGTAGTCTACACTTGCCAATATGACTCAGTTCCGTTTCCAGTCGCTTCATGGATTTGTGTCATGTTTTGGTTTGGCCGCCCCTAGGTTCCTTCCAACTTACTCCTACTGCGAAGTAGACGGACGTCAACAATGGAGACACCGGTGCGGCTAGTCAAAAACATCAGGTGGAGGCATCGGAAATGTATACAGCTGACATTTGATGGTCAGATTATTACTGAAAGAATAGGAGAAGCTGACAAACATACCCTGGGAGTACATTGTTTTTTCAACTAACGAGATTTTACTCTATGCCGACCGTAGCTGCTACATTAACGTGGTGATCGGTCTTGCCTATCTATTGTGATGACCCAACCGACCTGCAGTGGCTAAAATATACTTTTTAGGACCTACCCTGCCAGGCAGGTCGATTGGAAAACTGTAGGCCTAAATGCGGGCAAGGGCGAAGCCTTATTGCTAACTGTAGAGGCGTGACACCAGTAAGGTGCATCTCCGAAACGAGCATACATGATCCCAGTAGTCATCCATTTGACCTAACCTTTTAAAAATAAAGAACCGCGGCAATCTACACTTCGTGCATCGGGGAGCCCCACTGCAGCTTCCCATGGCCTCGCTGGTGTTATTTTGTTCTTGGCCAATACAACTACAAGTAATCAGCCAGGACGGCTGAATATTGCATAACATTTTGAACAGCGATTATAACCTGGTACAAGTTGTTAGTCGGACGCAATTTTTAATTCTTGGAACGTTAACGGAAGAAAAGTATTGAGAAGCTTGTTATTGATCCACTGTATCTACTGTATCCTCACGCTAGGATTTTCGTGAAAGTAGATTTAATAGAATTACTACACGAGGATAATTGCTTTACAAACCTCTCACTGCAGCATCGTAAAATTTCGAAAATTTAATTTAGAGTAGGATTTTGATGGAAAGGCAATCTACTTACCATCATAATGCTGTAGCAGACGGTTCATTCGTAAGTCCCAAAGCTTGACGGTGCAGTTTGTACTCGCTGATGCAAAGCAGTTTCCACTCGGGTGGAAGTCCAGGTGCGAAGCAAAGCCGTTACTCTCCTGAAAGGTATGTACACAACTTTGTGTCTCGGTATCCCATAATTTGATAGTTTTATCGTCTGAAGATGATAAGATCAGGCGTGAATCAGGTGAAAAACTAACTAAATAAGATTGGCCTTAACCTACCGACAGCACCTCACCCAGTTAACATGCTGGTTTAAAGAGAATATGAACTTTCGTCTATGTAAATCCCAAACCTGCAGATATTGAATGAATAAGTCATGTCTGAACATACTTTTACTGACTTGTCTGCGGAAGCTGTACACATCCTCGGGTCATCAACAGATACATCCAACCACCGAACTGCTGCAGTGTGAGCACGAAAAGTGGTGGACTCCCCTTTTCTACAGTTAATTACTCTCAAACGGATTTTTTTTACATGCTCGGAATCCATAATTTCACAGTTTTGTCTCTAGATGCAGTAAATACCCGTTCACCAGTCGGAGAGAACCGCACACAGAATATCGCGTCTTTGTGACCACTAAACTTGTATGGCCTCGTTTGCGGTTTCATGTTCCAAACCATTAAACATGCGTCCATAGAGCAAGAAGCTAAACATGAGCACTAAACGAAACAGAATTTACCAAGCTGCTTTCCGTTCGGGTTGAAGTCGACACATGTGATGGCATCTTTGTGTCCTTTAAAATGTATTTGCAACGATGGATCTTCCTAAAAGTAACCATTTAGATGAAAATCCATGCATACCATAGAATAGTTGGGAAACAAACAAAACCAAATCCCCGCGTCCCCGAGGTTGAATGTTATACAAATGTGTAAGGGTTTATACTAACAACAAAACAGCAGACTTTTCAGACATTCAATGCTATCTCATTTGCTTAATCCTCTTGTTTATAACGTCCATAGTAAATCTTTCCAGCAGAACAACAGCAAACTACTAAAACACAATATCCAATATCTTATTTCGAAACTGGTATAAACCAATTGATTTCTTTGCGCTCGATTCTTATTCCTCCGGTACGGTTCCAGGTGTTCGGTTGTGTCCAATAAATGGGGTCTAGGCGCTCGACTGTCTAATTCTAGTCATTTGGCAGTTGATTGTTTGCATGTCTCGGGATTTTAATGAAAACGTTTGTTTCAGAGCTGTAGGGTTTCTGAATACCAGCAGTTATCACATTACCAGATCGAAGATCAGTTAGTTGCAACGTGGAGATATAGTAAGGATAAAATTCTTATGCTAATATGAATAAGATTTCAGATTTAAGTAATATATAGATAATTTAGTTTATTAATTGGTAGTGAAGTGCCGAAGTACAAGCAAGGAAAAGGAAACAGAGATAATAGGCAACATAGACTAACTGAGTGATCTGAGGAGATGGAAATAACAGCAGCAAACAAGTCTCAATACATGCATCAGGCACATCTTACGTACGAGGTAGATGATAATCCGAATGTGAGTACGTGTTTATCAAGTCTATTCTTAAAGCTGTACACTGAAGGGTCTGTGGTTACGCCGGCTGGAAGAGCAAGCCAAGTTTCAACGGTTGTTAATGGGAAAACGTTTGCTCGAACCTGAGTATTCGCTCTCTGATGCACAATTTTTTGAGGATTGCCTTGATGAAAATGGTGGTGATTCATCAATAGGGTGCTCATGTCGGGATGGTTTGGCGAGCTTTATATGTTGTAGGCCATAATCTGGTCACCCCTGACTTTGCTGTAACTCAAGAGGAATAATCCCGAATGCTTGAGTCTATCTTCAAGCGGTTTGTTCTGCAACCCTATCACCCATTTCTTCGCCTGTCTCAGCATTCGATCCAAGGGATTTATGTCGCTTTTAAGGAGACGGGATGCGACGGCATAAAGTGAAGAGTTGCATTAGTCTCGTCTGCGTCTCCCGTATAGCTAGAACTGGTGTCGAGGCTGTCAGTGGTTAATAAACCGAGATTGCTCTCTGAGGAGACATTAGGGAGTGGACTTCGATTGAGGTTGTAAGTCGTTAGCGTCACGTATGGCAGAATTTAAATAACGTGACATTTCGACTGGTTTAGTTCCAAACCGTTTTTCACTACCCATTCTTCAACAGATGTATGGTTTATTCGGTGCTCAGGAAGGGAAATAGACCTACGATGGTCCCTTGTCAAAATATCTATGTTGAGATTCGCCAACTCGCCAGCACTCTACTTACCTTGGTGCGAAACTTTCTATTCTCGAGACAGTTTATGAGCCAAGATACGACTGTGTCAGTGAAGCATATTTCCGCAACCTCCACAATTAGGAGTACGTGGATTGCTGTATCAAAGGCTTTTCCAAAGTCAAAAATGTTACGTGCACCGGTATTTTTCGGTCCCAGAAGGACGTTCAACTCTCACATGCTATGAGAAGATTGGATGCGCATTACCTGCCTTCCCGAAACCCGTGTTCAGATTCATGGGTGGATTTTGTGTGTATCTATGTGCTCCCTTTCTTCTGTTTGTTCACCAGCCCTTCCATTAACCTCAATGGGACTGGAAGTAATGCGACTGGTGTGTAACAGAATGGGTCACTCCTATCTCATCCTTTGAAGATTGGAGAGAGAGTAGCTTGTTTCAATTCAGCTGGGAATCGATTTGAGATCAGTGAATGCCTGAACAGGTCACATATCGGTGAACTAACAGGTTCTGCATACCGTTTCAAGACAATGGGGCCGATAATGTCCATCCTGGTGACTTTCCGGGACACAAGGATCTTAGTTTTCTTAGTAATAAATCAGAAGTAAGCCAGATATTGCCTAGGCCATCTCTAGGTTGGTAAGATCGTCGCCATTAGGACCCTTGAGGCAACACACAACCTGAGTCTTACGTTATCCCTTTGTCGCGAACCTAGACAAATGCTTAGGGTTCGGCTGTATTTTGGTAGCTAGCTTCATCTGAAAGCGTCTCGCATCACTTCGAACTTTGGTATTGCATCTATTTCTCAATACCAAATAAGAACTACGACCGGTATCCTTCAATCAGACTTTCCACTTGTGCCGGGCTCTCCTCTTGTTGCGAGCGTCTAATGCCACGCCCAACCTATGATCTACTGTTTCTGAGTGTTTGGTGTGTCTCAGGCACATTGTAACAAAATTGAAACTATTATTTTGTTATTGGGACTCATAATAGACGCCAATTGTTTTTCTTCTGGTTCTTTACTGGCTTATCTGTGTCACCGCTGTGTTTGGGGCATTAGTTCAGTGGAATATCATTTTATTATGGTTTTGAATGTTAGTGAAAATTTCAGCTGCCGATTTCTGAGTTTATCCGGTGAGACTACACTGCCTCTCATGATTTCGTACTATATGTAATTATGTGCTATACAGATTCATTTCAAGTAATTATTGATGAACTATTAGTATCCCACTTATTGATAGCGATAAGCACTTAAGCTCATTTCTCGCAGCGAACCCTAGTCAACTGTTTCATTAGTTGACGATTAATAAGAATGCATGTGAACTCAGGAGACCATAAATGTGCAAGCACCATATGGTTACACGGCTTCCTGCAGGACGCGACACGTACAACCGCCGTCGTTTATATCAATCGCTACACACGTGTTCGATTAAACAACAAGGAAGACTGAAGATGAAATTCTGTTTTCCAGATAAATTAATATTCTTTTTTGAAGTCCTCTCAGGTCTAACGTAATTTTTCTCCTGACCGCAATCTGAGCTCTCCTCGATAGATTTTTATTCATTCTTTTATGTCAGGAACATGTAGTTATTTCACGGACACAGACAAAGTGAATCATTTCTACGTAACCTATGTCTCGGTTATTATATGAACTCTAAAGGCCGCTGATTGTATGGTTCTCTAAGGCAACTGAAAGCCGTACCACAACCGTACGACGAGTAAGTTAGTTTGCGATACGAAGACTATGCTAGGAAATTTTCTGACGAATTTGGTGAAATTTCGACACTGAGACTGTAGAATCCTTTTTGAATGTTTTGTGTTTTGGAAAATCCCTCCATGTTTACATATTTTTGTTATGACATGACGGACTTTTTCTGTTGACATTTTTGGTATTTTATTTGATTCCAATTTGAGATTTTATCATTGTATATTGTTATTCTTTCTATAATAATAATAATAATAATTTATTCTCAAATAACAAACATGTTACAAGAGACATGCCAATTTACAGGCAAGATCAAAATGTTAAGATTAGCAACATATTTTTTTCTGAAAACGGTATAATGTTACTGAAACATTTCATAAGATTCATTGTTTTCTTAAAGTTGGAATGTACAAAGCGATCAATTGGCGCAAGTTACGAAGGTTGCGTTACGACAATCATCTTATGGGCTGAGAAATGATTTATGGTACAGACAGGTTTTCATATAACAAGAATTGATGCGGTAAATGTACAAAAGTCTGGTTGATATTCGTCAGCTAATGATTTCACATGTTCTTGGCTAGGGTAACCAAGTCTACTGCAAATATCCAGACAAATATATGTGGATTGGAATAAGGTTCTGAAAAAAGAGGAATAAAGAAAACGGGACGAGGAGCAGAACAGAAAATATTCATGTTCAAAGCCGAACAACGGCTTCGCACATACGTTTACGGATAAAACAAAGGTATGTTTACCCAAACATTTTTAATATCAGAACACTTTACATCTGCGCTTATGTAGGTTAATGAAGACAATTCAGTAGTGAGATAACTAATGAGAAGTTAGTCGAAAGAATCGAGGAAATTCAGAAGAACCAAGTTGTTAGTAATAAAGTTGAGTTACAAAATATAATAAAGAGGATCAGTGATATAATTTTTTGGTTTTATTTATTCTTTTTATTTTTAAATCTGAGGCTCAAGAAGTTATGAATGAGCTCTTTTTTAGTATAGTTGTCCAGACCAGCTTGTAATAGGATTTCTCGGTAGGAAGTAAAAACCAGTGCAAGGTTACAGACATGGGTTGTAGACGAGGTTAACTAGGAAAAGTAACATCAATATCACTGATTTGTTACATCCTGCTATATCGTAAGGAGCCGTAAGCAAACAAAATGTTCTGCCACACAGACATGGGTAGATTGAGGTTATCGCCCCACCGTCATGAATGCTGGTCAGATACACCACCCTCCCTCCTTTTGTGATGTTAGGCTCTCTTACGTTTAATGGTTAATTGTAAATAATGGTCTCTAGTCTACTCTCAATTTTTTTTTGTACACCTTATCGGAATTAACATTCTCTACTAGCTCCAACATTACAAGCAATCCAGACAACTTTGCCAGATAATATATCCACATAGCATATCACACTGATTTTAAGTAAACGAATGGTATAATTTGTAAGATGAGTCAGTTAATGGGTAGTTTGGAAATAGGAAGGACAGGGAGCTGGAACGAGGAGAAAGTGAAAAAAAAGAGTTGAAATAATGTTAAAAATTAATGAGTAAAGCGATAAGTTGGTAAGCAGGCAAGGTGTTTGGATGTTAATGAATTGGGGAAATAAAAATAAGTTAAACTGTTAATACGTAAATAAGAAGATACTCACAATTATACATGGTGTTTGAGTTCCTTGTAATTGATAGTAGTTGATCAGCATCTACAGGCTTGTCAATTTGTCTGTCTACTAGAAATAAAAACTAAAACTGCTATGAAGATATGAAAATAATGATTGGAATATAAAAGCAGAGAAAAGTCACGGGTAACACTTCAAAGGCGTAACCTATTACTGTTAGTAGGAGCAGGGGGATTTGTCTACCATTTCATGATGCATGTATGGGTGGTAATGAGAACACAATATGGTCATAGTCTATAATTAGTTTCTGAGGTTTATCTAAATATTTGGTGGACCATAAAAGAGTGCCTGGGGACTTTGTGTGAGTTCTGGGAATAGTCGATAAATCTCTTTAGAATCT